TATCAATTCCATCTATTCTTCCATCATCATCCGGAGCAATAATTCAACATCCATATTTAACACCAAATCCAAATGCAGCTTATGCAGCTGTAGCTGTAGCAGCTGCTGCTGTTTCATCAGCATCACCATCATCATTAGGTCAATATCAACATTATTATAATCCTCAATTACCTCCACAACAACTGTTACATGTTCAACAAACATCATCATTTTATCCTACAACAACAACATCATCAAATCATCTTCAACATCATGCTGAGTTTAGTAATTCATCATCATCTGCTGCATCATCATCAAGTTCAATTGAATCATCACGTAATAAAACAAATCGCAAACGAGCAACAGATAAAACAGCAAAATCTAATGTCAAACGAAAAGTAGTATGTTGCTTATTTTTATTTTAAAATTCTTAATGACGTCTTTAATTTATTTTTTCTCTAGCCAAATAATGATGAAGATGACCTTGATGATGATGATGATGAAGAAAATAAATATGATTTACGTGGTGCATCCTTATCAAATGTAATTATATCTAATAATAATAATAATCCAAATAATAGTACAATTGGTGAAGAAGATAAAGAAAAACAAGCTCGTGAAAATCATTGTGAAATAGAACGTCGTCGTCGTGTTAAAATGGCAACATATTTTGCTGAATTATGTGATATGGTTCCATCATGTTCAAATTTAGCACGTAAGCCAGATAAATTAACAATATTACGTATGGCAGCACAATTTATGAAAAATTTACGTACAAATAATAATTCATTAACATTAAATTCAGCACAATTATCTCAACAACAAGATTTACATAAGCCATCATTTCTTAATGATAATGAATTAAAATATTTAATGGTTGAATCATGTGATGCATTTTTATTTGCACTTAATTGTGACAATTTACGTGTTATATATATAAGTGATGCTATACAACAAATACTTTCATATACATGTCATGATTGGTATTCAAGATTTTTTTATGGTATGAAAAACAAAATAAAACAAAAAAAAAGAACAATTTGAGTTATTGAATGTTTTGTTCTTTTAGATTTTGTTCATCCGGATGATGTTGAAAAAGTACGTGAACAATTAAATTTACAACCACAAGATGGAAGTCCAAATGGAAATGTTAATAGTAGAATTTTAGATCTTAAAACTGGAACGGTTAAAAAAGATGGACATTCGTCAGGTGCTCGATTAGGCAAGTTTATTTGTTTTTTGTTTTTTTTTTATTTAAATCATAGTTTGAGTTAAAAACTGTTGATTTCGAATATGATCAAAAAAAAGTCTTCATATACTGATTTTCTAGACTAAGAAGTTTTTCTTGCAGAAAACACATATAACCATGACAATCTTCAAGATGATATTATTTTATTTAATACTTATTTTTTGAAGAACAGAAAAAATTATTGTCTTATAAACAAGTTGATGTGCTCTTTAATCTGAATAAATCAAAAATGATTTCAGTAAGAGATTTATTAGTATAGAAAGACCTATGAAAGTTTCTTATAGTCATGTTCTAAATCAGCATAGTCGATGTCTCATAATCCATTAGCTTTTTTTATGAGAAAGCAATTAATCACTGGAAGACGTTCTCTCAGAAATATTATAGCTCACTTCTTTTTAAGCATATACCGAACGTATTATTCTGATAAAGACTCACTTCCAATTAATTAATTAATTCAAATGACTTCTATTATTGAAATATTTAATTCTAAAAATATACTTTAATATCCTACATCCGAACGATAGTTAAAGCTTATATTCAAATGTAGTCTATATCTAAAATGCTTGAAACTACTGTAGTTAAGATATTAAAATTGTTACAAATGGATTGATGGAAAAGAAAAATGTCGAATAGAAAAATGTAGATGAAAGCTAAATGTTTTGAGGATGTGTTTGAATGTGCATATGAGTGTGGAATGTGTGAGTAAAGAAAAGACCTATGTGCACATTTACACCCATAAAAAATGAAACTAAGGTTTATAAACTTACCTTTTTTTTTCTATTGTCTTTCTTCCATATGATTAAATATATTATTATTTAAAAGATCTCATTTTCAACATGTACAATTTCTCTGTTTTTCAGCAAATTCGTTTATTCTGGTAATTACTTATTCATCTAAATAATAATATATTAGAATTTTAAATACTTAACTATTCTTATTCTCTAAATCATATTATTTTATGTAGGACGTGCAGAAAGCTCTCGGACTGATTTTATTGAAAAATAACAAGAAGCGTCACTGCATTAATATTCTTACTTATGTGTAGTTCATGAAGTCCTCTGTCTATAAGCTCTACTGAATGAAACATAGAAATCGATTTTAGACCATTCTCCATACACTGATTGAAAACATCAAAATTGCTTGGTCTATATGACCATGGCTTATATAATATGTATGAATGTACGATGACAGTTCATGCTGATCGAATCTCTTTCAGTTACTACTACTTCTGAATGAGATTGTTGTTTCGACGATCGGTTATCATACATTGTCAACAATTTGAATGTAAATAACGTAACTATTGAAACTTTTGGAGGCCTGATGATTAATAACGGTTGAATCGCAATTTGAAACATAGCGAACACTATTTGCATTTCAAATTTACCGTATAAAAGATTTCTCATAATCAAGTACATATGATTAAAGTCAGTTCACAAGAAAATCACATTCTCTAACACTATATTAATGATGTATCGACCTTAGCTAAAACAATCATTATTAGTTAGTTATTCGTGTTTAAAACAATAAGTTCATTCAAATATCAGTGTATGATAGAGCCTTATTACTGTAAACTATTAGCAATATATATTCATAAATTTTGAATGACAATTGGTCTTTCAAAACATATAACTTTGCTCAAGTTTTTTTTTCTATGATTATGTTCATAAATTTAATTTTTCTATTTAGCTAGTTCAAAACGATCATTTATCTGTCGTCTCCGTGTTGGTCCAACCAATCCACTTGATCACACACATCAAAATCCATTTATTAATCCATCTATATTACGTCGTCGTCATCGTACATCACTTGGTCCATCAATTGATGGACAACTATATGAAGTCGTACATGTAAGTGGTTATATTCGAAATTTAAATACTCATCATCATTCATCATCACATCATGATAATACAAATCATCATCCATCATCATCAAATTCTAATAGTCAAATGGCATTTATAGCTATAGCACGTATACAAAATACATGTTCACCAAATGTTAATGATTTAACAAATGGTTCAATATCAACATATAATTCAATAACAACAGAATTTACATGTCGTTGTAATTGGGATACAGGTGAAATATTATTTGTTGATCAACGTTGTACACCAATAATTGGTTATAAAAGTCATGAATTATTACATAAATTAATATATGAACAAATACATCCTGATGATCAAATTAAATTTCAAGATTTATATAAACGAACAGTAACACAAAAAAATTTATTAAATACATCAACAAATTTAACAAATATAATTATACGTTTTCGTACAAATATTGATAATGAATATGTTTCACTTAAAACATCAACGTATGCTTTTTGTAATCCATGTACAGATGATATTGAATTTATTATTGTTACATTTTTATCAATACAACCAACAACAACAACATCAAATAATAAAACATCTGTTATTACAAATTCAAATGATTATAATCGACAAACATATGATACATATTCAAGAACAACAACAACAACAAATCAAAATCCATCTATTAATTATACATCTCAATCACCATCAACATATAATAATCAAGATGGACAAGATTATTCGACAGGAAATGGAAATACTGATGGACGAACATTTGTAAGTAATAATGGAGGTTCAACATGGGCTTCAGCTAATGATAATTGGACAGCAACAACAACAACGACATCAGAAAATAATTCACAAGTATCATCGACACCAAATTCTGATTATGTTGATACACAAACAAATCTTGCACTTTATCATCAATATCATTAGTAAACATATTTTGTTTGCTTTTTTTTTTCTTTTACTGACATGAATAAATGAATTAAGATAACATCGAAGGATTCTTTTTGTTTTTATATCTTTGTGTCTATTGTACATTTTTTGCATTCAGATAGTGGTTTTTTTTTGTTTGTTTCGTTTTGTTTTCTCTGTGTTCGTCTTTATTTTTTATTGTCTTGCTTTTATTCGAAAGTCTTTAATATATCTCTTATTGCTTTGTTCTTTTTTTTGCCGCGTTGCGACAAATCATTTTATATTTACATATTTTGTTTTCTTTTTAATTGCAATAATTTTCCTCTGCATGCTTTATGTCATTTCTTCTTTCTATCACGTCAAAGGAAAAAAAATCACTTAAGTCAGTAGCCTTCAGTCATCAAAAATAGAAATGAATCTTGGTTTTTGTTTCTTTATCTTATTTCTTAGATCTGTCTTCTTTGGTTTTTCTTTTTTCGTCTTGTACACATTTACATACATCTGTATAACCAATCAATAATAAATAAATAAAATAAATAACTAAAATATAGATAAAAAAAATTAAACCTTCATATAAAAATTCTATCAAACATATTGTTGGCTTCTATTGGCATTGAGCATATTCTAGATAAGATCAAATGTGAAATATATATTATATTGCATATATTTATTGAACAACATTGAATACTATACTAGTAAGTCATCAAACAGCAATTATTTTAATTCTCATCAACGTTTACATAGTATCAGTTAGAAGGACGAAAAAAAAAGTATGAACACGTGTATGATAAAGCACTTTTATTTAAAACATGACTTCAGAGGGCGCACAAGCCACGTCTAATTTTTTTTTTCATTCCTTCGCAGTTGTTTTTATCGTTGGTTTTTTTTTCTACAAAGAATACGCGTAACAAGTCATGCGTTTCAGAGGAACACATACGATTTTTAATGTTGACTATCGAACCATAAGATACATATTTCTTTTAAGTTTATCATATGAGAATAGTCAGAAAGTTTTTATTTTGATTATTTAATGGCATTTAATGTATCGTCGCAGTCGTCGTTTATTATATAGTTATATTTTTCGATTAAATTCATATCGAGTTTTACGAAATAGTTTTATTTTAATAGTTTTTTTATTTTTAATTTTTCAATATTTATGGATAAAATTATTCTCTGAAAATCATATTGCATCACCAAATGCAACTCGTCTATATCAAAATTTACCATTAATAATAAATCTTCGTCCATTTTCTGTTTGTCATCCACAAGAATTATATTTAGAAAATGTAACATTACAATATCATCATAGATATCCTGATAAGCAAAAACAAGTATGCTTTCTTGTTGAACATATCGATGGTGGACCATGGTGGTCATATGTAACACATGAATTTGCTGAAATCCTTACTAATTTACAACAAATTGGAGTTAAATCAAATATAGTATATCGACCATTTCTTAAACCAGTACATATCAATCGTAAAACAAATTTAATAAAATTATTTTTAAATGCTTGTGATATGGATGAAAATCTTTCAATAGAAAATCAAATGCCAATAATAGTTCTTCTTTGGGATCTAGCTCATCCTGTATGGCATCAATTACGTGAACAAGTGAAATATTTGTTAAATAGAACTCGAATACGTCTAATGGCTTTTGTAGATGATCTTCATTTTGTAAACAAAGGAATGTGGCATAGTAGAGAATATCTTTTTCAATCTATTGCATCAGAAATTTTTTCAACATATCCATATCTTTTTGATAATTATTATACTAATATATTATCAACAAAAATTACTTGGTTACCACATGCAGCTTCAACATTATCATATCTTTCAATAAATAAATCAGCTGAAAATGTTCTTTTTGTCTCAGGTGCAAATCTCATAGAATGGTATCCATGTCGTGCTCGTGCATTTGAACTTTGTGATACTCGAGAAGATTTAGTATCTTGTTTAGAACATCCTGGTTATGGTAAAACAATGAAAAATGATAGTTCATTTTATTATGGTGGTGACAGATATTTTTCATATATGAGAAAATATGTATTTGGTCTGGGTACATGTCAATCAGTTCAATATGCTATAGCAAAATTATTTGAAATACCAGCTAATGGTCTTGCACTTGTAACAACAAATGATTTAGTAGATATACTTAAGCATCTTCATCTTTATCCTAATGAACATTTTTTAACAATTGATTGTTCATCAACGGAAAACTTAACTAATGAATTAGTTCGTATACAAAATATGTCAAAAGAAAGAATATTTCAAATCAGAAGAAATAGTCAAAGAGTAATTCACGAACGTCATTTAACAAAACATCGTGCTGCATTATTACATGTTCGTTTATTATCTCAAGCATTAATTGCTTCCTCAACTTCTAATAGTGAACGTATGCTATGGGAACAATGGGGGCGTAATTGCCATTAGTTATGGAAGATAGGAAAAATAAAAATAAAAAAAAACAAGTTTTTTTAATGTTCTTTTTTGTACATGAATATGTTTGACTTTCAGTTATTATTATTATTCTTTCTTTCTTTCTTTCTTTCTGATCTTTTGCGAAGGTTTTTGTTTACATAAAGGAATGAAAGAAAAACTAACGGATTATAAATAGGGATGGCAAACACGTAAAAGTAGGACAGAATATTTTCGAAAAAAAAGCAGAACGATTTGGTAAAGCGAATATTGCTACCCTGACATATGCTTCCACGACACTCACTTCACAACGGCCAGTAACAGAACTCCCATTGACTACAAGAACAATATATAAAGATGGGAGCGTGTTGATGTGTGAGGTTGATAGGCAATCTGACAGTCATCCTTGAACAGACACCAACAATCAAACCCTCATTCGTACCCACATTCGTCCGTGTATATCTTGTAATCAATAAGAGTTCTGTGAAATGTACTTCTAGAAAGCAAGTGTTCCGGAAGCAACTGCCGCGGTAGCATCTGCCACGGAATCGAACGAGTTAGTACAAAACCTCTTAAAACATAAAATCCGAGAAATATCTAGTGCAAATATGTAAAGTACAAACAGACTATACTAATTCACTCTCCTTATGATGTCACTAGTCGTCATCTATATTTTTTCTTTCTTCTAGTTGCATGTCAGGTGCCGCTAATGTGAAATTCGAGTTTTTGTTCTCTTTTATTAATGTATAATTTCATAGAGATTGATAAGCGGATCACGAATATATAGTTTTTATTTCGATTTGATCCACTGTTCGACTAAAAATAACCTTAAAAAAGCTTGTTAGCGGAGTCTCTTTGAAGCTGAAATATGGAATTCACGTATGTTCTCTAGTGTTATTAAACTCATACAAAATACGTAAAATGAAAAACATGTTTTAGACTATAGTTGTTTTGTAGGATAATTCGATCACCAAAATAATGACCTCTCTAATTTCTGCATTTCAAACAGAAGTTTTTTATGTTTTCTGTAGACACTACTTTTTTTTGCATTATGGCTATTCGCTCATTATTTTTTCATTTTTTTTTATTATATCATCAGAATTAATTGGCAAATAAATCTATTTTACATATCCATGATATCTAGAGCAGATATTGCAAAATATTACATAATCATTATTTTTCAAAATTATAATTTGATCTATTTTGTAAAAAGCTTTAGAAAGTCTGACGACTGTTATACTAGATTGCTAATGTCTGCTGTAATGGAGGAGGAGGAGGGGTTCTGTAATAGAGGAGGGAACCGGAAAACTTTGACATAAACACTTATACTCACTATTTTCTTCGATAATATATGTGAGTATCACATAACTTGAATGACTAAAACTGGAGCATTAGAAATTATGAACTTGCTTTTTTTCTTTTATAGGAATCATCACACTTCAATTATGTTGTCATTTAAAACTTTATCAAAGCATTTTATTCTAATTCAGCATCAAAATCTAAGTAGAAATGTATTATTTGGTTAGAATTACAGGTAACAAATATTAAAGAATCTTGTCCGATATAAATAGCTCTATCATACCTCATAGCATCTATTTGTGAGTATTCTTGCAAACCTATCTAATTGTTTTGCAACAAGAGGTAGAAACAAGTATCATATTTCATTAGGATCGCGAGTTACAAAAGTATCTACAATGGTTGAAATTTTTTTCCTACGATTTTCAAATCAAATTTTGTTTTAAAAATTTGTAGGAAAAAAACAGAATTCATATGAACAACTAAAAGAAAACATGATCTACAATTTAGCAATTGACATTTTTCAAAGAAAAACATTCTATAAACCATCTTGCCTACCTTACAGTATCTTCAACATGACAGACATGTCCACTCTCTATTTTCGTATTTATGTGAAGAAGTTTTTGTTTTAATTACGACATTCGATGAATGAAACAATGTTCTTGAAGATGATATTAGGAGAATGTCACCAGTTTGAGAACGTTGTATTAATGATCTAATGCTGTAAAATCAAGAAAAAGTTTTACCTCAGACTGTTATAAGTTCAATTCAAGTAGGACTTAACTTTCTGAGTTAAATTTGTATATGATTACACTACCGACAACAACTGCACTATTGACAAAAATGGTGTGTCGAAAAATAGCGTCTTAATGAAATTACATTTAGAACAAAGCTGTATGAAACATTTTTCACACCATTGTTATTTGTTTTTTTAGCCATTGTATTTTTTGATAAATCTAATTTTCCCCCCCACTGCTGGTAACATTAGACAAAAGCATGAAAAATGCATTAGTATTTAGTGATTTTTACTGTTATAGTCTAGTTAAAAAAGCAAAATAGATAACATATTCGATACTAGCGTAAGAAACTGCTTTGGGTCATATATTTTTTAGTGGAAACTGTTTCCGATGGAAAATACATCTGTAATCTTCCAAAGGCCTATTTTTCATGAAATTGGCCCAGATTCTCCTAAGGACCAGTATATTTTCCAAAAAAAAGGATTCTTAAAATATAAATATAATTCGCAAGAGTTTTTGACGCAAATTCTGAATATGCTATCTGTTTCGTTTTTCACTAGATCATGGCAATAAAAATCATGAAATACAAACGTATTTCTCATTCTTTTGTCTGATGTAATTATTAAATAGAAAAAAAATTCAATTTTCTCAACAATAAAAGAAAATCTGAAAAAACTGAATAGATAATTTTGTAGCTCGTCACGTAGCGATTGTAATGAAATAAAAAGATACTTGTTGTTACTTTTGGTTACAAAAAATTAGATAGATTTATAAAACTACTCACAAATATGTGCTATGAGGCATGTTGAAACTATCTATATTAAATAGGATTCTTTTAAATTTATTATCTGTAACTCCAGCCAAATAATACATTTCTACTCAGATTTTGATATGGAATCAGAATAAAATGTTTGTATAAAGTTTTGAAGACAACATAATTGAAATTTAACGATCTCTATACATGAAAAGAGCAAGTTCATAGTTGCCAATACTACATTTTCAGTTATTAGAGTTTTCTATATTTTTCTTAGCCGAGTAATGGGTCAAATTGAAATAAAAATTATATATTCATGATCAATTGGTCAAACTCTATTAAACCAATAACATTAATGTAAGAGAACAAAAACTCTCTCGAATATCATATTAAAGGCATGTTACATTTATTTTGTTGATGATTTGTTTGTTTTCTTGAGATTTTATCGAGTTCATTTATCTTGACTATAAGTATTTGTTACCAGATTTGACTTAGGTTTTTTTTTTCGCGGTTCATTAAACACATTTGTTCTCAGTGCTTACTTCAATTCATTGATTTCCACAAATTTTCTTGTTTATCTTATCTATTTATTAATGATTAAGAATTACCTTCGCTTCTTCACTAATTATTTTTGTTAATCCACTAATATATCTTTAATTAATTTTATCATCGTTTTTCATTTTAGTGTAGTAACTAAAACAGTAATAAGTCTATCTAGCCCTCATCCTCAGGGTCATACTACTCCTCACTATAAAAATACGTTTCTTGACTTTTTTTTTGTTTCAAAAAATTCTTAGTCATAAATCTATGACATATACTGTTATTAAATGGTAATAGACCGAATGAAATATTTGTATATCATATAAAAGAAAATTTCCTCACATAATCGATTTTGTTTAATACAAAAGATTTCTTTTGTTTTTTTTTTGCGATACAAATGTAATTTTTTTCAATGCGTCAAGGACATGAGTGTTATGTTTACTTCAAGTAAAGCTTACCTTTCGGTAGTAAGAAAAAAAAAGTCATTCTAGGAGTGTGTATTAAGATAATGGAATTTGATAAAAAAACTAAGAAGTATTCAATTGATTTTTTTTTCACCCATTCGTAATAGATAAATGTATGATTATTTGTTCTAAATAGTAATGTTTCATTTCATTAACCATACACAACTTAGAAGACATAAAATAAATAGAACTCCTTGTAAGTGTTTTCACATCTAGAAGAACCAAATATACATGTGCATGTAATTAAAATTATAATTGATAGATAACATATTACTCCAGTGTGTTTCTTCTTTTTTTTCTTGTCTAAATTATTACGATTGTACATTTGCAGTTACCAAATTGTATGCCTCAAACATACTCTGTGACTACTTTAATTAATAAAATTTTTGTTATGCATGCGAATGTGTAATGTAGAAAAGAGAAACAGTTATTATTTTAAATAATAATTGCCCATTACTAATTGAAGATATGTTTATGACACACTAAAAACTCATATTTTGCCAGTCATAAAAATACCGGGTAGAGAAATCAGAAACTAATCAATCCCTAATGGCGCATTGAACTCCAAAGAAATGCTTTAGAGTTTTATGCTTTTTTAAATTCAAAGGTGTTAATTTTTATGTCGAGGTGTCGATTTGTACTCTCCATCATTATCTGAAAATAATAACTGCAAAAGAAAAGAAAATATTCTCACGCACACATATATATACTAGGGTGCGAGGAAAATTTACCATTTAACGCATATATTCGATCGATGTGTGTCTTAAATTTCTCGAGTCATCACTTTGAAATAATTTTCAAACTTTTTAAAATACCTCTGCACATCTAGTGAGATTGACACATTTCCATAGTCTTATTGAGTTTCATAAAAATGACGAGACATTTAAGTGTTGACCGTTTACCAGCTGATCGATAAGTCATCTTATTCGACTGGAGTAACGTTTATTGCAATATTAATCGAAACTGTTCGTGTAAGTAAGATCTCTGTTCGTACCATTTTATATCAAATTTGTCAAGATCCAAGAACGAAATCATCACATAGTATAGACTTCAGATCAGTTGAAAACTTGTGATCAATACTTAAGTGTCTTGTTTCGAGAGGAAGACTCTCAAATCTCGATGAATGCATGTATTGATATTATTGACGTAAAGAAAAATAACGTAACTTTCATTAATTGCTGTAGCTGTAGACTATAATAATATTTATAATCTATCTGTGAAAAAAATGTCAATATTTATCACGTCTAGCAGAATAAATATTGAAAAGTAGCAGCAATATTTTCTTTCTTTTTTTCATTTCTACGTTTATCTAGATACAGTTGACTTCTTTGACAAGGTGATTCACTGGAAGAACAAGAACGAGAAAATATATATGCTCTTTTTCTTTTCTATTTCAAGTACATGTATCATTCTTTTTCGAAAGTACGACTGTCTGCCATTGTAAATGATAAAAGTATAGTTTGTAGATGGTCATAAACAATAAGAATACGACAAAAATGTAACTATCGTATTTTATTTAACATGTAGCTGATAGTCGTATTATTTTATTAAGGTTGTTCAAAATATCAGCTACATATATATATGTAACTCCTGTCCCTTTTTGGTTAAAATTGCTTTTTGATGGTGATCGCGTGAGTGTATGCTAAAAGCTCGAAATCTTGAGATTTCAAAAACAAAGCTCTAATGTACTCTTTTTGCAATATGATATATTTAATTATTTATTCGTATTGTAAATAATTGAAATTTTTAATGATTGTTGATGTGTTTTATTAAATTCAAATCATATTTAGAAACTTTTGTTAGTTATATCAATGATAATTTTTCAGTTATTTTTCGTGTTTAGGTTGCGTGATTGATCATTTTAATAATGAAGATTTATGATCAATTAACATATCGATTGTTATGAAAAATGAAAATAACTTGCATTTAATAATTGCTCATCTTCTAGTTCATTTAGTAAGTAATAAATTTTTATAGAATCATATTAGACAACTTTTATATATTGCTTTTGGAAACGAAACAAAAAAATTAAAAAGTTTTTATCATCAATTGAATACATTTTCTAATGAGAAAAAGTCTATTTTCATTATGCATTGAAGAACATCAACATTTCTTTATTGTTTTTCAAATTTTATTTTGCTATTAGTTGACAACCATCAGTTTCCTTGTTTTGTATGCCAACATCTATTGAAAATGATGCATGTGAATGTCAATGAACACTGTATACTTGTTTTATCTATGGAGACAATTTGTAATTTTCCAAGGAGCTTATCCTATTCAATTTGGAGTTTCTCTTTCACATTACCTATGTACTTTAAGTACAGATTAATGGCTTGTTAGTTTATATTTCTATTGTTTTTCTCTTTTAGTATTTTATTAGAATAAACAAATGAGACTACTTCCACTTATTGTCGAAGATGGCTGGCTCATTCGGTTAGTTACTAATCATATTGGTTATTTTTCATTTGCTATCCCAGTTGCTATTCTTTTTATTATTTCAAAAAAATCGGCTTACAAAAGATGTAAGTATTAATAATATACATGACTAAAATTAAATAAAAAAGTAAAAATACTAATAATTTTTAATAAAAAAATTTGAATTCATCTTACCGAAAAACAAAATTAGTTGTCTTGCGCAACGATTTGATACAAAGTGTTAATAAAATAATATCGTTCAAGTGACATGTCACAAACAATGTTTGGAAGGAGTGCAATAACAAGTTATAACCATCAAGGAAATAAAAAACGAAATATTTCTTTTCCTGGCAAAATATAAATCCTTCATCTTATCATTTTGAAATAGTTTTTCAAAATTTCAGAGATCGAAAGAAAGAATTGATTGAGCAAATTTCAATGTTGTCACTTTAGATTTACTGAATGACAATACCTACCAAACGTTTTGCAATAGAATCACATTGATCTAAAGATGATCTAGCATTTGATGTGTCTTAACTAAAAATGCCCTTATCGAGAGTATGTCAAAACACGAAAATCTCAATAATATACATCTCGTCAATCATTTAAACTCGTCAAAGTTTCTCATTGTTCTCATAAATTAATAATAACACTTCAAAATAGTTTTTTTTTCATAAACGCACTCAGCAATACATTATAAAAGATTAGTTTCTAAAAGTACTCTTCACTTGAAAACAAAAAAAAAATACAATATGTTTTTATTCTTTTCAGGGCCACAACCGTTTCGCGGATTTATTCGGTTACTCATTCGTCTTTGCATATCGGATACATTTACTTCATCATTATCAGATAATACTAATAAAGATACAATATCTTCATCAGTTGAATCACATTCAACAACATCAAATTTTACTCGTTATCACTTTTTTAAATTAATTTTTTCATTTTTTGGTCTTCAAATTTCTTATCTATTATGGGGTTTATTACAAGAACGTATTATGACTCGTACATATGATAATGAAAAATTTACAAATTCTCAATTTCTTGTTCTGGCTAATCGATTTTTAGCTATGATAGTTGCTTATATATCATTAAAAATATTTTATCCAACGAAAAAAGTTGTATCAATAGGGCCACCATTATATCAATATGGTATTATATCCTATGCTAATTGTATGTCAACATGGTTTCAATATGAAAGTCTTTTATATATTAGTTTTCCTGTTCAAGTTATTGCTAAAAGTATTAAAACAATACCAGTTATGATTGTTGGAAAATTTGTTTCAGGTAAAACATATCCATTAAGACAATATTTATTGATGTTACTAATGGCTGTTGGTATTGCACTTTTTTTATCTGGTTATCATGTAAATGATACAATTAAATTACCATTGAAGAAAGCTACACAAAATACAACAACAATAAATGGATTGATCTTACTTATATGTTATTTAGTAAGTTCTATATTATAACAAAAGAGTCTATTTAAGTAGACGATAGTATTAACATTCTTATAGTTTAAGAGACTAAGCTGCACAGTTTTTTCTTCAAGTAAAATAATAAATATTTTCTTAGTAACTATCGAACGATGAAATCTATCATTCTTCGGTTATGTGAAATTTCTTCGAGTGACCCAAAAATGAATGAGCAGTTTGTATAGAAAACTTCGCATCACAGGTTTAAATGCAATGATTAACTTATGTTGATCACTGTTATTATTAGAGGATTCATTTCATATAATAGTATTTATCTAAAGAGGGATGTTTTAAAAAAACGTCTTCGACAAAAATAAATATGTAGCTCTCAATATTTAAATATATAATTTTTCATTTTGAATGTTTTCTTTGTTTTAGTTTTTTGATGCTTTTACATCAAACTATCAAAAAAAAGTATTTGATCATTATTCAATATCGTTTCTTAATATGATGCTTTCTGTTAATTGTATCTCAACAGTTCTAACTTGTACATCTCTTATTTTCAATGGCACTCTACTTGAATGTATATTATTTATGCAACGACATCAATCATTTCTTATACATGCATTTGCAACATCAATATGTTCATCAATTGGACAATTATTTATATTTTCAACAATAGAAGAATTTGGTCCAGTTGTATTTACAATTATAATGACCATACGACAAGCATTTAGTATTCTTCTATCATGTATATTTTATGGTCATTATTTAAGTTGGTATTCAATTTTTGGTATACATATAGCATTTTTGGCTATTTTTATTCATGCTTTTCATCAATTTAAAAGAAGCAAACAATCAAATAGTAGCGTCGTTTAAAATTTAACATTTGATTCTTTTATATTTTTTTATACGTTCAACTCTTGGTGAGTCTATTTTATGGCAACCGTTGTAGAAAGGAAGAAAAAACAAAGAATACAGAGAAATCACTGTAATTGTGAAAACGTACATGGAATTTTATTTTTTGTTCATTGTTTGTTCACAGGAAAAAATATTTTTTTTTCGTTCTGTCAAGTATCTTGTCATAATCAGTAGCAGAGGTAGGCATAGAGCATCATTTTCGTACTGCTTCCCTGTTGTGCGTCCTACTGTTCCCTGTTAACAAAAACAACATAAGAAGAAAACCGATTCGGTCTACGGATGGCGTTTTATCTTTCGAAACACTTTTTGGTAAAGTAGTTAAAGTTTAAGTATGGCTTTCAAAGTTATCTTTAATAAAACTAGAGCTCCAGTGAGACGTTTTTTTTCCAGTTTTTTATATTCGGTCGTTTGAAACAGCCTACTACAATGAATATTGTAAAAACCTCCATTTGTTGTACTAGATAAATGTTATATTGCAGTTTGACAGTGGTTTCTGACGTAAAGATTTTAATATATTGAATCGCTCAGTTTCTAGCCTACAAAAATTTGGTCCCAATTATATTTGCAAATGAATTGCATTCGGACTTAGACTATTTTAACAGGTATATTTTGTGGTTTTTGAGAACTCAACTTTTGGCGAAAGCGGTGCCCACCTGATGTCAAAAAAGTTCTCGCCTGAGTTTCATTCGAAGTCTTTATTGATCAATAGAACTGAATGCTGTGATCACAAATAATCCATTGTTTCCGAAATCTGTCAAGCCATCCAATAGATCTGAAACACCTTTCGAAATTGTTTAAAGGCAGTTCTTTATCTCAGGAGGAAGCAGCCTACTTGAAGTATAAAAGTACATCAAAATATCTGGGAGTAATTGAGAATGCGTGACCTAACTCAAAGTATTTACAAGCAATGTCTAGTGTACCCAAAGTACTTTGAATTATGTTAAGGTACTTTATATTACGTAGAAGTACTAAAGTGTGAGTGTGAAGATGAGGGTTACATCCTTGACGAGTCAAATTTTTTTGACCTCGAAACCCAATTTTGATTTGAAAGATTTTCACTAGTGCACCTCCGATTTCGACACTGAGAAACTTCGCAAGCTTTTTATGACTACTATATATAGTTACTTCTTCTTGTACTAATTGGCAATGAAAATTTCGCTCTGATGTTTTTTTTCTTGAAATTCATTAATGAATCTACATAATTGTATATTTGTGTTCATTATTTAACACATGAAAAATAAATTTGTCACTATGTAAGAGTAAAAATACTTGACTGTTTTACTAATGTAACTTGAACATTGACTCCAACTCCGACTTCAATGGAGCGAAAGTTCGATTTCGGCGATCGATACAGGGTTCTAGTAGAGGTCTTCTCCTCATCAACATCTGCGTTGGCACTAGAGCCCATCCGGTTCCAAAAATTTTGGAGTCGATGAGTCTAGTCATCTGTGAAATATGCTGGGTGCTGTAGTGATCGAATGCAAAACAAACGGAAAAAGGTATCTCATACTTTTGGGGCGACTATCTAATTTCAGTTGAAAGATCTCACTGAGAATACAAAAATATGGTTTGATCCGGTCGGGATCCGAATATTTTCGAACCTGATGGACTTCACCCCACACTAACGTCCAAAATGGGTTTTATTTAAAATTATTAATATTTATTGATGTATTAGGTGATGGTGATAGTAGACGTGGTCAAGTTTAACATTAAGGCAGTGATACGTGGTCATGGTGAACGGCAACAATAAATGATATACATACAAGATTTGATTATGATTTTTACTACAGGCGAAAATTTATTCGAGCAAAAAAGAAAAAAAATCTTGTTTTTATTTTAATAAATAAAATTTAATACCTATCTTATCGTGCATTAAATACAATTAAATATTATTATACTTTGTTTTGCCTAGTTTTCTTCAATAAAGGTATATTTGTTTTTTATAAAAATTGATGTGCTCTTCTTTGAAATCATTATTCAACACAAGTGGATGCTCCTCAATTCGTATGAGCCTACTAGTGTTGCTCGAAAGACAAAATACGCTATAATGTTCGGTTTTTATACTAGGCTTCAAAGTTTTAGGTTTCTTAATATCCAGATATTATCACAATTGCATGAGATAGCATTTGGCAAAGCTTCCATGACAAAATGGATTTTTTTGTGATATTTATGTAACGCAAACATGAACTGAAGCTTAGTTTTCTCGAAAAGAAACTTTCAATAAATGTAATAGAACTTGAAGGACGATTGTGTATAGTTCTGAAACAACTTAAAGAATTAGCTGAAAATACTCTGTTATCTATTGATGTCTTCAAAACAAAGGCACTACTTATATATCGTGTAGTGCGCACAAAAATATCCTAAATTAGAGTATAAGTCTCTACCGATAGAATACGTGAAAAAATTCACATTTTTACGAATTATCTTTGTAGCAAAGCTCAATTGGCATTTATATATGCATATACCAAAAGAAATGAAAACATAAGAAGAGTTTTTTGATGGAATGAAAACTATTTTTTATACTATACCGAAAAAATGATATTAAAATCAGAAGACAAAAATTTTTCTAGTATACGATTTTCCATTTTCTTCTATAGCTTTTTTGTGTATGGTTTTTTCACATCGAAAAACAAAAGAAACAAATTGAACTTGTTTTTTGTTCAGGTTTCAAACTAGTTTGCTCGTTGCATGATTGAGATGATTTTACAACATTAATACAGTTACATCAGTAAATGTGTGTACATACAAATGTTTCATTTTGCCATCGTACGTTTGTCTTCTTTCATCTGTAAAAGAACGTTTTGTATCTATTATTTGTTTTATCTAATCATACTGCTCATGCTCTCTGTGTTCATAATCTTCGATTTTCAATATCTACAATTTATTTTTTCTTTATTCCTCTATGTGTGCATCTATGATGTGTGTTTGTAGATGTGGTTGACATCGTTATATGATAATCATTTTCTTTTTGTGAACCTTAATACGGCACAATAAAGTATTAATATTTAAAAAATCCTTCAACTATGCAAGGTGTTCACAAAATAAGGTGTTAACAATACAAAATTTGAGTGGAAATGATTTCGGCTATATACATACATCGATGGATAGCATTTGATTCACTGATCAATAATATGTAGGCTTCAGTTTTTTCTGTCGTCTTATAAGAGAACAAACTCAAAAATAGACGAAGAGTGTAGAAATGAATGAAAATCTCTAATTTGGGAATAATTCAAATTTTCTATCATTTAATTGTCAAAACATTTTAATCTATATTATTTTTTCTTATTTTTCATCTGAAACTGAGCATCACAATCATATTTAATCGGCTTCAATGTCAAAAGTCTGTTCGATATTGCTATGTGCAACACTCCACCTCAACTAAGACACACTGGCACACAATTTTGCAAACCTATCTAGTTAGTATTGTTATACGAAAAGATGGAATCAAGTGACTTACTTCATTAGAATCTCTTGGGAGCAAGCTTTAACAGTACCGATTTGTTTATGAAAGTTTTAGTTTAAAGGGTAAAATAATATGAAAATTCAGACATTTTACACACATAAAGTCTCCCTACAATTGACTACAAGCAAAATAATCCGAAAAAGTGATCTGAATGAGAGTATAAATGATTTTCGTATAGCACAAAGATTTACAATGGAATTTATGTGATTCGATGTAGTTTTTTAAGCTGATCGGAATATGGTGTGTATTTTTCCTGCTCTGGCAGTGTGATGGACACAATGGCTGAACTTTTATATGATTTCGCCTTTTAGACAGAAAATTTCTATTTTCTATCAAATAACAGGAAAACTTTCAAAACTAAATAGATACTTTTACAGTCTGTTCTCAAGAGATTTCAATAAAGTGATACACTTGACTTTATCTCTTCGTACAACAAAACTAGATAGATTTGCAAACTTATGTACTAGTGTGCCTTAGGTAGGAGAGGATTCGATAGACCTATACTGAACTGAACTTTGACATTCATATCGATAAAATTTGACTGTTGTGCTCAGGTTTAGATATAGAATAAGAAAAAAAATGTATAGATTATCATGTTTCGACAATCTAAATGTTAAAAACTTTGAATTTTCTCCAAAGAAGCGACTTTTTCTCATTTTTTGTACCCTTGTAGTCTTTGTGAATTTGTTCTCTTATAAGACGTTAGAAAAATCCATAGCGCACATATTTTTTATCAGTGAACCAAACACTATCCGTCGATGTATAAATACAACCAAAACCGTTTTCACTCGAGTTTTGCGTTGTTAGCATTTTACTAATCACATATAACAGATGAAATGTGTCTGCAAAACTCCAATACATTAGATCTTTGAAAAAGTGTAGACTTTTCTGTAAATTATGAATAACAATGTTATACATAAACCTGTCAATTTATAATTGTAAATAAGTTAAAAATTCAATTTTTAACTATCAACATCCAAAATATGTTGCACTTTCATTTAAAATGAATTCATTCCTTTTATAAATGATTTATGTAGAATTTCGAAATACACAAAAAATAGCCTTAAACTTTTAAAGTAAAGTTAAACTAGCAGCACTAATCCTATCCTACAGAGTTAGTGCATTTTCTTCGTAGGATCTTTCAATTGAATTCAAAAGTAATAATATTTTTATACTGTCTCATACTACATGGTTTTATTTATATTCATTTTAAAATAATAACAATTCCTTGCTCAAGTATCAAAAGACAAGAGAAATAAATAATATAATACACAGGACGAGGATAGATATGAATGTTCATTTCATTCATACTCATACTTTGCAGATTTTGTAGTATAAAACTTTGAAGAAGATAAAATTGAGTCATTTACTAGACGTGATCTCGCAAAAGTTTATATATCATTAAGATCAACAGTAGAGAGCATGTAAATATCATCATGAAAATCAAATGATATAGAACTTATTTTACGTTTAACTTTGCAAGATATAAAGACCTTGTCTTACTCTGCGCCTAATTCTGATACTTATTGAGAGTTATCTTTGTCCAGAGAAAAACAAATACTAATAATTCATATCAATAAATTTTGCTAAATATTTTTCGTTCTTCTGTTTCTGAATGAGTTTTTCGTTATATGGTTATGATACATAAGCAATACAACATATAGATTGTTGAATCGATACATCGACCTCTGTTTTTTTTTTCGTTTTAATATACCTATGACTGTAACTGTATGTACCAGTGAAGAATATATTTTTACTTTATATCAAGGACTCGTCCTTGGCAATCGAGTGCATTCAGCGCTTTTAATTTCGAGTCTCTCCTTCACCTTGCTTATATACTTTACGTGCAAATATGCTGGTAGTTAACTTTCTTTTTTTTGTTCTCCTTTTAGCATTTTGTTAGGATAAACAAATGAGTCTACTACGACTTACTGCTGAAGATACCTGGTTGCTTCGATTATTTGCCAATCATATTGGTTACTTCTCATTTGCTGTTCCAGTTGTTGGTCTTTTTATTATTTCAAAAAAATTGGCTTATAAAAGATGTAAGTTTTAATAATATAGATGTTTAGAATTAAATAGAAAAGTAAAAATACTAATACATTGTAAAACATAACTTAAAATTCATCTTAACGAAAAATAAAAATGTTATCTTACACAACTGTCTGATAATGTATGCTAATGAAATGATATTGTTTTAAGTAACGTGTGTTAAATAGTATCTTGAAGGAGTGCAATAACATACTTCAGCATATGAGAAAATAAATAACAATATATTTTCTTCTCCTGGCAAAAAACATGATTCATCTTATCAAATTGAAATGATCTGTCTTGGTTTTAGACATAAATACAAGGAATTGATTGAGAAAACTTTAGTGTTATTGCTTTAGATTCATTAAAAGACTATGCCTAACAGATAGTTGCAATAGAATCACAATAGTATAAAGATGATCTAGTTATATATGTGTATTAGTCAGTAATACAATATACCAAAAGTAAGTAAAAACGAAAATTCGTTGAACGCATCAAAGCTTAATAATTGTTTTCAAAATCACGTATGATATTTCAAAATACAATTTTCTATGCATAAATATACCTTTATTAAGAACTAAAATAACAGTTCATACGATGAAACTATAGAAAATATTCATTTTTCCATTTTTTAGGAAAAAACAATTTTTTTGTCACTCAGTAAAACGTTAGTCAATCGCAGTTTCTGTAAACACTTTTCAATTGAAAATAAAAAGTTATAATGTGGTTTTATTCTTTTTAGGGCCAAAACCATTTCACGAATTTACACGGTTACTCATTCGTCTTTTCATATCGGATACATTTACTCCATCATTATCAGATAATACTAATAAAGATACAATATCTTCATCAGTCGAATCACATTCAACAACATCAAATTTTACTCGTTATCACTTTTTTAAATTAATTTTTTCATTTTTTGGTCTTCAAATTTCTTATCTATTATGGGGTTTATTACAAGAACGTATTATGACTCGTACATATGATAATGAAAAATTTACAAATTCTCAATTTCTTGTTCTGGCTAATCGATTTTTAGCTATGATAGTTGCTTATATATCATTAAAAATATTTTATCCAACGAAAAAAGTTGTATCAATAGGGCCACCATTATATCAATATGGTATTATATCCTATGCTAATTGTATGTCAACATGGTTTCAATATGAAAGTCTTTTATATATTAGTTTTCCTGTTCAAGTTATTGCTAAAAGTATTAAAACAATACCAGTTATGATTGTTGGAAAATTTGTTTCAGGTAAAACATATCCATTAAGACAATATTTATTGATGTTACTAATGGCTGTTGGTATTGCACTTTTTTTATCTGGTTATCATGTAAATGATACAATTAAATTACCATTGAAGAAAGCTACACAAAATACAACAACAATAAATGGATTGATCTTACTTATATGTTATTTAGTAAGTTCTATATTATAACAAAAGAGTCTATTTAAGTAGACGATAGTATTAACATTCTTATAGTTTAAGAGACTAAGCTGCACAGTTTTTTCTTCAAGTAAAATAATAAATATTTTCTTAGTAACTATCGAACGATGAAATCTATCATTCTTCGGTTATGTGAAATTTCTTCGAGTGACCCAAAAATGAATGAGCAGTTTGTATAGAAAACTTCGCATCACAGGTTTAAATGCAATGATTAACTTATGTTGATCACTGTTATTATTAGAGGATTCATTTCATATAATAGTATTTATCTAAAGAGGGATGTTTTAAAAAAACGTCTTCGACAAAAATAAATATGTAGCTCTCAATATTTAAATATATAATTTTTCATTTTGAATGTTTTCTTTGTTTTAGTTTTTTGATGCTTTTACATCAAACTATCAAAAAAAAGTATTTGATCATTATTCAATATCGTTTCTTAATATGATGCTTTCTGTTAATTGTATCTCAACAGTTCTAACTTGTACATCTCTTATTTTCAATGGCACTCTACTTGAATGTATATTATTTATGCAACGACATCAATCATTTCTTATACATGCATTTGCAACATCAATATGTTCATCAATTGGACAATTATTTATATTTTCAACAATAGAAGAATTTGGTCCAGTCGTATTTACAATTATAATGACTATACGACAAGCATTTAGTATTCTTCTATCATGTATATTTTATGGTCATCATTTAAGTTGGTATTCAATTCTTGGTATACATATAGCATTTTTGACTATTTTTATTCATGCTTTTTATCAATTTAAAAGAAACAAACAATCAAATAGTAGTATCGTTTAAAATTTAACATCTGACTCTTTTATATTTTTCGTAAATTCAACACCCGGTGTGTTTATCATTTCATAGTTTCCACCGAAAGCAAAAGAAAAAAAGAGCCTAGAAAAATCATTGTTGCGGTGAAAATTTATATGCATTATTTTGGTTTTTGTTCATTGTTTGTTCAAATAAAAAGAATTCTGATGCTCTTTCTGTCAAACACCTTGCCATAGCCAATAGCAACGGTGGGTACAGCGTAACAATTGTTCATTGTGTCCTATCCTACATCGTACTGTACCTCATCGATAAAAAAAGTCAAAAGAAAAAAACATATCATGTCCAATACAAGCTCTCTTTCACAGAGCAGCATAGGATTGCATATTGTACAGAATTAATACACTTTCTTGATAGTATCTTTCAATTGAATTCAAAAACAACAACATTTACACGCTGTATCGTACCATATCATTTTATGTGTATTTATTTCAAAATAATAGCAGCTTTCAATTCAAGTAACAAAAGTCATAAGATATAAATGATACAATAAACGATATGAGTGGATGTGCGGATATCCAGTGCATTCATACTTACGCCTTGCAAATTTCGCAGTACAAAACGATATGTAGAAGGAGTTGCTGTGCGTTCAGATCAGCCGTAGAGAGCATGTAAATGTCATCATGATAAACAGATGATATAAAACTCATGAGTAAATCTTGTGCTGTAATGTGGTAAAAGCACGACAATAAAGAATATAAATACAATTTTTTCGATAATTATTTTACTGGGTTTTTATATTTCTGTCATTGGCATTCTATTGTGTATCTTTAGCGAAAAATTTCGAATATCAGGTGATACTTTTCTGTGCTCTTTGTTCTACGCTTTTTTCTCTGTCAAAACTTCACAAACGTTACTTTTGAAGATGAAAATTATATGTTTAACTTTGCAGTATATCAAGACTTTCTCTTATTCTATCCTACAGAAGAGCAGGAGAGAGAAAAAATAATTATTTTCCTTATGCCCTGCTTCAGACCGCAGCAGGATACGACAGGATTGCCCGATCCTTTGTTCATTTCTGATATGCAATGATATTGATTTGTATCGAGAGAAAAACAGATGCTTATATTTCATATCATTAAGCATCGCTAAATACATATAATTTTTTCATCTAAAATAGGTTTTGTCTTTGTATACATCTATCATAAATCACCCATAAGAACAAAATCTACATTGTGATTATATCGACTTTCAAAAAGTGTCATTATGCACGGATATGATTAATATGATGCACATCAATGTCGATAAAAAGAAGAATATGATTGCTTTGTCTTTCTGGCTTATAGTATGCTTTCGAGCACACTCACGGCTTTTGATTTGGAGTATGTCCTTCAAGCTACTTAACTATTTCAGGAGCAAACATATTGTACTATAACTTACTTTTTTTTCCTTCTCTTTTTAGTATTTTGCTAAAACAAACAAATGAGTCTACCTCGACTCATTGCTGAAGACAGCTGGCTCATTCGATTATTTGCCAATCATATTGGATATTTTTCATTTGCTATCCCAATCGCTGTTCTTTTTATTATTTCAAAAAAATTGGCTTATAAAACATGTAAGTATTAATCATAGAGATGAATAAAATTAAATAGAATATTGATTTCTACTGAATATAATACAAACATTTATATACATTTTATCTAAATTTAAAATTGCTGTGACAATTACATAAATGCCTATTTATTTTATAGTTAATTAGTTTCTATTTTACATGTCACTTTTTTTTCTAAAATGAAAATATCTATCATTGATTACATATTATATTTTATTTAAAATAAAGATACTAATACTTGATAAAACATAACTTAATATTCAACGTACCAAAAAACAAAATTGATTAGCTCGCATAGTGATTCTATGAAATGTTCTCGTGAAATAATATTTTTTAAGTAAAATGTGTGAAATAGCGTTTGGAAGGAGTGAAATAACACATTTCAGTATATGAGAAGATAAATAACAGCATATCTTCTTCTGAAGAAACAAATTATAAACTTTATGAAATTGACATGATCTCTTCAGATATAAATAGAGCGAATTGATTGAGAAAACTTCAGTGTTATTGATTTAGATCTATTGAAAGACTACACCTGCAAGATAGGCAGTAATGCACTTAGCGAGAGCACGTAGAAATATGAACATTTGAATGATAGATAGTCCACCGATCTTTGTAACCTTTCCATCAGAAAAATTACCATTGAGATAAGTCCATGGAAAGATAGGCCGAGATGTGATCTTTCGTATTTGACATGAGTTTTTATTTGGCACTTCATGTTTTGCCAACATTTTTGATGATTTCTGTCACTCTCTACTCGAAAAAAAAATCGTGCTTTCATAAAGAAGTAAGAGGGGCCTTATAATTAAAGCGTCATTTTTTAAGATTTTCGACATATTGAATTTTTCATTTCTTTTCTTCACTTAAGAAGTGAAAATTTAAAAAACAAGGACTTTGTCATGCTCTGCATCATGAAATGCTCTTCCAAACAAAACACAAATTAATTATACAAAAGAAAGGCCTGCATAGAATTTTCGGCTGCCAAATGAGCCATTTTTGCCTTTTGGTTGTTACATGTGTCGCAAAAACATTAGGATATTAGGCTCAACATTATACCATAGTCTCTTCACTACATTCCAAACTTATTGTGAAAATTTCATGCAATTTGAATACACATGACCAAAGATTGACTTTTGAGGGTGCCTTAAACTTGTCAAAAGCTTATGACTGTTTCCAAAATCAATAATGATACTTCAGAATGGAACGTTTCACAAACAGATAACCATTTATCAAGAACTAAAATAACAGCTAATAAGATCAAATTATAGAAGATAATCATTTTTCCACATTTTAGGACAATAAAATATTTTCATCGCTTAGCAATACATTATCAAATCGCAGTTTCTATGAGCATTTTAACTGAACAAAAATGATTACAATATATTATTATTCTTTTAAGGGCCACAACCGTTTCGCGGATTTATTCGGTTACTCATTCGTCTTTGCATATCGGATACATTTACTTCATCATTATCAGATAATACTAATAAAGATACAATATCTTCATCAGTTGAATCACATTCAACAACATCAAATTTTACTCGTTATCACTTTTTTAAATTAATTTTTTCATTTTTTGGTCTTCAAATTTCTTATCTATTATGGGGTTTATTACAAGAACGTATTATGACTCGTACATATGATAATGAAAAATTTACAAATTCTCAATTTCTTGTTCTGGCTAATCGATTTTTAGCTATGATAGTTGCTTATATATCATTAAAAATATTTTATCCAACGAAAAAAGTTGTATCAATAGGGCCACCATTATATCAATATGGTATTATATCCTATGCTAATTGTATGTCAACATGGTTTCAATATGAAAGTCTTTTATATATTAGTTTTCCTGTTCAAGTTATTGCTAAAAGTATTAAAACAATACCAGTTATGATTGTTGGAAAATTTGTTTCAGGTAAAACATATCCATTAAGACAATATTTATTGATGTTACTAATGGCTGTTGGTATTGCACTTTTTTTATCTGGTTATCATGTAAATAATACAATTAAATTACCATTGAAGAAAGCTACACAAAATATAACAACAATAAATGGATTAATCTTACTTATATGTTATTTAGTAAGTTCCATATTATAACAAAAGAGTCTATTTAAGTAGATGATAGTATTAACATTCTTATAGTTTAAGAGACTAAGCTGCACAGTTTTTTCTTCAAGTAAAATAATAAATATTTTCTTAGTAACTATCGAACGATGAAATCTATCATTCTTCGGTTATGTGAAATTTCTTCGAGTGACCCAAAAATGAATGAGCAGTTTGTATAGAAAACTTCGCATCACAGGTTTAAATGCAATGATTAACTTATGTTGATCACTGTTATTATTAGAGGATTCATTTCATATAATAGTATTTATCTAAAGAGGGATGTTTTAAAAAAACGTCTTCGACAAAAATAAATATGTAGCTCTCAATATTTAAATATATAATTTTTCATTTTGAATGTTTTCTTTGTTTTAGTTTTTTGATGCTTTTACATCAAACTATCAAAAAAAAGTATTTGATCATTATTCAATATCGTTTCTTAATATGATGCTTTCTGTTAATTGTATCTCAACAGTTCTAACTTGTACATCTCTTATTTTCAATGGCACTCTACTTGAATGTATATTATTTATGCAACGACATCAATCATTTCTTATACATGCATTTGCAACATCAATATGTTCATCAATTGGACAATTATTTATATTTTCAACAATAGAAGAATTTGGTCCAGTTGTATTTACAATTATAATGACTATACGACAAGCATTTAGTATTCTTCTATCATGTATATTTTATGGTCATTATTTAAGTTGGTATTCAATTGTCGGCATAAATATAGTATTTTTAGCTATTTTTATTCATGCTTTTTATCAATTTAAAAGAAGCAAACAATCAAATAGTAGCATCGTTTAGAATTTAACATCTGATTCTTTTTTATTTTCTATGAATTCAACACCCGGTGCATGTATTATTTGATAGTTTCTGTGGAAATTTCAAAAAAAAGAGGACAGAAAAGTTACTGTAGTTATGAAATTGGAATATATTTTTTTAACTTTTGTTGATTGTTTACTGAAATGAAAAACACTAATATTGTCGTTTTTTTTCTGTCGAATATCTTGTCATGAGAAATAGTCATTGTGTTGGTCAGTTAATCTTTACTATTAAATTAATAAATCGTGGTTATTTCAAATTTTAAATAATGAATATATATTGATCTTAAGGATTGAAATTGATATTAACAAACACAAATGTGTTTAGGTTAAACAAAAAACTACTAAGTGCGTCGATAAAATTTTTCAGGTTTGACTTTATCAAGCTTTTGAATCAGTCAATATCTGCTGTAATCAACCTTTATTTTTCAGACATTCATAGAAACCTGATATAGCTTTCGTATATACACCTAAATTAGTAATAAAATGCCCAGTGTCAAATTTATAGGATTTAAATCAATTGTAGCTTCCGAAGCTTGGTTAATTATCAACGAATAATCGCCATCAGTGATATAAATTAACACAGTAGATCAAGTAGTTATTCTTTGTCTATCTGAGACAGAAATACATCAATTTCTAGAAAATAATGTCAACAATGATGAGTTTTTTTGCTCTATTTGCAGCTGTAGCAGAAATTCAAGGAATATAAAACAAAGTTTTTGGAATTGATTGAAAATTCTCATATTTTAGTTTTTTTTTTCGACCAGTTCTGAAACCTTTGTTTTGTATTTCATGAGTTTTGACTACAGTTGTGGATAAAATAAAAAAATCTGGTAATGATTGATATAAACAATACACATGATTACATTTTGATTCAAAAAATAAATGTCATCGTTGACGTCATATTCTACTAATTGATATATCCGTAATTTGACACAAGAAAATGGTAACCATTAGCTGGTAACCTTCTATATGAAATAAATACTGTTTTTTTAACTTCTGATAACAAAATAATCTGTTGTAGAGCACAGCATTCTATCATCTTCTACATTAATTATATTATTATAGTTAAAAATCACCTGTCTGCAGAGATGACGGAACTCTGTTTAATTGAGTAAGATTCAGTGCAAGTTTATTTATTTATCCTAAACAAACTTTTACATATAAGCTTGACATAGAAGTGAGCAGAGCTTAACTAGCAAGCTTATTCATACTAATTAATTAGTTGTATTGTTCTCATGAAAAACAATGTACTATTGCGCTGCATTCTTTACCAGAGGAATTTCTAGTATTTACAAAACTATAACAATTTCAAAAAGTATAAAAACCATTTATTTCACATTAGACTGTCTCGTACTCAGAACCGAAAAAGTTTTTTTCTTCGACTGGACTTAATCAGACCGTTTAATATATCAATTAACGAACTAGTTCTTCCGAGAAAAAGACTATAGGTCCCTGCAGACATCCAATATGAAATTCATATAACACTTAAAGTTTCTAATAGAATCAACTTTTATTTTAGTCTGGTACATCCTATATACACTAATATGAAAACGAAAGAAGAACCCTTCAAAAATTCTGATCTAGTTATTCACATCAACTGATATTGAACTATATCCTACGCTTCGCTTATCTGATTTTTTTCAATGAAGATATGATATCTGTTCAGGAATTGGTAAGTTTTATGACATAACGACATAGTTAGCTAGATCTACTATTGTATCAATTTTATAGTTTTCTTCATCACAACATATACCAGGTGTGAACATAACTTTTACGACATTTTTTTTTATTTTGCATGGAACTCTATTCATGAGTATGATAGAATATTGATCTTTTTTTCAAAAGATATGTTAAATGAATGTTCTATTCGATAACAAAATCAAATCTTTATAACTATTTTCGAAATTTTAACAGATCCCTGATACTGTATAAGTGTATCGTCGTGTTATTTCCTATAAGAAAAAATGAGAGAAAGTCGAAAATTGTTGAATTTTGATTTTAATAATTATTGTTCATTCATTTTAGCTATAATGTTTGAAAACAATCACAAACATTATGTGACCTTCAAAGTATTAGAACTATTGCTTATCTTCATCTCAAATGTAAGTGAAAAATAACATCGGTGTCAATTGATCTGAAGGTTTTGTCCTGTAATAAAACCCTATTTTGCTGTGTTGTTCTCGAACAGAACATTAAAAAAGCAGTGAGCTTGGTGCACAAATCACTAGATAAAATTTGCTGGACTATTGAAAGAAATACTGAAAAAGAATTAAGCTTAACAAAATAATACAATGGTAACTTGACTTCAATTGAATTTAATGAAAATATGTTTAGGAGAAATTAGTATTGATCTCGTAGGGAGTATAAAATTTCCAATCTTTGTGCTTAGATACGATTCTTTTCGCCAACAAAGTCAAATTTGAATGCGATGAAACTTCAAAGTTCTAATTCGAATGAGGCTAGCTTAATAGTGTTCACTTTGCATAAACCTCAAGCCTCATCCAGCCTACACGTTACGTCACTTCTACTTGTCTGCATGATTGCTAATATATTCTTAAAAGCACATAGAACAATAAATAAATTAGAAAATGGTAAACACAAGAAGAAGATCAAAATTAATTCGTTTGATATGACTAAAATAACTCAAGAAGTCTTACCATAGTTATCTCTATGATTATTATGAAATATTTTAATATATTCTTGTTCGTTCCTTCAACATTGTACTTATGCACGGGAAACTCCGCCATCTATGTTATAGTTAAAGGCACATTCAAATTCAATGCATGACAAGTAACAAATCATATTCCTTAAATATACATTAAGAAAGAAGAGAAGGAGAGTACTCGTTTCGTCTAATACTCTTTACATACTGTCTTCATTTTTCTCTTTATTCTGCCTTATCTTTTCAAGTATAAAATTTTCGTTATCAATGTCCTTTAAAGGTTAAGTGTCTTCACATGTTTCGTCTAGTATTACTCTTATTATAACCAATAATCATTAGAAATCATTTTGTCGATAAACACTAAATAATTTTCTTAAGTAAAAATAAAATATAATAATAGACGTCAGTGTTTCCAGAAGACATATGTCAATATTAACATTAAATTAATTTAAAAGAAAAAAAACTTTCATCAGTAAAGAAAAGAAAGACTTGCATTTTTTTTAAACATTTATTTACACATCAAATGTCGTTGTGTTTTGTGTCAATAGTACCTATTTTCATGTATCGATCGCGTCCTCTCATTGATCCCTTACGTACAGTTTTTGTCTGTTTTTTTTTTGTTGTTGTACTTCAAAATAACAGTGACATGAAAAATATTTTTTTCTATAGGCCAAAGAAAAAAAAAACCTATTATAATAATATAAAAGAATGACATTTTGTATAATTTTCTTTTTTAAATACCTTAGATTGATCATGCCTTCATTATCGATGAATAAAACTGAGACTCCTGAACAAAAACAATCTCCATTAAAGAATGATGATAATCAAAATAAAACTGATCTTGGTGCAAATATTATTCTTATTGGAGCGCCTGGCAGTGGTAACTATTTCTTATTGTTTTTTTTTCTTGTTGTTTTATTGAAAATAAAATACTCAAAATTTCGTTTTAATATTTCTTTTAGGTAAAGGTACCCAAAGTACTCGTTTAGCAGAACGTTATCAGATATGTCAAATATCAACAGGCGATTTACTTCGTCAAGCTACACAAGATAAAACATCATTAGAAGGTGAAAAAATTCGACGAGTTATGGAATCAGGCAGTCTTGTTGATGATGAAACAGTTATGTCATTAATTGATAAAAGTTTAAATAAGCCTGAATGTCGTCATGGATTTTTATTTGATGGTTTTCCTCGAACGATTTATCAAGGTGAACAATTGGAACAATTACTTGAATCAAGACAAAAACGACTTGATGCAGTTTTGGAATATGCAGTATGTAATCATAAAAAAGACAACAAATTTTTACTATTTAGTACAACCTTTATATTATACGAACAACAATTAAATGATTGCGAATTGTATTTTTCATGAATACATTCATGAGTAATTAACCTACATAAAACACAAAGTTCTCAAGAGAATTGTTTGTCTGTAGAACTCGTTGCGTTAAAAAAAATATTCAATTTCGCCTATTCATGACTGTTGCTGAGCAGTGGTTGTCGTTTTCGAGTATTTTTATCCCAGCAACATGATTTATGGAATGAATCTGAATAGAATTTCTTTTGCCCAAAATGATCAGCGCAACGAGTTCTACAGACGAAAAAATGTTCCGAAAATTGTGTTATTTGCAGTTGACTACCCATAGTAGTATCGATTGAAAATACAATTCGTTAGTATTTCATCGTGGTAGATAGATTGTTCCACATCGATGAATTGTGTTTATGTCTTTGTTTTGATTATCGAAGAATTCATTCGTAAAAATTTTATAGCTAGCCATCCACTAATGATTTGTTCAATCATTTAGAAGCCATTATTCCGCGGTAGTTAACTTGAGAAATAGTGAAGTTTTCTAGGCTTAATAAAGAGAAATACGTCATTTCTTTTTCATCATTTATTTCAAAACAGTAACAAATAAAACTAGTAAGCATTAATATTCGACGCAACTGCCTATATTCCCTTGACTATAATTAGAACCGTTCTCGGTGAATTTTTTTATTGAAATATATGTTGCCGTCAGAGTTGATTCTGAATTATATCTACGTACATAACTATTTAATTTAATCAATTTAAAAGAATTTCCATATAGGCGAATCTATTGACAGAATATCCTAAAATTAAAGAATATACCTAAATAAAAAGCAACAAATAAACGCTTTTATTCTGAGAAAGAATGATACTAACATACTAATCAATATCCTTATCTTATTCTTACATCACTTGGTATTTTAATAAAAAAAAAAAGAACACCTGAGAAAATAGAAAAATTTCTGACGCTCCATTGTAAGATATTAATGCTAAAGGGAAACTTTATAATTGATAATAATTCTAATTGAGTTTTAGTTTGTAAGACGTCATTTTGAGATTCAACTGAAATTAGTTAAATTAAAAATTTGAAGATATATGATAATGATGAGAATATATTTTTTGTTCATATTACTTTGTAGCTAAATATTCTCTGAAGATGATTGATGCAATACCATTTTAAATTAAAATTAAAGTAATATTGAAAAGGTTTCCTTATCATTGTATTACTAAAGCCTTGTATTTTGTCAAGAACATTTAAGAGAATTTTGAATTTCTTATATAGAGTCCCTGTGTAAAATTCAACAAATACTATCATGAGAAAGAACACCACGAATGACGTTTGAGGAATACAAAAAACTAATATAAATTATGATATTCGGAGAAAATCAATAATATTCCATTGAACTTATTCACTCCAAGAACGATGGTAATATCATAATTAAAGAAAAATACTACGCTAATTCAACAGAAAAACTTGCTCTATTTAGCAGTTGTCAGTTGAGTTATAGTTACAGCAATATTTTTAACATAATTTTATTTCTATGTGCGTGATACGAATGATATTTTCCAGATGCAGATATTTTCATCTTATTATTAGAGTCCATGAACGTCATAGCATATTATTGAATTACTCCGGATACCATAGCTCATGCTAGTTCATGTGTTTTCAAGTGTTATTCGATGTATTTTTCGTCGGTACATTATTTTTTCCGATTTATATATAGAATCTATGTATGAATTGCAAAATTTTCTCAAATATTCTCGACAAAAACACAACGGCTAAATAATATGATAAAAATTAATTTTGTTCAATATAACTTTGGTTTTTGATTCCAATGTAATTATTCGAAGATTATTTAATGTGTATTTCCCTAAATTAAAATGTCTTTGAATTAGTTACCATGCATCTTCGAGATATATTTAACTACAAAGAAAAATATTATGAACATTATTCTACACCTTCAATTTTTAAGTAGATTTCAGTAGAATCTTTAAGAGGATAAACAACTTATAGCCCAATTAGAATTATCATCAATTATAAAAGCTAAAGATTTTATTTAAACAGTAATATTTGATAATAACGTGCCGAAAATTTTTCGATTTTCTTAAGTGTGTGTGTGTGTGCTTGGTTAAGACATCAAGTGACGTAAGAATAAGATAAGGATGATAATTAGTTTGTTAACAGTTATATATATACATAATAATTGTATGTTAAGTTTTATTCTTTCTCAGAATAAAAATATTTATTTGTTGCGTTGTATTTTCAAGTATTCTTTTGTTTTGAGACCCATTGTATATATGCATTGAACTATGTCATTATATGAATAAAACCTCAAATTATATATCATTTACTAATTAAATTTAGATTGAAGATGATCTGTTAAAACGACGTATTCTTGGTCGACTTACTCATAAATCATCAGGTCGAACATATCATGAAGAATTTAATCCACCTAAACAGTCAATGAAAGATGATATTACAGGTGAAACACTTGAACGTCGTTCTGATGATACTGATGAAACACTCAGCGCTAGATTAAGTACTTATCATAAACAAACAAAACCATTGGTACACAAAAAAACAATTTTTTCTTTCAAGTTATTTTATTTTTTATATTTTATTAATAGATTGATTTTTATCGTCAACGAAATATTCATCGTTCAATAAATGCAACACAAAGTGTAAATGATATATCTAAACAATCAATTGAAACAGTTGATTATTTCCGTAAACAACCAACATCTAAACCATCAACAAGCGCTGCTCTACAAACTGAAACTAATGATACATTAGCAATAAAATCAAAATCAATAACAAATCAATGTGATACTGAGACAAATCGTTTAAGTAATAATTTTCTATTTATATACAATGCAGTGACATCGGTATTACGTGATCGTGGCATTATTTAAAAACAGCAAAACATTAATTTGTTTAAAAAGATCTGCACGAAAAAACAAAATTTTCATTCCACATATATAGCTTAGATTTTCGTTTTATTACAAGGCTTTTTGTTTTTCTATCAACATTCACAGTAAAGTCTTTCTCTTTTTTTTTTGGATCTATAGTTGTGAAGATTAGATTTGATTGTGAGTTTTTCTATCTTTGGTGATGTTTTCCTTTTTATGAAATAAAAAAGCAAGTCATCAAGCTTCTTTTTTTGTTTGATGAACTAATGATAAAACAAATAGGACATTGTCACATTATTGTCTTTTTTTATTACAGATGTTTATTGGTATCCAGCTTTTATTATTATTTACAAGTATGTCAACAAATTCCGTGAGGTAATAAAAGGAAATTAATAAAAAACAAAATGTATATTTACTTTGTTTAGGTCAACAAAATGTTTATTTTCATCTGAGAAAACTCTATTCGATTTTACTAATTCAATTTCATCAGTTAATGATTGGATTGAAATATCCGATACTGAACGTGATGTTGGAAAATCGAAAGGAGTACTTGTTGAACAAAAAACACAAAAATTTCAACGAGCTATTTTTTTTTCATTACTTAATCCACAACCAAATGGTGCTGGATTTGTTGGTATTGCTTATCGTAAGAAATCATTTGATTTAAGTTCATTTACGGGTCTTCAATTATCTGTACGAGCACAAGGTGAAAATTTTATCTATAAAGTTATATTAAGACATCATAATGAAGAATCATCTTTACAACCATCATATGAAATCTTTTTTGAAGTAAATAAAAAAGAAATAGTTAAATTAATATATTGAATTTTGCTTTTTTAGTTGCCTAAAAATGAACTAACTGAACAATATTTAGCATTTAATGATTTTAAACCATATAGTCGTGGTAAACCATTAGATCCGAATACAACACCACCATTAGATCGAACAGATATAACAAGTATTGGTTTACAAATTGTTGGTGGTGTTTATTCACCTATTAAACAACATGGTACATCTAGTTTAGAAATTGATTCAATTAGTGCGGTTACATGTGAATGAAAGTCTTTGTTGTTGTTGTTCTTTTTCTTCTACAGAATATACAGATGTTTTTTAGAATAAGAATCAAAGTCAACATTTTTTTTTTTTGTTTTTTATAAAACTTTGGATCTACTATTAGTTGTAGTATTACAATATTGCGATATAATATTTACATTTGCATGTATTATTGTTCTTTTTATTTCATTTTGATAATGCCCTTTTAGTATGAAGTCATATTAGAGTAGCAAACAAATATCGATGTATTGTTTCGGAATACTAAAAACAAAAAACAAGAAATATGACTAATGCTTTTTTTTTCGCTTTGTTCAGCAATGAAAAATCAAAACAAAGTATTTTTTCTTTCTAGATTACTTGGTAAAAATAATTGATTTCTTATGTGTTTATTATGTACTCGTTTTTCTTTAGATCGAATATCATGTTTTTTTAGGTCTTATCATATAGCTTACAGCTAATAATGTAACAAAAGAAAAAAAAAACGAAACGAATCGAATCAAATATAAACAAAAAATGTGCATCCACTTGTTATAGTTTATTTATTCTAGTGGGTATACGAAAGTCAGTTATTTATTTTCTTCTTGTTCTATTATGTTTGAATAGAAAAATCATATAAAGACTTTGTCATAGAAAGTATTCGCAAATAATTATTGATTATGGCGCTGTAGGAGAATGAAGAGAAGAGAAGAAAAGAAAAGACCTGATGTTTTTTGCATTGTCAGCATGTCATTGCTTTTTCTTCGTGTCTCTAGTCGTATCCCATTGTAACGATTAAAATAAAATGATCTAATCATTACAAATAGACATTGTATAGTTGAGCTTGAATATTTATATGTTATGATTTATCTTTTAGTTTTTTCTGTTATTTCCAACAAGAAAAAGAAATATGTCGACAACATTGGATGATCATCAATCAAATAATCATTTAACTGGTTTTGATATAACAGCATTAGTTATTTATTTTATTTTATTAGTTGGCACTGGATTTTATTCGATGTTTAAATATAACCGTTCAACAGTTAAAGGATATTTTTTAGCTAATAGACAAATGCCATGGTTTTGCATAGGTGCAAGTTTATTTGCATCGAATATTGGTGCAGAACATTTTATTGGCTTAGCAAGTTCTGGTGCTGCTAAAGGTACAAAAAACCTTGAAAATAAAATGAATTCTCCACATATATATTTGCATGTTTTAGGTATAAGTGTTGGAGCATTTGAACTGAATTCTATTGCAGTTATTCAATTACTTGGTTGGGTATTTTTACCAGTTTTTATAGCTACTGGTGTTTCAACATTACCAGAATATATGAGTCGAAGATTTGGTGGACAACGTATACGTGTTTATATAGCTTGTCTTTATCTTCTTCTATATATATTAACAAAAATAAGTGTTAATATCTATGCAGCATCATTATTTATTAATTATGCTTTTCATTGGGATATATATTTAAGTGTTCTATTTGTTCTTATGTTAACTGCTTTATGTACTGTATCAGGTGGCTTAGCAAGTGTTATGTATACAGATACAGTACAAGCTATTATAATGATATTCGGAGGATTTGTTGTAATGTTTTTATCATATAAAGAAATAGGTGGCCTATCAAATCTTTATCGACGATATTTGAATGCAATGCCATCGGTAATAAATGATGAATCATATGGAAATATGACAAATATATGGTTAAATCAAACGAATTTAACATCAACATGTGGTAAACCAACGATGAAATCATTTCAAATATTAAGATCCATATCTGATCCGGATATGCCTTGGCTAGGATTTTTTCTTGGACATACACCGAATACAATTTGGTAAATATTTTATTTTTAAGCAAGTTTAATCATATTCGAATGGATAAGAGAGAATTTTCTACTTTTTGAATTTCTAATCCTTATAATAGAATGGTTTGTATAGAAAAGTAAATCAATATTTTAAGAATAATATGATGGTAACAAAAAATAGACAAATTTTGTTCTTGTACATCTATCGACTTATTAACGAGCTTAGTCTTTCGGTTTTGTCAAAGCAATGAAATCAGGAATACATTAAATTTCTCATGTTTTGAATTCATATTGAAACCTTGTAAATTCTCAGATATGTTGAAACATGAGTTGCATTAATAAGTAGGAAAAAACAGAATCAATCGGATTATTTTTCATTAGGTATTGGTGTTCTGATCAAATGATGGTTCAACGAGTATTAGCTGCACAAACTATTTCACATGCTCGTGGTGGAACTTTATTAGCTGGTTATTTAAAAATTTTGCCATTATTTATGATAATTATACCTGGTATGATAAGTCGAACATTATATCCCAATACAGTTGCATGTAATCAACCATCGGTCTGTGAATCAATATGTCATAGCAAACGAAGTTGTACTAATATAGCTTATCCCACGTTAATATTAAAAATTTTACCAAATGGTTTTAAGGGTGTTATGCTTGCTGTTATGCTTGCTGCATTAATATCAGGTTTAACATCAATATTCAATTCAGCAAGTACAATATTTACTGTTGATATTTATCCCAATCTATTATTTTATCGTCGAAAAAAAATCAAAAATCGAGAGTCAATGATTGTTGGTCGTCTATTTGTTATTGTTATGACATTATTTGGTATTGCTTGGATACCAATTGTTATACAAATGCAAGGTTCAGAATTATATATTTACATGCAACAAGTTATAGGATTTTTAGCACCACCAATAGCATGTATTTATTTATTATCAGTTTTATGGACGCGTGCAAATGAACGTGGTGCATTTGCTGGATTAATGATAGGTTTTATATTTGGTTTATTAAGAATGATACTTGAATTTTCTCAACAACCACCATTATGTGGAGAAAAAGATACAAGATTTTGGTTAATTAGAAAAGTTCATTTTATGTATTATGCTTTATTTTTATTTTGGTTAACTTTTCTCACTTGTGTTATCGTATCATTATGTACAGAACCACCGACAAAACAACAATTATATCGAACAACATTTTGGACAAGAAATCAAAAATCAGATACGGAATTAATCAAAATGAAACAACAAATTAATAGTGGAGCTTCATTTGTTAGGTAAAGATTACTTGAATATGTTTTATAATCAAGAGGCAAATGCTAGGATCTTGATCTTCTTTAAAAGCAATCATAAGGATTTCCCTCTTTTTCTCTATAAGATTATACATATGCACTTATGTTCTTCTTTGCTTTTCTCTTGTTGTTAGCCATACGTCATAGATTTCCCTTTTCTGTCATATATGTATATGATGTGGTTTTTTCCTTTCTCTCATATGTATATTGGATGGACATTTCCCTTCCCTTCTGATCTACCTTTCTTCTTCATAGTTTATAAAAGTTTATCTCATATTATCGCCCTATATATATAGTCATTACATTTTTGTGAAGATAGATTTTGGAGATTAAGATATATACATGGGGGTGACCAGTCTGGCCGGAGGTCCCAATTCTTTTTTTTGTCGTTCTGCTTCTATAGTATTTCAGAAAAATATGATTTTTTTACCAGTTATACTACTCGTATAATGCTGATAATCTGTCAAATATAAGACGCTCATACTGTGTTTAAAACCAAAATAATTAAACTCTTCGAAAAATCTGTTCATAAAGAGCAAAACATTTTTTTTGATGACTGTGATTATTTTGCTTTTAAACAAGGAATGGACGTCTTATACTTGGCAGATCATCAGCATTATACGAGTAATATAACTGATAAAAAAATCGTATTTTTTTGAAATACTATAGAAGAAGGACGACAAAAAGATGAATTGGGGCCTTCGGCCAGACTGGTTACCTCCATATATATAGAAATATAGTATCATTGAGATTAAGATCTCACATCAGAAGAAGGTTTCTAAATACACAGAAAAAACGAACAAAAACTCTATTGAATGCGGCATTATTTAAGAAGTTTCGATCTATTGTTTTCTGACTATGCTATGAAGTTATCCTACAAGACAACCTTCCCCGAACGAAAATCACTTTTGAGTTCGAAGCCTATGCATAAGGTAAATTCCAGTGTGATATTAAAAAAATGATAGCCCATATCACGGTATATACTCAAGCATCTGATGGTGATGTTTTGACACGAAATTTTGTCTATAGATAGGTGTTCTTGTAAGTAGAGTGTTCTCTTAAGGAGATATTCAATTTCCCAAAATTATTCATATTCGAGAAAGAAACACTTGTTTTCGAGCTCATTCTAGTTACAAGTTGGCAAACCTATATGCAAAATTTCAGTGAGATGACTATAATTCTGGAGGAAAGACTTAAACATTCCTATCCTTTTGGGAGTTTTCAATAGTTCATTGAAGTCTACCTTATATACAAAATTCGAACTTAAAAGTAATTTTTCAAGTCCGAAAGATTCCCGTGTTAGTCAATATCTTAATCATGAGGTATTTTATTAACTTATTAAATATAAATTTTTTTTTCATAACGTATTTCATTGTCTATTTTAGTCGATCACTTCCCTGTAATGATACACTTTCAGCATTTCCAATAAATCATACTACTCCAAATAATGCAGTTGAACAATTACATCCTGAAATATTTCTTCCACCATCATCATCACTTGGTCCTGGAACATTGCTTATAACTCGTGATGGTGAGGATGATGTAAATAGTGTTCGTATTAATACAACACGAACAAGTACAACTGAATTAGAATATAGTGATACCATGAACAAATCTCTAGTGCAGTCAAAATCAAAGATTTCGAATGGTTCCAATAGTCAAAAAGCTAAAAAAAATGGTTGTGACATATTAGTTCTTTTAAAATCATGCTGGTCATGGTTTTGTGGTTTGGATGGTAGTGATGATGTTGATAATCAAGATGAATTAACTGTAGCTAATGTATCTTATCACTGTCTTCAACAAAAAATAGCAAATGATGGTATCAATGAAGGGAATGATTCTATGCTACAACATATTAAAGAACAACCAATTATAAAATGGATATTAAATGGAAATTTAGTATTTATTATTCTTGTGGAAATAACTCTATTTACTGTTTTTTCATTACCTGCTAAGTATACATTTTTGCGGAATTAATTCAATTTAATTTTTTTCCTTTCTAATACTCAGATATCTCTATATTTTCTTTGAGTTCCAAGTTGATATTGTGTCTCATTCATCATTACTTTTTCTTTTTTGCATATTGTGAAGTTTTAAATCTTTTTTATTGTTGTTCTATGAAGTATTATTTTGCATTTCCTCTGGTGGAGAAAGAGTGAAATTTTAATAACATAGGTGATTTAATATATATTTGATTTCAAAAATAAATAAATAATTGTTAATTTTATTCGAACTGAAGTTTATTCAGTTTTATTTTTATTAGACTTCTTTTGTTTCTCTATGTTAATAAAATAATTAAGAACTTTAACAGTTAATTATAATCGATTTGGACTGATTTTCTATATCATGCATTGAAAAGTTTCTAGAAAAATTATTTCTAATCAACATGAAATTTGATATATTTCCCATGCTATTTCCTGAAGATTTCAAATAATGTAATTAATTCAATCCATTTTCTCATCATGATAAATGTTGAGTGAAATCATTTTCTTAATATTTAATTGAAATATTAGAGAATTTTATTGTTCAATCGAACTGAATTTTGCAAATAGAAGTACTGACTTTTCACTCAGAATTGTAACTCAGTACTCAAGGCATGAGGTTACTGTGTGCAAACAAATTTCATAAGCAAGGAGGCGTCACGTCCATTTTTTTTCCATAACTTGCATTTCTGTTTTCATCTATCATCAAAAGAGAAATAGTATACAAAACTTGTGTATTTTAACGTAAAATATTTTAAGTGTTCAACGACATCTATTGAATATTAATTTTATTGATACACTATTTCAGACCATTCTCATTAATACCTTTGTCCCGTCGTAATTTGTTTCTTTCGTTTGATTGTTTTTTTTTTTTGATTTTCCCCTCTAAGATAACTTTCGTCTTACTCAACTGTTATTTAATATAATCGTTTTACATTTTAGAGTTTTAACATGTTTGTTAATAAAATACATTTCTTTTCACTCTTAATTTTTATTCTACCTAATCTAATCACAAGTGAACCACTTGCATTAACTGATAAAACATGGAAAGATATGTTATGTGGTCAATGGATGGTTGAATTGTAAGTTAAATTTTATTATTCAATAATATTATCTATTTCAATTATTAATCATAGTTATGCGCCATGGTGTCCATCGTGCCAACATTTCACACATACATGGCATGAATTTTCTAAAGCTATGATATCGAAAGAAATAAAAGTAGCTGCTATGGATATTAATGAATATCCTTCATTATCAGGTCGTTTTCGAATTTCTGTCTTGCCGACAATTTATTAGTAAGTTAATTTGCTGCTTAACATTAAAATGTCTATACAATAATGGACAAAAGTCTACACCCAATTTTAAACTTGAAAAATGATATCTACTAATGTTTGAGTTGTTTTCTTTTATCAAATACACGACTAATTTTTGATATTTTAGTATACAACTAGAGCCTCGTATATGGTCATTCTTACCACTAATATGAGTTCGTATGCTGAACGATTTCCATCTATGGATGTTTCTCAGATTTCTAAGCGATAATACATAACTATTGACGAAGATTGTAGCGAAGTTGAAACTCATTTTATTGGATTATTACTGAGGTATGAGTTCCAAAGAATAGCTGATAGTTTTTCTTGAGATCATTGGTTACAACTCTAGAAGTAATTGACTGACTGACAAAGCCCTTTCACATTTCAGAGATGTAAATTTCAAAAGAACAATAGATGACATTCATCACAATTCTTTTTGTTATGTAACCAATCGAGATGCGACGGTACCTCTGATCTACGTTCCTAGTAGAATATTCGCACACAAATATTTCAACCTCCAGTATGTATATTAGCTGAATTACAGTGGGTTGGAGACTTTTGTCCACTACTATAGATAAAAAATTCACATCTATTTGATATAATATTTAACCAATTGGTCATCGACAAAAGATAAACACACGTCAAACCGAATGGTTGTACATTATGTATGTTTGTGTTTTATCGCAGGAGTTTAACATAGACTGTTATAAAAAATGTGAATGTAGAAAGCTCCGATAGCTAAAATTCATGTCGAAAAGTATTTTGTATTTGTTTCTTATCATAATCTAGTGTTCGTGATGGTGTTTTTCGTCAATATAAAGGTGAACGTTCATTAGAGCGTTTGAAAAATTATATTGAATTTGAAGAATGGCGACGTACAGAACCAGTTTCATCATATTGGGCTCCAGATAGTATTTTGTATGTTAATATAAATTACTCATATTAATATTCTATTGATTATATTTTTAAAGAATGTCAATACTTAGTTCAATTTTCGATATATCTGTATTGGTTAAAGTTTGTATAATTTTGTTTTTGTTTATGTAAAGCTTTATATCTTAATATAGAATGCATATACACTTTTACAAGATCAATATGGATGGCCAGCATGGCTTATTTATATATTCTTTACTGTAGCTGTTATTGTTATTGGACTTATTCTTGGATTTGTATATGAAATTTTTTCCTTTTTTTGAATTGATTGCATATTATAAATATTTTCGTTTATTTTTTCCTAAGGGTGTTCTTATGATTATTGATTATTGTGTAACTGGTACAGTTAAAGATGATTTAAATAATATACCAGATGATTCAAGAGATGTTGAGGATTTCGTATGTATAAATAATTCTATAAAATATATAAAAGAAATTTTTTCTTAGGATGAAAATGATTCACCAAAATTATTAAAATCTAAAAAGCAAAAAAAACCAACTGTATCATTACCAATACATATAACATCATCAACACCACAACGTTCAACAGCAATAAAAAATCGTTCGTCACCTGTTATAGAAATTCAAGATGATGAAGCACTACTTGATGAAGTTCTTGCATCTCATCAAGATGATAATGATGATAGTGAAGAAGTAAATGTATCAGATGTAGCACCAGGAACTGATGATGAAGAACAAACTACAACAACAACAAATGCATCCTTACGTCAACGACGAATAAATTAAAATTCGTTTTTTTTTCGTCAATCCGTCTCAGAAATAATAACTTCTGTGATAATATTTATAAACACGCAAGAACAATATTAAGTGTCTATTCTTACTTGATAATCTTTTTTCTGTCTATAATATATATATATATATGTTATAAACAAAATTTTTTCTCTATGAACTGAAAGAATAATTTAACTTTTTTTTGTTTGTCTTCTGTATATGAAAATATTGACTTGAATTATCTAGTTATTCTTCGGTGAATTCTATGTTCTTTTTTTTTTGTTCTCTTTGTATAGCAAAAGAAAAATCATTTATAATTAGATGAAATATATAGATTTATTAATTTACATTTNGTGTTGAAGGTTTCCAAAATAAACTATTTACATTGTTGACTATTGCATATTCTATCTTTTTCTTGACACTTACGAGAGTACACTAATTCAACTCTGACAATATAAAAACTGATTATTGATAATACTGCAAGAATATTATGAAAAACAGATAATATTTGTTTTTGTATTTATATATCTGCTCATTGTTTGAAATTACTTTTCTATTTCGGGTTGTTTAAGTCGTTTTAAACGATCAGTGTTTTCAATATTATGTATCCAAATAGCAATTGTATAAGCATCAAAACTTTTATTTTGAATATATTCTAATGAAATTTCATTTAAATGAAAAAAATTTATTCGAAACTCATCCAAGACAGTTGATGATGGTTGATAAAATTGAATTTTTCGAATAAGATTATGATTTAATTTCAATTCAGTTAGAAAATCATTAGTTTTTATTGAAAATAAATAAGCTAATGCTTGAAAAAATATTTTTAAACGTTTTGGCGCACGATGCCAATGACGTAAATTAAGAAATGATCGATATGGAAATAAAATAAAATTATCTTGTTGATCGATTATTTTATTAAATAATTTTGATTGTTTTATTTCTTCAATTTCTTTTTCAATAATTTGTTTTTCTTTAAATAATTCGAAATATTTTTCTTCTTGAATTTTAAGTTCACTTTCATGATTTAATAGAAGATGAGTTTTTTCATTAATTGAAAATCGATAATGATGTGAATTATCAAAATGATGACGAATCGATTTAAAATCCTTTATTGAATTAATTTATTAAATAAAATTTCTAGAATATAATTCAACATACTTTAATATCATTGACAGTTATGTCTAAGAATGTTGTTGTATATTCTTGTTGCATTGATTTATCTGTCAAAACAAAATAATTCCCGCTTATGGTTTAAAGTAAATAAAAGAAATACAAATAAAAGAATTTGAAGTCGTTCGTACAAGAAAAATTATGTTTGAAGTATTTTTCCTATTTTGCTTAGTAAAAATTAAAGACTAACAAAAAAAATGTATTTGTACGCAACTTGCATAAACAATAGAAAACAAAACAAGTCGAAGTGAGTGAGTGAATTTAATTCGAATCACCTGCAAAATGGAAGATTTTTGCCAATGATTGATACTTAAAAATGTAAAACATGAATAATTATAAACGAAATAGAAAAGTAATTTCAAACAATGAGCAGATATATAAATACAAAAACAAATATTATCTGTTTTTCATAATATTCTTGCAGTATTATCAATAATCAGTTTTTATATTGTCAGAGTTGAATTAGTGTACTCTCGTAAGTGTCAAGAAAAAGATAGAATATGCAATAGTCAACAATGTAAATAGTTTATTTTGGAAACCTTCAACACAATGTAAAATTGTCGATCTTTTCAACATTTTTATCAACGGTTCCTTTTGCTCGAGTTATCATTTCATGAAATTTAGTGTACACTCGTTAGACGCTGAATAGATTCCTAACTTAAAAACATGTCCAGTTTGAGATTTGATGAATGTTTACAGCTATCAATATACTTTTAACTTAAAAAGTGCTGATTTAAAACTAATCATTTCCAGAGAATTATTTAAGGTCAATGTTAAAGATTGTCATCGAGCCATTTTAAATATATTATGTTTTTTTTAATCATACAACTTTTAATGATAAGTTAGAAAGTTATAGCGAAAAGATAAACGAATAAATTTTATTTTGGATAACTTTGTAATATTTGATCTAGAAAAATATTCTGTTCCTAGTATTCATTACAACGTGTTTATAATCATGTGTAATATGAACATTACATATTTTGATTAAGAAAGGTTTTGCAAGATACTAGACCGAGACGTCCGAAGATATGTTTTAGATTTTGATCTGTGATATTTAATTTGAAAGATTATAATGTGTATATACAAACGTCACAATATTAGGGTCCAACGTAGATGAATTGTGAAGATATAAGGGACACAAGTAGATCACCTTCGGCATACCTACCAAAATTTAGCACTTTTTCTGAGTTGTTTTGCGCAGTTCATTTCTATAGCAAAACTTGATCAAATCTTTATGTTTTATATATCATTTGATAGTGCAGAATCTACTCTACAAAATCATATATGAAATCTTGTTTCTGTCAGATTTATTACTAAAACAAAAATCAAAATACAACGCTCCATTACATTTTTCTTGAAACATATCGTTTTCCAGTCTTGGGTCAAAAGAACATCATAATTAAACTCTTCCAGAAAAATAAGAATGAATTCTGAAAGCTCGTGAAAAATTGCATCTTTTCATCAAAATATATGTCTGGTAAAACTTTGAGAACTTTATCACGTACGTGTAAGAGGATATCGTGAAAATATTTCGAATAATTAATTGAAAAAAATGTATGAAATTGATAAAAGGCTATTTAAGCTGCTGTTAGTCAAATTATCATATCTGAGCGAAAATTAATTCGTTTAGTCTTAAAATTTGGGGGTATTCTTACAAAAATTAGCTGTATAGAAAGGGGATAATTTTCATCGAAATCTGAAAATATCAATTGAGCACGATCCGTCGTGGCTCCTGTACAGTGACTTCATAGGTACACATTACAATCACTATTGATCTATTATAAGATTATTAAAAATTTTTAAAAGATGTTCTAATCGACTCAATTTTTTATGGTAAACACGAATATGATATTTAGTATCATATTTGATAATGGCTAGCTTAACAAAAGCCAAAAGAAAGTTTTTTAAAATATTTAAAAAAAGTGATTCTATAGAAAAAAAAGTATATAGTGACCATATTATTTTTAAAAATTCTATTATGGATATCCTACATTTTTCATTTGATTTACATGTGAAAAGATGCAGTTTTTCACGGGTTTTCAGAATTTGTTCTTATTTTTCTGGGAAAGATTAATTATGATGTTCTTTTGATACAAGACTGGAAAAAGATATGGTTCGAAAAAAAATGTCATGGAACTTTCTATTTTGATTTTTGTTTTAGTAATAAAGCTGACAGAAACAAGATTTCATATACGATTTTGTAGAGTAAATTCTCGCACTATCAAATGGTATATAAAACATAAGGATTGAATCAAGTTTTGCTAAAGAAATGAACTGCACAAAAGAACTCAGAAAAAATGCTAAATTTTGAATAGTTTTACCGAAGATGGTCTACTTGTGTCCCTTATATCTTCACAACCCATCTACGCCGGACTCTAATATTTTGACTTCTGTATATACACATTATGACCTTTCAAACTAAATATCAAACTCTAAAACATACTTCCGGACACCTTGGTCTAGTACCTGGCGAAATCTCTCTTAAATTGTTAGATTATTTGATGAATGCTCTCTCAATCCCAAATATCGAATATTCTCATCTTACACTATTAATTGTTGTCAGCAGTTACCATGATTATCACGAATTCTTTTTTGGTTAACAATAATAGTCTGGATCGACTGAAGACTCACATTCTTTATTCAATAATATAATCAGTTACAGATACGAAGCGATTTCAATGGAAAAACTAATTGTCAACAATGGTTTTCTAGAGAGAAAAAAACATTCCATCGAAAATCATATGGCTTTGCAAATAATGACATTGAGCATATTTCGAAAAATTGAATGATGTAAAATATTGATTTATTGAATAAATGTTCAAGGATGTTTGACGATAAACCATTTCAAATGTTTTAATTCTTGAAGGTGAAGATTTTACTTTTTGACTTCTTCGCTTAAATAATGTTTCATCATTAATTGTTCGTAAAATAGCAGTTTTTTCTTGATTCAAGTTACTAATAAATGATGTAACAAAATTTCAAAACGAACTTTTATCTGTAAGTTTATTTTCACCGTTAATGGATTTATTACTATTTATCTTATTATTAACAATATTTGTTGCTTCGCTTTTATTTATATCTGTAAAGACTTCATCATCTAAATCATCGCTGCCTAAATCTGCTGATTTTGTTAATTGATGATAAGTATAATCGACCAAGAAAACTCATACTTTTTTCATGGTGTTCATCGAAATGAATTGTTTCATTTAATTCAAATGTGTTAAATATTTTACGGTTTTTCGGTCTTTTTATTTTTCTTCATTTTCTTGTTTTTCAATTGTTTGTTTATATAATAATGATAAACGATCTTCCATTTCTCCATTGAATTGTTTATCAGTTTTAAAATACAGGCCATCTGATGGAAAATTTTTAGATGTTGAAAAACGATACAATCCATTTTTCTCTATTGGTGTTGTATTCTAAATAATATCATTAATCATAAACAATAAAGAGAACTTTTTTGTTAAATATTTACCGTCCAAAGTTCAGCTTTATTATCAATTGTCCAAGCTAAAGTTTCGATTTTCATATTTGTATCATTAGTTGGCATTAAATTACATCGGTGCCGACAACTAAAGTAAAATATATGCTTTGCACGCGTTACTTCACATACCTATACTGTTAGAAAATATGTGAATGTTACCTGATTTCTTCGTTTCTATTTCTGTACGTTAGAACCAAATCATCTACATATTTTTTTCGAATTGCTATATCAACAAATCAAGAATATTCTTATCTTTCAATTACATCTAACTGTTTATGATGATCATATATTGTAATAAAAAATTCGTTTTTTTCTCTCTTTGTCAACAGGAAAATTCGTATTCAAAAATAAAATTTATCTTTTTTGAGTTGTGGATATGCATGTAAAAATGTTCATTTTAATAACACACACACCCACACCTATAACCACACTCAAAGTTCTAAGTCGAAATTCGAAACTCGGCTTTCTTGGTGTTCCTGTCAGGAACCACTGAGTTCTGTTAAAAAATAGTGTGTCGATAGCAATAAACTATTACCTGGAACTCTTATTAGGGTAATCATAACTTATTAGAACCTACATGATGCACATATTAGTTCAGATTCAGAAGCTATTTGATAGTTAAGAACTTATTCAGTCACTGACTGCAGTTCTTTAAATAACGTGCCACATCACTATAATTATTATCTGCAATTAGTATTAATACACATAATATTAGAACACTTTTAATTGTACGGTTTTCATCTTAGAACATTGACGATAGCTTTAATCATCCAAATGAAGACAGTCGCAATTCAGATTACCTAATTTTGGCAAAAAAAACATCCTGACCTATTTTTGTTAATAGAAAAAAAACAGTATTCGTAGCACTGAATAAATAATTTGTTTGAATTTATTAGACTTCAGTTCGTTTCGTAATTTACATTACAATAGAATCTCATCTATTTTTCTTATTAAAGTATCAACGAGAGAAATTTCGATGACAACAATCACTTATCTTCTTTTTCTTTTTAATAAAAAAAAAATATTCATTGATCAATAATGGAAAAAAATAAGAATATAATTAAAAATCTTTTTGATTATGTTACAATGCATTTTCTTTTCATACATTCAATTGAATCAATCACTTGATATATTTCATTCACCAACACACATCTGTTTTTTTTCTCTTTTCCATTTCGTTTTTATTTGTCGACGATGAAAAAGACGCAAAAGTATTTGTTTGAGCACTTCTTCGATGTCTATAGTTTTTTTTTAAAATATGTAACAATGAAAGTTTTCTTTTCTCTTTTTGTTACACGTTCTCACTCTTCATCATATATTTTACGACATCGAACATGTTTATCCTTTTTTCGATTCTGTATTCTATTTGACACAATTAATACATTTTTTCTTTCATCAATTGAGATGACGACCACTACAACCAATAAATCAGACACAAGATTTCTTGGTCTACCAAAAAATAAAACAGGTTTTCTTAATTTATCTTTTGTTTTTCTTTCAACAAAAAACACTTTCAACTATATATCATCATCTAGGACTTTTTGCTGCTGATACTATTCATGAAGTTAAATCTACAAGAAATCACTTAATAAATGTTCCTGCATTATCACCACAATTTCGTAATAATGCTTCAACAAGTGTATTATTCGCATCAGCAGAACAAAATCATCATCAATTACAACAATATCGTTCATCAACAAATGAAATTCAACAATATTATCCACTTGATGGAAATAATGCCTCAACTATTGATTCTTCAAATGATTCACGTTTAACAATGAATGGTATAAGAAATGGTTTTCGACCATCAACAGTACGTCATCAAAAATACCGTTTAACAACAGCTACAGCACAACGAAATAATATTCAATATGAAAATAAAGATTCACCACCAAAATCAGCATTTGTTCAATCACATGCTTCAGCTAAATTAAAATCTGAAATCGATCATCTTAATAATAAATTAAGAAAACATGGAGAATCAAGTGCAAGTTTTCGTTATCAAAATAATCGAGTAAGATGAATGTTTTCTACGATGAAAAATCTTCATCATACTAAACAAAAAATCAACCTTTAATATAAACGATATTGAACTCAGAAGAAAAATACATTACAAATTTCGTCAAATATTTGTTTTTCATTAATTATTTACTTCCTACAGAAATTCGTTTGATAATTTAAGGTCAAAATCTATTGTTGATTTAACCTTCTTAATTGGTTAAGAACAATTGAATGATAACAATATTTATTCTTCGTTTTTTTTTAAATAATAATAGCACAATTAGTTTTAATTCTTTTAGGATTTGGATGGTACTCCACAAAGTGATTTTTCCTATTCAACATCATGTCGTCTGTCTTCTGCATCGACTATTTTTACAGCTGATCGTATTCATCAACGTTTTTCATCAGCTATAACAAATGTTCCAGCAAATATAGGCTCTACAATGCCTATTATAAATGATACATCTAATCAAACTTCACAAATTATTGCGGGTATTACTCCAACATCACCACCACCACCACCATCACCACCATTAGTTCATGAAACAGATGATAATCAAAAAGATACAATAGACTATCGAACAACTCATGCTTATCAGGTTCCACAACAATCAAATGTTGGTAGTGACAGTATCTTTATAACTGATGCACCAATAGTTTCATCAATAAAAACACGTTCAGCTAAATATGATGGTCGTCAAAGTGAATCTAAATCTGTTTCGTGTCCTTTTTATGTTATGTATTTAACAAATTTAGCAATGCAACAACGACAAAATAAAACTGATAATAATATTCATAATCATAATAATGTACATGAATTAACACCATTAGGAATGTCATCAATGGTACGTAAAGTACCATTTAATTCACGTATAAGTACAGCTCATGCAAAAAATCAATCAATCCGACGACAAGTGAATAGTCCAATTAGTATGAATACTTATTCAACTATAGACGATGAAGATTCTATGACAATTTCAACATCATTTCCTAATAATAAACGTTTATCAGCCAAAATGTCTAACAGTGACAATGAAAATTCTCATATGTTACGAGATATTCTTCGAACTTCATCATGGAATCATGTACAAGTATAACATTTAATGTGTTTTTATTTTTATTTTTTATTTCAAAAATAATTTCTTTTTCTTTTATTCATTCCTTTTTTTTACTAAAATTTTCCATTGTCATTAGAAAAAAAAGAAAAACAAAATCATTATGATATAAATCATAGAAGTTTTTCCTATGTTGATATTACATCGATTCGGTTGTTGTTGTTACTGGCTTTGACACTAATGAAGAATATTTATAGAGTGGTGTTTGCATTTGTCGACTAGATAAACGATATGAATTTACTTGTATACTTGATCGATCAGTTACACTGGAACGAAATGTTATAGGGCCTTTATCTTGTCTTTGGCTTGAAAAATGACTTGGAATTGATGCTGATGATGCACGTCCTTTATCTTGACAACAACATGGTATTAATGATGGTAAAATAGGTATTGCTGATACACAAATACCTATAACAGAGCGACGAAATTTGTCACTGGTTAATAAATATAAGAAAAAATTTGTCGCGTGTTGTAAATCACTTAATTGAAACATGATTACAGTTAATATAGTTAAACGTCGATAGCGTAACCATTGATAATAATCATTTTCTGTTGGAAGTTTATTAAAACCATATGTCAGATCAAGTACGAAATAGATACTATTTGGTAACGTAAGAAGAAGAAAAACAACAGCAACAGCAAGTAACATTAGTGTTATATGTCGATGTCTAGAACGAATAACTTCCGTTTTTTGATTACTGCGCATTTCAATATCTTGATTTTCTATTCTTTTCTTTTGTTGTTGTAATTTACTTAAACGATTTCCACCTATAAATAAAAATTCAAGAAAACATAAATAAATTTCATTCGATATACACATATGAGTTTCTATTTCCTTTGCAAAAAAGAAAAAAAAGACCACGAAGAATTCAATAGCATATTATCACGAAAAATACACCTTCCGGCTAAACATAGTCTTTCCTTTCGAAGTTAATCATCAGAATAAATGCTATTTATCATGTATAATTTGCCTAAAGGGATTTTCGTAATTATAATGAAGTTCTCTTGAATATATTAGTGTTCTTCTGGAAATGTTTTTAAGAGGCTTACTTCTGTCATTTCTTTTTTCTATACTTTTTTTGAGTTTATTGTTTAAAACTAGGTTTTACATCGACTTTATTTATAATTCATATTAATTTGTTCAAAAATTAAATTTATTAAGTTGTTTTTTTGCTTACTTCGTTCATTATTTATATTAATATCGATCGTTTTTCGAATATTTTTATGTGAACCTCGTCGATTTTGACGTAATTTATATATAATTAAAACACTTAATGTTAATATAAGTATAAAAGGTAAAAAACACCATATGACGAAATCTACATAACGCCATATACGTTGTATTGAACGATAACGACTTATATCATAGTAACAAAAACGTTGTTTATGATCTTTCGGATGTTTTAAGCTATCAATAGTCCAAAAATGATGAAAGGAAATAATACTTGTCATAGCAGGAAGAAATATACAAACATGTTTTGCACGAGTTATAGTGCAAAAATCAGAAACTTTTAAAGGAAACCAAACGGCAAAAAATTTGTCAGCTGTCATAATGACAAGTATCCAAACATTTGTATACCCAAGAACGTATATAAGAAAATAAAGTATTTTACATAATATAGCATGAGCTGCAACAAAGGTTGGAAAGTATACCAGATTTTTTGTTAATAATACAAGTGGATCAAGAACACTAAGAGCAAGCATAAAAAAAGCTGTTGATGTTCCACGCATATGACGACTTCGTAATGCAATGAATGATAAAAAATTACATATAAGTGATACAGGTAAAATAACCAATGGTAAACTTTTGCGTAAAAAATCAGCTATCCATTTTTCCTTCCAACATTCAGATAATAATTCATAAGACGTTTCATTGGTCTTTAAGGAAATATTCCGACAAAAATCTGGTACATTACCCATCTAAAATATGATGATAATAGTAATTGTCTGAAAAGCGACAGTCTTTTATCAAGGCTAATATAGCTAAGTGTCAAAAATATCGATTTATGTCATGTCTTTCTTCTCTCTCAACGGCAAAGTTTCGAACACCGATAATAAGATTATGTACGCATATATATACGGATATGTATATATAAATACATATTGTTATCAATCATTTCATCTGTAGATATACATGTTAATAGAAATATATTGATGATAAAGGTCTTTATTCGATTCTCATATGATTTTAGAAAGATGTTTTTGATTAATAAAAAAAAGAACTTATATGCAATTGCGTTTTTTCTTTCTTCATGTCATATAAAATTCTTCTTTTTTTTGAAAAATTAACATTCGTTTAAAACAAGATCTAAGTCATAATCTAACACTTTTCGATTATAAATGCAGTGTAAGACAGCCATCTATATTTGTTTATCTTAAAGAAAAAGAAAAACTACTTAACAAAAACTAGTCATTCTATAATATGAATAGTCTTTTTTTTGCATCTGAATTATGATGATTTATTCCACTAGGAAAATATGAAGAATTCTCCATGGAATAGATATAATAAAACGAATAAATAGTTTAGGCAAATCCCAAATGGCTCATGCACGATTGAACTCACATTTGAATAGAAAATAATATAATATTATTGGATCAAAAGAAGAAAAATAACTTCGCTTTCCTTACTCATCAACATGTATATAAAGACACTTATTTAAACGATCTCTATTTCCATAATATTGGGAATAAATTTCATTTCCTCTCAAAATATACATATAACTTCATCATCATGCATTTATATGTAACATTTATTTTAATCTATTTCTATGAAGTCAACCGTATATATATATATATCTACATATATATGTTTTGTTTAGTTTAAAAAATTCTAGAGCATCAAAATAGTAAAAATGATTAAAAAAGTATTAGATGCTTTGTCTCTAGAGAAAAATACAATAGTAAATGGTGTTGTCTATATTCCAGTGAACTCAATACATTTTAATATAATTATATACTAATTAAATGTTATTACGAACTCTTTTTAATGTTCTCAGAAAATGAAGTAAAAAACGTCGAGCTTCATTGTCTTACCAGTTACTATAAAAGATCGTATTAGCATATATATATGTATATATATATATAGAGTCTTATGTTCGGCTGCTGTTAGTTGTAATAGTTCTATAAACACTTGTGATCTGTCTGTCAACGAGAGTAGACTAATGGTTATATGTCGTTGTGCATTGAAGAGTCAAGGAAAGCAAACGAGAGATAGAAATCATCAAGTAAAGAGAAGAAGACAGGAAGAAAGAGAGGAAGAGAGAGAGAGAGAAAGAGAAAATGGATAGAGTTTTATGAAAGAGAAGGCAAAAAAAAACGCATATCATGCAAACGGAAATTGTCAACGACAGGGTTCAACTTAGCAGAAATCAAATTAATACAAAACTATATATCTCACTCTCGTTCATATGCCATCATCGACATCGATTGAATATATGCCTTGTTCGTTGAAGTATAGGATCTAGTTCGTTCAATTTGTTTCTCTCTGTCTGTCTCTGTCTCTCTTTTTCTTTCTCTATATTTGCATCCATCCGTAAATGTTGAAGGTCTAATGTGACAAGAAAATAAGTGGGTGGAGATATACATTAGAAAAAAAAAGAAACTACTCTTTTATACTTCGTAGAAAAATGCCATTTACATCATTTTTTCACAAGAACCAATAGATTAATAGAAAGCAAAAGAATTCGATTATCAAGTTCAATGGTCTGCATTGTTATTATTTGTAGGCACTTGATTAAATAAGTAAAACGTCGTCAGAATATTGTAATACTTTTCTTCCTATCAATAAACAAATCATTTTTTCATTATTGACATGTAAGAATATAATTTATTTCATTAAAAGAACAAACAACGAATTTTACAGTGACAAATACCGGAAAGAGGAAACTTTCGTCAATCAAATTTAATCAAACTTACATCCTAGTTATATCATGAATACGAGTACAAACCTTCGTAGTATGTTTGTTCGACGCCCGCACCCAAAACAAAAGCAAATTCTTATAAATTCACCAAAGCATATCTCAATGTAATGTCTGCATCAATTCATTTATTTAAAGAATATTTCTTCTTTTTTTCAAATACAAGAATATCATCCTTTTTAAATTATTATGTATTTCAGTGCAACTATTCCAACCAGTGATAACCCTAATCATTTAGTTTTTTCGAACTAGTAATTTTATTAATTACAAGAAAAAACAGGAAATTGTTTATTGAAAATTTCTGTTTTCTTAGGATAGCCTAATGTAGGACAGTTGCTAATAGTAGATTATTGAGGACAGAGGTTATACCATGTCAAGAAAAAAAAAATCAGGCCATATATGATATGTTAAATGTTCTAGTCAACTGTTGTCACCTTGGACGTAACTGATTTACATGTCTTATGTTTCTTTTTTCTTTCGTATAATCGAATCCAGTTAGTCAAGACTAACTATTCATAGATATTTAGTTTGGAAATTTTATTTATTCAACTAAAAGAATCACGAAAAATATGTATATACAAATGAAGACAAGTATTTCATATATGTAGAATATTGCTTTTTCGTATAAGTGTATGATACACAACTGTATAAGCTGTTGAAGAACAAAAAAAGTGCTGGATTGCGGCTAAAGAAGACAACGACAAGAAAAAAAATACTTTTGTTTTCCGATGTGAATCAACGAACATCTGACAAAACGCCCTCGTATATTCTTAAATTCTCGTCTCACATAATAAAAAACAACAACGACTATGGAATAATTATTTGCTTGTATAAAGTTTTTCATAGGCTGGTGGTGACACATGTTCAATATAAATATCATCATTTGGTTGTGGTGGTGCACTTGGTTGAGGTAACATTGGACGACTTTCTGGTGATTGAACCATAACAGAATTCCATGATTGAGGAGGAACTTGTTGTTGATAATATTGAGGTTGATAACCAGATGGACCTGTATGAACAAATATAGGTTGTGGAACTTGAATAGTAGTTGGAGCTAGAAAATATAAAAAAATGAAATAATAATAAATTTCGTTTTGTTTTCTCGAAAACTTTTGAAATTTACTTGCATGTCTTTTTCGATTATTACCACCACAACAACATCTAACACAAATAATTATTGTTGTAACAAGACAGCAAAGCATACATAATGAAGCTATAACTAGCACTACAATGGCTACCTAGATAACAACAAAATAGCAATTAGTAATAAATTATTGTTTGATTTATTTTTAAGAAAAAAAGAAAAATGCTTGAAATTTCAACCAAAAAATTGCATTTCAAACAATTACAAAGCACTATGTTAATGTATAGAATAGAAAATAAAATTTAAATATATCATTATTGTTGAGTGCACTTTTAAACTTAGAAATAATGAAACAAATATGAATCATGCATCCAATCTAAAGACTCTTCATCTTAGTGCTGCCAAGTTTTTTTTTTATCATGAAAACCTATTTACTATAGAAATATTGATTTAAATATAAAACAAAAACTTGAAATCTATTATGTCTGAAAATTCATAAACCTATTTTTTTTTTATAAAAATGTCCTTTTAGAAACTAATGCATATAAAATATAAAAAACTTCAGTAATTGCAGATGTGTCCCGAGGTCGACAAGATTGCGAGAGTTTGAGCATTTTTTTGACACCCAGTGAGCAAAACAACCGAAGAAAACTCCGAAGAAAAACAAAAAATTCTCAAGATCGAGATGACCCGTTTAAGACGCCCCTGAATTACTCAATCAATACTCTAATAATTATAAGGAGTAATCAGGAAACTGTTAGACCAGATTTTTGCTTACTTTTGACCCGCTAGAAAGTATTTTCGACGAGACAATAACATTAGTTTCAACAGAGTACTTTTCTACAAATTTTTATATTTTCACTGTTGCGATTCGAAAGTAAAAGCTGGGGTTTTTATGTATATATCAGTTTGTAAATCAGAAGGTACCCTAAAAAATTCTCTATATGAAGTTTTTTTTTGTTGTTCGACAAAGCACCTAAATTTCTGAAAAATCGATAACTGTTTTATGTCAAAAAGAGATTCTTGAAAAAAATGCTCGTATTCTCACTTGGATGAACACTACAGTTTATTTTAATATCACATGCTATAGATAAGTGTCTGCTCTACACGACAACCAATTCTGAAAATTTTTCATTTCTTTCAAAAAAGTCTCTCATTACTCTTGAACAAACACAGACACAACATTTCTAGAATAGTATTCATATAGCTTTTAACTCATCGGAAATACTTGCTAGCGGGTCTACAGTGAAAAAACATCTTGTCTAAAACTTTCTGATTACTCGTTAGTTTAGTTTTGCTTATGGAATCATAATACATTACCTTTTTTGCCATTCCCAAAATTTCTTCACCACTAAAATACAAAAAAAAAGACAGTTATAATTAAAAAAAACAAATCAAAACCATTGGAAATAGAAATTCTTAAAAGCAAAAACCAAGCTTATCCATATTAGTAATTATAAAAGCAATAAATAGGCGCACACTTTTACAGAATAGAAAAATTCATTAGCATAAATCTGTGCAAAAGTTTAACAAGCAAAAAGACACAAACATTTCATTCTGATGTTATTTTTTCAAATGTATTCGGTAAAATAACACATTATTTTACACACTACATTTTTTCAAATTCGTCGTTCTCGCTATAAATAACAACAATTAATTGTGTAAAGATTACAAGAAAACAAAGACAAATTAGGTAGGTGATATAAAGTGAAGCAGTCTAATCTATGTATTATGTTTAAGTAAACAATATAGAATACCTTTCTGTATTTTTTATCGCTTTAGCTACGCTAATCACGACACCAGCAGTTTGTAAAATTCTATAAAAATCAATAGACTCTATGTTGTTCTCTTACTCAAAAGCTTAGAAATGAAAAAATAACACTATCAAATCTTATCAATTAACTTACTCCAATATTTGACGACGTTCACGTTTGTTTATTTTCGATTTTTCAATTTCTGTATTAAGACGAGTTACTCTATGAAAACAAATAAATTAAGATTTTTCATTGAAATTTATTTTACCTAATTAAAATTTTTTCAGTTGTTGTTTGTTCTGGATGATCATGAGAATCATTATCAATGATATTGTTGTTTGGTTCATGTTCAGCAACAGCAATATCTAAGAAGAACAAGAAAAACAAAACAATCAATAGAATAGCATAAGGCAGATTTTATATTCTTACTGATTACTGATTGTTGAACATTGTTTACATTAGGACGATTTTCAGCATTTATTAAAATAAATAGAAGATTAATTGAGAACGTTAGACCAAATAAAAACATTCCGAATAAAATGACTTTCAATTATTGAAATTTAATTAGTAGATCGTTTTGATTTTATACGAACAACGAAGAATGAATGAATAAGATGGAGGTCATTGAATTTCCTCTTTTATTTTATATTAGGATTTGTCATCCTCATGAATCACAAGAATTTTATTAAAAAAATAACCAATCGACCAAATGTCATGAAAAGATGGCAGCAGTGATAGAATTCTTGATAAAATAAACTGCAAAATGACTTCAAGCTAGTTTAGAAAAGCGAACGATAAATTGCAAACACAAATTCACTATTGTTTGACTTTCAAGACACATGTTCTTTTGATATCAAATTACTTGCTGTTATTTGCTTTTATAGACATACAAAACAAAAAAACAACATTGATGAATAAAAAATAAACGAATTTGTTTTTGTATCAAATAGGAAACATTGAACGATTGAATGTCAATGGTTTTTTTTACACTAAATAATATTGCCTGCAGAAAGTTGGTTTTATTAACAACACATTAAACTCAATGATGACAGTCAACTCTTCTTTCTAACACGTTTTTCATTTTGTGATCTTTCTTAACACTATGTAAATGTTCAAGAAGCAAATAATTCACTCAGATATGTTTGTAATAATTCAAAACAATCTAATATTTCATTATTAATCGTTATTATTTCATTGTGCTTATTGATAAATATTTATATAAATTCTTTGGAAAGATATTGTACTTATTTGAACTTAGGAAAGAATGTTAGAAACCATAATAAGAGAATATTTCTGGAGCGACAACTACGACAGTCCTAATTCAATAGATCGTTTGTTAAAGAAAATAGCATAAGTCTGAAGAATGATAAGTGGGTTATTTTTTTTCTTCTTCACATGTTTCCATTTTCTTTCTTGATATTGAAAAGAATAATTGACCTTCTAAAATTATAAATCTTTATTAGTTTTATTCATCCTTAATAATTCTTTTGTATTTTACTGGAGATAAGTGTACTTCATTATTTTGATCTGAATACATAAGAATAAACGTGAGTTCCTGCAATGATATCAGGCGTACACACCTTATAATAAGGTTTAGTCATATTTGCCATGTCTTTTTTTTCTCTCAAGATTATCCAACTTTACCTATATTGTAAAAAATGATCGAATAGTTAAGATAGAAATTTGAACTCTCTCCCTCCCTCCTTTAGATCATGACAGACTTTGCTGATATACGACCAAAGACCGTGTATCAATAACATCTCGTTATAATAGATAAACGAGTTCCTTATTGCATTTTTTTGAATGATTGATCAAAAAGATGATGAAGAAATGTGTTCCAAAGTACATAGAATAACACAATCTTTCTATGATTAGCAATAACAGCTATATTGTGTTTCACATTTTAATCCTTCGGGATTGTACTAACACTTTTTTCTTTTCTACAAGTAGCACCCAGCGTTTCTAATGGCAGGTGTACCCAGCAGAAGTAAAATGTACGGGACACCTGCTATTACAAAAATACACGCTGCGGTACACTTGCTTAAAAAATTAGAGTGTACAAGGTACACTTTACCAAGTGAATATACACTTTGTTTTTTTATATATTGAGAAGTATTTTTATTCTTACACATTTGCTCTGAAATCATCGATAATAGTGACATCCTTTAGTCCTCTCTGTGATTTGCACAATATGATTGCCTTTTTCTCTCTTCATTTCATTTATTGAGAACATTGTATATTACTAGTACGTGATCTGGTGAAAAAAAGCATAGCTGGAATTGCCAATCAATGTCGAAATATTTTCCACCAATGCACTTTGGTGAGACTGATTTTTAAGAGCCCATTTTTATAATAAATAAAGAAAAAAACTAACATTGAACATTTATGGTATTAATTTCTTCTGACGAATTAAAACTTCGGAGTTATAGACAAAAATTATGAAATTGAATTGTGCGACATCTAATGTTGCATAGTTCTTTTACGCTCTGAAATGCGTGCGTGAGACTAATTTTATTGAAAAAATAAAAACGCAGTTTGAAAGAGAATTTATTTTAAAGTATTTCCATCGTATTTTTATCTTCTGATGCCTCATAAAAACTAGAAAGTGCATTTCGAAATTGATTCGATGACTCATCTGGATGTGTACATAGACTATACATAGTAATCTATATTAAAATTTTATGTTGATTTCTTATTCCAGTTTTTTATATTTACAGTTTATGTATTTATGAAACCATCAAATGTAAATTGTACTTGTTTATCTATTATTTGTTTGTTTAAAATTGATGTATTATTTTATAAAAGGAAAAAAAATATGAACTTGATTTATTTTTCGTGTTTTTCTAGTAAATGAACCTTTGTTTGAGTACATTTTGTACACTTACCATTTAAAAATAAAGTGTACACATACATTTTGTTTTAAGAAAATAGAGTGTACAGTACATTGTATTTTAGATTTCCATTAGAAACGCTGGTAGCACCATCTACCTTTCTATTTGGGATGAAGATACAAATGAAATAGAATAACTTTTCACAAAAAATAGAACAGAATAAATTATTGATCTATATTATAGGACTTGTCGATCAAATATGACCTTAGGTGAATAGATCATAACCACATTCCTAGCATATATCATTGTTACTTCAGTATCCTTTGATGAATGTTATTCATTCTTTTTTTTTCAATTCAAACAGTTTCTGCAAAAGTGTCGTTTCACTTCGTTCTTATTTGAACTAAAACATAAATATCGATATGCATACTTTTGATAAAGTTAGTCGCCAAGTATAAGTTACTATTTACTTTTGTTCTAAGTTCAATAGTACGCTATTAATAAATAACAATGAATAAGTTTTTATCGAAGTTCTAAATTATTATGTAATTTTGTAATTCTTGATAAAGGTTACTTATGCGATAAAAATTTATTGCAATTCTATGAAAGATGTATGTCATTGATCTTCGACATCATTTCAATATGATTTATGCATAATCCTTGATGAGAGTGTTACTAAAGTTTCATTAACCAATTTTTGTTTTAAGTCAAAATTACTTATCAGAATGACATCTTAACTATCCAAAACATTGCAATTGTCTTTTGATAAAATTTGATTCTGAGATCTCATATTTCTCTTACTGTAAAAGTCATTAGAAGTATTATTAAATAAAATACAATGTAAGATATAAATTTAATCTATAAAGTTGATATTATTTAAAAATGATTATTCGCTTTATGGTTTATAATTATTCCATGTTTCATGTCAACACTAATACTTAACTTTTAATTATGGTAATCTTCGATACAAATAGTTATATAATATATACGTTAATAATCAAATCAATACTCTTATCTATATATGTTGACAAGAAAAAAAGATAGTTACTCTGTCTATGCTGATCCTTTATCATTCACTTATCATAAATATCTATTTGTCTTCATTGATTTTCGTCCCTGCAATATTCTATTATGTTTTGATACTAAAAGACAGAAATAATCGTAATAGTATTCAAGTATGCATGCAAACAAGATGTCTGTTAAATTTAAAAACATTCATATTTTTTCAATTAAAAACTTCAATATATTCTTTTAGTTGTTTTATTTCTTGAATAATCTAATATATGAAAAAAAAAAAAACTTTTTTGTGTTTCATAGATCTAATCAATTGATTAATTTCATTAGTTGTTAATTAATTATTTGCTATTTCATTTATTATTATTGAATTTTGAATTTTTTGAGTTGAAAATTTTCTTATCTTTTCGAATAATTAGTTTTTTCTTGAATAAAATAAATATATTCAAATTGGTTATGAATAATCTAATACGAATAGACCATTTTTAGTATGAATTTTATTATTGACACGCCCATATGAATAGATTAGATCTCAATTCATGTATTTAATGTTGTCTATTCAGAACAATAGATTAAACATTGTCTTTACTGATGTAGTTTAATGATGAGTAAAAATCTATTTTGATAATATCACTCAAACAAATGCATTTTTCTTTTCTTAATTACCATAAATTGTCTCTAAAAGTATGTTTTCAAATGATCCTTTTTATTACATGATACAATTTCGCAACTGTTGCAAAAATCATGTGATTAAATATACAAAGAAAAACGTCTGTTTCTCTAATATCTGAAATCTGCATTGTTTTGTAAACATAATTACTTTTACTATAAAATCTATTTTTGAAGAAGTTAAAGCATGAAAACAAAGTTTGCATTTTGATTAGTTTCTTTTCAAAAATCAAACACAAAACAAAGACTTACAATACAAAAAAAAAAAAAAAAAAAAAAATTTAAATAAGTTTTATCTTTATTAACTATCGAATTCGTTGAAAGGAAGGTGATGCATTAGCTTTATTTAATTGAAAGAGCCATTTAATAATTCTTGCATTACGTTCAATCACAGTTAATGATGTTGATGGTACAACTGTTCGTTTTATATTTGATAGACTATTAGTACTATCAAGTGTTGTTTGATCCGAAAGTGATAATAAACTAACACTTTCAAATGCACTACAATCGGAAAAATTTGTTGTTGATATTGGTGTTGATATTGACTGTGTAGAAGATCGTAATGAAAGATCAAGAGAATCTAATCGAATTCGATCATATTCATATTCATCATTGTGATAAGGAGAACGACGTGGTTGTCTAAAAAAATAATAACATTCATACATGAAACATTTAATTATATTAAAAATTAAAATAAAATAAACATACGCTATTTGAAATGATGATGTCATTCGTTGTTGTTGTTGTTCAGTTGATATTTTATTATTTAAAAGTGTTTGTCGATTATGTAAAACTTCTTGACTTTTAACAAAGAATGGTTTTGTTTCATCTAATAATTCTGTTGCTGAACGATGTGAACACTGTTCTATTTTATATAAGAAATAGATAAAATATGTTAAATTCCATTTATTCCAAAAACAGAACACATATCACAAAAAAAATCAATTAAAGTATCATTTATAACTCTTCTAAAGTAAATGACTTTCTATCATAAAGACTTCGATGATTTATGACTTAGACAAGGTTATTTGACATTTAACAGACATGATCATAATGATGACGTACAGATTTTGCTTAGGTTTGTCTTTTCTTTATAATGATATGATTTAAATGACATCTTATTACATCATCAGTCTATATCAGATAAGTGTCAAAATGAATAGTTGACTCATCCGATAATCAGTCTCGTTGAATTCTTTTGTTAAGATAATGATCAGTTGGAAGATAAGTGAGACGATGGATCATTTGGAAATGATGATGATGATGACGATCAGTTGATAAACATGCTTGCTTCATTAACATTTCTCATGTAAACATAAACGACCTAATCATTGCTTCTTTGCGCAAAGCTCCTGTCTCATCGTAATCAATACGCAACAAAACATTGTTAGAATAAAAGAGAATGTTAAGAAAGAAAAGCTATTTGATCAATACCGACTACTTGAAAGATGAGAATTTCGAGGATAAGATTAACTTAATATTAAATTCGAAAAACTTACTTGAAGTTGACGCTGCAGTATTTAATCGAATACGTTCTAATTTAGCATAGAAATCATCGTTTCGTGTTTTATCGCTATTGTCCACGAGTCGCGGTCGTCGTCTATCAATATAGTGATGCTGATGTTGTTGCATCTTCTTTGTATGTATGTGTTCAGGCGTTCGTCGCTCACACTTACTACTCTCTCTCTCTCTGTTCACCGACGACGTTTGGAGTAATGAGAAAAGTGACTACGAACGGGCAAAGAGAGAGAGAGAAGATGAGGAAAGTAGAACAATAAGAGAGAAAGCAAGAGACAGAGAGAAAGAAGAAAATTTGTCCAGCACTAAGAAAAAAGAGAAAGCGAGACTGAAGAAATAGCCAAATGTACGTGTCTACCTTGAATTTAGGAATATGTTGAACAGGAAAAAAAAGGATAACCTTGGTCATAGCAGTTCAAAGCACGGAAGAAGAATTGGACCTGTCCTCTTCCTTTTTTTTCTATTACATCATCTTTCATTATGCAGTCCAACTTGTGGTACATGTTACGGATAGACTTCGACATTTATAGATATATCATCTGTTTCAAATGTTTATATGTATATGATTGACTATTCATCAATTTAATCGTCGATTGTATATTTGCATGTGTAACGAAGAATATTTATATGATAGTGAAATATAGGAACATCATGTAGGCGTACATTTGTCTATTTTTCAAAGTTCACTTCGTTTTTTTTTTTCTATTCTCTTTGTCTAAACGTCAATTACTACTATGTTATTTCTAGTAAATGGAATGGTCAATCACTCTATTGATTGAACATTAGAACTATTGTATCTGGTGAATAGTAACGTCTGAAAGATAATTTTATTTCTTTGTTTTGTTTTTTGAATGAAAGTATCCATCCAGTTAATCGATCATTTAATTGTATATAACGAGAAAGAAAATCTAATAAATATAATACACATGTGATATGTCATCATCAGTACAAAGCATTTTCGTATTTGAGTGGTCAGTCGATATTATTTGATTACTGTATGTAAAAGGAAGACTTTGACAGCGTTCTGTTCATATAGTAAGTTCAACTACTAGAATACATTATTGTTGGCTGCCACTTTAGTGTGAACAAAACAGTGAAAACAAAAAAAAAAGGAAAGAATCGCATAACTTTGATGATGTACGAGTTATTGTTATAGAAGCTACAGGTGGTAAAAAATGAATTGAAGATGTATTTTTGTAAGCAACGTTGTTCTAGACGCTGTTAACATATCACATTACTTTTTGACATTTTTGTGCGTGATTCATTTAGATAAACTGTCTGTGGCAAGTGGTAATTGAATAAAGAATAAGAACAAGAAAAAGAAAAAGAAAAAAGAAATCAGTTCAAATAAAATAACATGAGGCAAACAATTAGATTGCATGTTACATGAACAAATGTAATAGAACTTTAAATGTATAAAATTGTGGTTAGATGATGTTAGAATAATAGCTATGAGGAGTGTTATGCATATATAATGATGAAAGAAAAATGTCAAGTTTTATTCTTCGAGCGACGGAAAGTCATATCAATTTGAATGTTGTTTTTTTTCTTCTTTGACATCAAGTTTCAAATCTTAAGAGTTTATTGAAATCAAATCAGTATTAATAACAAAGTTTGAGAGTTGATCTCTAGTCATAATTTGAAGTAGATATTTATAACCGATTATAGATCATCAAAAAAAAGAACTAGCCATTATTATCTTAATATGACATATCGTTTTGAAAAAGAAAAGTCATGCCATCATTATCATACTTTCATTACACATTTAGAGAAAGAAAGAAAACTACTAAGTATATCCTGTTCGATGAATTTTAATCATTGAAAGTTATTCCAGATACTGTAAGTGGCATTTTTTTAAGTAGCATAGGAGTTTTCTACTCAAACAAACTGCAAAATTTATTAATCAAACTAAAAAGATGTATGAGATTGTTTTTCTAGTTTGTAAAGCATCGTATATATATATAAAGATTTGAATTAATTTTTAAAGAATAGTCAACGTTCTATTCGATACAATTAAGAAAAATGATTCCTAGATTTTTCTAAATATCCAATGTCAATTTGTTATGTTGACATGCAGATAAGTTCCCATGTTGCGTCGTTTTTTTGCTCCGAAGCATTACAAGGATGATCTCATTTCTTAAGGGTTTGAACAGACAAATATTCATCTCTATGAAAGGATTATATATGGAAAAATCGTTAGCAATTCTTACATTTATATATCTTTGATCTAGGATTTTTTCTATCATAAAAGTAATATTATGAATAATATTCAAACAAATACAAGAAAAATGAATTCGAAAAAAACATATTAATGAAATTTGAAACAAAAATAAAGAAATCAATACTCGATCAAAATTTGTAATAATAGTCAAAAATTAGATTTACAATAAATCATTTACTTAATATTTAATATATTCTGAGCATCTTTGAAAAAAAGTCTCAATTTAGGTAAACTATTTTTGAACTTCGTTTGGATCAAATTCTTCTATATTTAAAGATATATTGTTTTAGCATAATAAGAAGTTCTGAAGATTTATTTTCATATTTAATTAGATCATTTATCATAAGGATAAGCATCAAAATTCCACTAGAATAACCATCTACTTAGAATATTTTTCTGTTTTCTACTCTTGTGATTTTATCATTTCTGTCATAATCGACATAAGTAGATTAACGGTAAATATATTGGTCTATTCATCAGCAAGTTCTGTTCTGAAGAAAAAAACTTGATTACAAAAAAATGAACCATGAAGAATAAATAGTTCGAAAAGTTAAGTTGACTTAATTAAATATTATTTTTTTTTGGAAACTAAGTAAAAATTAACTAATATGGTTATTATAAAATTAAATAAGAAGTTTTTTCTAAATTTAATATTTTTAGTGATCAAAAATTTAAGTGAAATTTCCAATAGAACAGTAAAGTTTGTTTTATTTTATGGTAATTTATTAATGTAATTTAATATAGTCATAGAATCTATTTTTAAAAGTCAATTAATTATAATTGATAATTAATTTGTGAAATAAAAAAATTTTTCATTTTACATGTAGAAAGTTTCACTGTGAATCAAAATAATTCATATAAAATTAATTTTCAATAAGTACAAAAATAATATGTTCAGCACAAGATAATGTCTCTTCTAAAGCATATAAAGTTTCTATATTTTGTAATCATTACTTTTTTATATGAGTTTTGACAAAGAATTTTAAAAAAGTCTAAATTATTTATTAGAAAAACTTTCTTTTCATTATTTTAAGTAGATTATTTTGTTTGAAAATAAAGTGGAAAAAAATATTCTTAGAAAACAATAATAAAAAGAATTAGAAGACTTTTACAAGATCATTTTTTGTTAAAGAAGTTGATTGACTATGACTATGTGCGTGTGAGATCAAGTATTCTTAAAGAAAAGGCGAGAGAGATCAAACTACTTCTTCGTTTCCTTTTTATATGATTAATTTTAATAGTATGACATTGAGCTGACTTAGTTAGATATAATTGTTTCATTATACATATATATCTTTATAATGGTGACGGAAACTGTTTAACAAGGCTTTATTTTCAATTTTTTTCTGCAACGTGAAACACTTAAAAGAAAAATCCAGATAGGTAATGTAGTAGGGAAAATTATTACCTCCAAGAATAGAATTCAGATATTCATAGAATAAGCCTTTAGAAAACTAGTTTTTCAGTACCTAGCACACATAAATATAATTTTCTTTACAACATGGCAGATCTCTGAGTTCTCTACGCGAATTTTTAGCTAATATACAGTAATCTCACTGAAGAATCAGAAATGCTTTTTCTATAGGAAATAGTAAAATAAGAAAAAAGCTACTTTTGAGGCTTCGGTATAATTGCTATATCTCAGCTAAAAAAAAGGTTGTAGAGAACTCGGAGTTGTTTCATTTCGTAGAGAATTGTTTTCTCTAAAAATTTATATAGTCTAAACAAAATCCTATTCACACATTAACGATGCTGAAAAAAACAAAATTTTTTATTTTCTAAAAATTTAATATTCAGATATTTGAGAGAAATTTTTATTTTTTTGATACTGTTATTGAAAATAACTTTTTTCCATTGAATTCTTATTCTCGTTTAAGATTACAGATGCGGAAAAAAATTGAAAATAAACCTTGCTGAACAAATTTGTTATCTATTGAGTAAATATATATATATAACCTTTGACTAGTAAATTATAAAGAAAATAAAAAAAAGGAAAAAAGAGAAAAAAAAAATAAATTTCTATTTTCTCTCCCTCTCTCTCTCTTCTTTTTGTTATTTCCTGTCTATGAAATACTCAGACCACAACATCAAAAACTGTTAATACTCTCATATGGTAAGAAAATCTCGTGACAAGAAAAAAAGTAGCAGAGAAAAATAAGAGGTAAAAAGACCTAAGGGAGGCGTTAGAGGAAAAAACTGATAATAGACAAATATTAAATGATTGTCAATGGTTGAATGAATGAGAAAGGAAATGCATACGTAAAACATTTACAGGTGAGTGTATATTGAAAACTAACAATATAAAACACTTCCGACATGTGTTTCTTGTTTTTTTTCTTTTATTACTTATTTTTAGTAATAAAGTTTTTTTTTTGTTTTTGTATGTATCATTTAGACAGAAAAATAAGGAATGCGTTCAACGCGAACAGTGAAATCTGTTGATACACGAACAATAAATAATAATGATTCTCGTGTTGTTCTTAATGTTGGCGGAATGAGATTTGAAACTCAACGTGCTACATTAAAAAAATTACCAGCTACACGCCTTTCGAAATTAACACCACAATTATCTTATTATGATCCTGTATTAAATGAATATTTTTTTGATCGGCACCCAGGTGTTTTTTCGCAAATACTTAATTATTATCGTACAGGAAAACTTCACTATCCAACAAATGTTTGTGGACCATTATTTGAAGATGAACTTTCATATTGGGGAATACAAAGAGAAGAAGTTGAACCTTGCTGTTGGTAAGCGTCAAAGCAAAGAAAAATTAATAAAAAAAAAATATTGGATTTTTTTATGCTTAGGATGACATATACAAAACATCGATCAACACAAGACACTCTTCAAACACTTGATTCATTAGAATTAGAAACAGTACGATCAACAACGAATGATTTAATAAAAAAATTTGATTGGGAAAATGATTTTCAACTAATAACATCTGGTCATTTACCAATATACAAACGTATTAGAATGATAATATGGCAATTATTTGAAGAACCAAGATCATCAACAATAGCAAAAGTAAATGAAAATTTTTGTTTTTCTTTAAATTTCTAATTTATTAAAATTTTCTTTTTTTGTATTAGATTATTTCATTTATGTCGATAATATTTATTCTTTTATCTATAATAACTTTTATTATTCGTACATTATCAATATTTGAAATAATTGAATATGATTTTGTTAATGTTTATATTAATCATAATACAACTGACCAAACACCTGTAGAAAATACACAACGAAGAAATACAATTTTTGGTTTTGATCTTATTGAATGGACTTGTAAGATGATTGATTTTAAGGAGAACAGAAATAGTAATAAAAGTACATGATGATTTAAATTCTGAAAAATTCAACAATAAAACAGAAGAGCATAATCAAAAAAGCGCCAGTTGATGTAAAATTTAAAAACAATAATTATTATTCAAGTTCAATAAATGCATACAGCATACTAATCGAGTATTTGTTTTTTTTTCGATTCGTTAGGCTACAATGAGATAGTACTATGACTTATTGTCTTCTCGAATAACAACAAAAATCAGTTCAATCAATATTTAAATAATCGTATCAAGAAACACAATATACTCATTTTAGGTAATTCTTGGTTTGTATTCGAAATCACTCTACGATTTATTGTCGCTCCATCAAAAAGAACTTTTTGTGTATAAATACTTAATTGGATTGGTAAGAAATAAAAGAAAAACAAATTCTTTCTGATGTATATCTAATAAAAAAAAAAAAAAAACAATTTTTTTGTTTTTTCTATTATTAGATTTTCTTGGTACATTTTTATTCTTTTTTACATATATCTTATACAATGCATTAGATTATACTGGTCATTATGCATCATTAGATCTTCTATCGACAATACGTGTTGCACGTATGTTTAAATTAATTAATTTACATCCACGTTTGAAAATTATAACAACAACAATAACATATTCAACAGCATTATTAAATTTATCAATATTTTTTTGTGTACTTGTTATTTTAATAGCTGGTTCATCATTATATTATGTTGAACGTATAAGTAATCCATCTGAAAGTCAAATAATATCAGTTATTGATGGTATATGGCTTGCATTAACAACAATAACTACACTCGGTTTTGGTGATATTGTACCAAAATCACTTTTTGGTATGATACTTGGTGCAATTACAACAATATTTGGTGTATTAATTATTGATTTACCAATGCCAATTGTTAATGAAATGTTCGATAATTTTAATAGACATTTATTAGCTAGACAACAATTGCCTAAACAGCGGAGACGTATAACACCAGCTGTTATACCAAGAAAAATAAAACCATTTGTGCCATCAAATGGACATGTACATCATCATTAATCATAGTTAAAAGACTTTAGTTTATTTTTTATTTTTTTTTTTTGTTTTGTAAATTTTTATTATCGATTCAGAATAAACATCACATCCCAATGAATTATTATATCATAATTTACATTGTTTAGTTGAATATTTAGTCTGTCACAATTGACATTTTTTTCGGTTTATTATAATGAACAGATAGATTGAACTTTTTATAGATATCAAGAATTTGTTCATGATTTCTTTCTTGTTTTGTTTTTGTTAAAAAATTATGTTAAAACTCATTTAGTATTGACAAATGTAAACATTTTTTGATACTTAATGCATGAATGATTAAAAACTATTCAAAAGATTTTCTACTTTGATGTCAAAAAAAGTTTTCTTATTTTCCATTAAAATTAATCTTATTTTATTTAGACATAAATGCCACTAATGTTTAAGTTCTAAAATTTGAGTTGTTGAATGACAAGTTTTGTTCTTTTTTTTTTCTCTTACAAATTGTTAGTTGTGTTAGATCAATTGTCTTCAGAAAATACAGACAAGTTTTCTAAGTTATCTACTACTCTTTTAATAAGATGTTATAGGACTTGAAAGAAAAGAGGATATAAAGTAAAATTGTGTGCATTCAATAAAAGATAAAGAATTTTAGAAGTGTAGACTTCTTTATTGATGCATAATCAGGTCAATTAATATAAATATATCACTGTGATAAAGATCCGAAAATATTATTAAACAACGAATATATATTGGTAGAGGGAGAAAATGCTAGAAGCATGTCAACATCAATTGTAATCTGTTTATTATGGTTATAAAATTCTTAAAAAGATTAATATCAAAGAAAATCTTCGAGTGGTGTCATCTTTTTTTATTACCTCCCCTATATCGCCTTATTTTAATTTTAAAAAAAATAATTTCCTAAACAAGTTTTTTTTTTTTATTCTCGCCATGCGTCGTTTTATTCTAAAAATAACATTAGATACGTGATTTGAGTCGACAAGAACTGCTTTCATCAAAATATTTTGATAATTTTCATTATTAATTTCATTAAGACTATTACGTATCATTTGACGAATCCAAGTCAAGTCTTTGACAATAATACATACTCATTGTTTGATACATGAAGTTGGACATAGATTAAGATGTAAATCACATGTGTATGAACATCGTTCATAAATAGACTTTTGATCATCTTGAATAAGAATAAAAAAAATCAACGAACAAATCATGATGAATGATTCTTATAGTTTCAATATTTAATGACATAAATAACTATATTGATATGCATCAGTTACAACAAAAATATTTGATTGATTTTACAGTTGAATTATTTTTAGAAAAGTGTGACAAGTAATATTATATTTAGAATGAAAGGATTAGTCATTAAGACAATAAAATATATGAAATTTCTCAATATAAAAAACAAAAAGTTTTGTTTTTTAACTATTTGATTCGTTTTCGTATTAGATAACATTAGAACTTTAAGGTTGAAGTACAGCTCATAATTTTGTTATTATGTATATTTATTATAGCGAGGATAATTTTCTATATAAAGATGACAGAGCAGTGAGATTAATTTGACTGGAAGATAGAAATGTGATTCATATATAGATAAAATGTTTATTGTGTTTCAGAATTCAAAACTTTCTAATTATTTATTACCATTCTCTGTTATATTTGGGATATTAAGAAATTCTTTTTTTTTTTAGAAAAACAAAATAAAATAATTCAATTAATAATTTCTAATGAATGTCATTATTGTTCATTCTTGTTAATCTCTGTACTTCCCATTGACATATTCAAAATTATAATTGTGATTTACAAAAGCTTCTTAATCATGCATTCTTTTCATTTGATTTTTTTTTCTTTAAACAGTCATTCATTGAATGACATAAACAATAATTATGCTAATTATCTTACCAGAGTTATGCCAACAGTCTCTGAATGCTATGTATTCTGAACTCTTAAAGACTTTTGGAACTTGAATTTAACACACTCAGTAATGTCAAACAATAAATCTAAATTGACTTTGAAGTATTAGGTTTGATATATTTTTGACTTTAATGTGAATACCAACGTATTAATGATTGAAAAGTGATTTTAAACGAATAAAAATTTTGAGCATTTCCCTGTATGCTTCATTATATTTCTTTCCTTGACATGAACTCTTGATATAAAAGAGAGTGAGTATTATGTAATTATTCCTAATGAATGGTTTATAAATGAAACAGTAACATGCTTTACAGTTTAACAAATGTTCTATTGTAGCATATATATAAGCAAAGATTTAATTGTTGTGCCTACTTAATAACGAGTTCAGTCTTATCGAAAGCCTATATATAGATATATGCCACTAATGCATAAAAATTAAAGCATCTGCATATCATTAATCAACATCAGAACCCCATATGTTATCATATGAATCTATTATTTAGTACAAGAGATGTGCGGGGGGAACACGGAAAAAAAGTTGTCCCAGTTGCAACTAAACATTAGAATTAAATATTCTATGGCTTCCAGCTAATTATCTTATTATCACATCAATTAGAACATAATTCAAGAGAGATGACCTAAAAGAATGCTACTTAGTCGACTAAATAATTCAAAAAATGAGTATTGAAAATTTTTTTTGAAGTATTCTACGAATAAATTTTTGAATAGTTTTCTATAGAGAGGGTCCAAAAAGTCTTGGTTTCACACTTCTTTCATCAGGTCATTATCATGCCAATTAATCATTTGGTAAATTAATTATTAAATATCACACGAAAATTTGCTCTTTAAATATGATATTCCGAATGTATGAACAACATCAAAAATAAAATTTATCTCTGATTATAGATTCAAAACAAGACCATCATTAAATTTCAAGAAAGAATATCGTCGAATATGAAAAACATCCTATGATTATTCAAGAAGTCATCACCCGATATATTGAGAAGAATCTAATCAACTACAGAAGCGATGTATAAAAGGATTGTTCTTCAAATCATGCACACTATATTATCGACATCAACTACTTCAACAAAAATAATAACAATGATCTAAAACTCAATTCAAACTTTTTTTTGTATTACCTATGATGATAAGTCTAATATGAGATCAATCATACTTTAAACGAACTCGTTATAAGTAAACACAAGAGAAAATATCTCTATTATTTTATAGCTTCTTATTTAAAACAATACAATTGAGAATGTATTGAATTTCCTTTTTTTTTTGTATATGTTCCTAACTAAAAACATCAATTGTCTTTTTATTTTAACATCATTTCATTGTTATATTATGTACGTTTCTAACTGTCATATTAGAAGGTAGTCCTAACCTTTCATATATTATGTTATGTTTTATTCTAAGCTTTATACTTCTAATTAGCACGACATTAGATATAACATTTTTTTCTGTTTCAAATGCATTATATCTGTACTTTTTCTCAGGTACCGCTCTTTTCATGCAAACACTCAGAAGTAACGGGTGGATCGAAAGTTTTCGCACAAAATGTTTGTTTATATCTGACCCACTTGAAAATATTTCAGACGAGTCGAAAACTATGGATTAGAACCAGAATTTTGTGTTCTTTCTGAATATGAGCTTGGAAATGTTGTATCTATTTTTGTTCAAGAGCAGTGAAGAAATCTTTGAAAGGTCTTAAAAATTAATTTGGACGACGCATCAATAGCTTTTTTCTAGCCCATATATGTCCCTTTGAGAAGATGCTAAAAGTTATCGGACACGGTATTTTGTTAGAGCGGACACTTATTTACAAAATGGGATATTGAATTAAGTTGTAGCTTTAACACAAGTGAAGTTATATGTATTTTGTCAGAAGCTCCTTTTTGTGAAAAACGTCTTTTGGTCAAAAAGTCGATTTCTCATAAATTAGGTTATGGGAAAAACAAAAATTGAGAAGTCTTGCCTAAAGACCAAAAAAACCTCAAATAGTACATTTTGTAGTGCAGATTTTTCTCTACCAGTGGATAGAGTAATAAAGGTTCCAACCTTTAGTTTCGAATCGCAATAGTTAAAATATAAAAAAGTGTGAAAAAATTTCCCGTCCAAACAAATTTTTCAGGCCTTTCAAAGATTCCCTCACTACTCTCGAACAAAAACTGACAAAAAATTTCCAAGCTCATATTCCGAAATAGCACAAAATTCTGGTTTTAATCCATAGTTTTCGACTCGTCTGAAATATTTTCAAGTGGGTCAGATATAAACAAACATTTTGTGCGAAAACTTTCGATCCACCCGTTAGCTCCCATTTTAGTCGATATACTATACTAGATATTAAAAATATCTTCATAACTATACCGATTGACTTTTACTATGTAATTTTTCTCTCAGACAAAGCTTTTGATATGTTCATGTCATACTCTGAATATATCCTTATCAAAATCAGACTATGCATTTGTATAATGTCCTAGTCAGATATATTTTACATATGAAAAAAAAGTTTGCTATGAATTAATTGAGATTATAACTGGATGCTAAGGCATACAATCTCAATTGTAATTATTTTTGCATCTGAAATTTCAATTAAAATGAGTTAATTAAAATTTGAAATTAGTTCTTTTGTAACATAAAGATTTTTTCGGGTCTTTTATTACTTATTGAATTGAACTGTATTTCATTTAACAAACTTTATAACAAATTAATTTCAGATAGAAATTTGAAAATAAAATTTTCTTTTTTCAAAGATTGAATCTTCATAAAATGAAGACTTTCACCCATTGAAAAATTCAAAATAAGTTTTTCGAGTATTTTTATATTTGTTTTTCATGCATTTTTTATGTAGCTAAAATACAATTAACACCAAATATTGTTAATTAAATATATATATTCAACAAATGAAAGTTTGCATCTTAACAAGAACAAGAGCAATGAAGATTAACACGAACTCATTCGTAACCAACTAAATATGAATTGAGCTGAAATATTGTAGAAAATCCATAGGATTCAATTATAATTTCGATATCTGCAATGTTTCGAAACAAAATCAAATAATATTAGAGAAATTTAAAGTTCACCATTGATTCCTAACAGAATGAAACTAATAAAGCAGATGCATAAAAATGTTTATTGCTGTGGTATCATGACTACTGTTCAAGAGAAGAATTTCGAAGAATAAGTATTTCTTCTAAATGAATTTAAACACTTATCCTTGGTGTAGAATTTTTCTTGCGATTCAATTTTGTATTTTGATCAAACCTGCCTAAATGGAAATTATAAGAAAGTCTTTTTATAAAACAGTTTATAGAGTGAACCTTGGCTTCTAAAAACAACTCAACTTGTTTCTCTTTTTACAAACTGCTATATAAACGATCAAAATCTATTGCATTCTAAATACTAAAATTCAAAAGAAACGTTCTTTTTTTTTTTCAAAATACCATCTCGTGTAACAAATGATTGTTCGAAAAGCGTTAATAAAATTTGATTTTTTTTTCTTCTAGCTAACTATAATGTATGATTGAATAGAATATTAAATTCTTTACAGCACTAGAAAATAAAAACTGTTTCAGTCTTATCCGAAGAAGTTATGAAGGACAGAAACAAGTCAATTTTTATTAATGCAAATACCATTTTCGATTTATTGTAATATATGCTCACACTTAACTGACCGTAAGCCAATGAAAAATACCCAACATGCATTTAGAAAAAGTACTAAAGTCTAGTTCTAAATGATTACTATTGATTCATTCCAGTAATTAATAACTAGACGAAAACTGATCAGAAATATTTGTAAAGACTTCTTGTACCTACGGTATTGTTAACGAAATTGTTAGTAAAAGCATGAAAAATGATAATATTTAAAACAAAATGTTTTTTTTAATCTTGTTCAAATTATCATATTTGTGAACATGGAAAGGAAAATTAATTTCAACTATGATACTTTTAGATCTTTTTAGATTGATGAAGATTTGGAAGTTTGTTTTTGTCCTTGAATTAGTTTTGATTAAAGTATATAGATGAATTCCTGTTAAAAAAAGACCTTTGCACAAGCTTGTTAAACACACTACTCGTACAGCAGTCATATTTCACCTTTCCTCCACGCATCAACTAGTGACCATTCAATGGTTTTCAATCATATATAGAATATACTAAATCATTATTGTGCTTTTTCGATATGACACATTCGAAAAAAAGAACACATAAGAACCTGAATTGTATAGCCTTACATTTGTGTAGCATTCATAGTAAATAATTTTCTACTACAGAAAGTTGCTGATCAAATCATTTACAATATTATTAGGAACTATAGGAGAATTTCGTTATGTTGGGAAGACATCCAGATCTAGTTGTTCAAAGAAAAGTTTAAGAAACAAACTCGAAGAAATTTATATAAAACTTTCACCAGCTATATTTTCAGGCGTATGCAAATAACTGCAAAAAATTGTAGAGAAAAGTACATGATGAAATTTTTTTTTCTCACAACATTTGGAAAGTTGTCATTTGTACTTAATTATCATATTGAAACAAGAATTTCAAAACAGCGACATATTAAAACAAATCATCGAAAAAAATATTTTGCGAAGACACTTTTGACTGAAGTTACGAGTATATCGCTAAATCCGGATATTCATACTTTCTCAACACATACTTGACATCACTATTTTGTGTCACGGTGATCTAAACATTGTTACCGACTTCCATGTTCCTATATAATCAATTTTTTTAATAACTTCGGCATGAAGCTCCGTTCGTTTTATATTCGCTAAACAAAATAACGATTTTAAAGTGACAACTACGTTTTGGTTTTGAAATAATGTAAACGAGTTTTAACAGTAACAATGATTACATCGAATATTGTTGCGAACATCCATAGCTTTAGTTCGATTCATTTTGAAACTGGATATAAACTACAACAACATAATCAAGTCAGGTCCCGTGCGAGGGTTCCAGAATTTGGGGGAGGGGGGATAATTAGAAGCCCCAGTAGACATGTGCAGAACCAAGACTTTTTGGTCGAGGTCCCGTCGAGCCTCTGTAGCTTGTTAATCAAGTATTCCATGTAAAAATACAGGCTAGAAGTTTGATTAAAGTTGATTTTCAAAAAAGTAATCACTAAAAATTGATTAAAAGTATCAAACTTTGATTAAACCCGATGTAACATTTGATTATAATTGATCTTGCTTAGTAAAAATTGATTTAAAAAAGTTAATTTTTGTTTCTAATAGACTTTAATCAACTATTCTTGTTTTTAATTGATTTTAATCGAGCAATGAAGTAATTGAATCATCTCAATTGAAACAATTTATATACCAGTTCGAACTTTATTTTTGTTTGTTGGACTTTAGCTTAGTGACAATTCTATGTTTAATAAACCTGACCAATCAAAAACATCATGAAAATTTAGAGCTTCGCGTACGAATCTCGAGGAAAGCAATTGTCTTCCATATCTATGATTAAAATCGATTCAAAAGTACATACGTGGAAAAGACGAGAAAAATCGGACTTCAATCGATTTTTCCTGCCATTGTTTACATGGAATGTTACTAGTACAGATGATCGGAACAAAATTTTTTTCGTATCAGATCTAATATTAATCTTTCTGTTGTAAGATGAAATGTAACAATTATTCAAGAAGAGAACTCGTGTACAAAGTAAGAAAATTTCTTCATATTTTTGTCGTCGAAGACGACCACGCTGATGAAAGCTGTTTCAAAGGGAAAATTGAGTGAAGTAGGGCGTCTTTCTAGGTTAACTACAATTTTCTCAATTGTTATTTTTCGCGAAATGACAACCTTTTTTTTCAGACTCATGAAAAACTCCTCTTTTCCTTGAATTTTTTCGAAAGAAAAAGTGTCGTGACAGCTCTTATCAATTTCGGTGTCGAAGGCTGTCACCCCAGTGATAATTGTTGGAAAATGATGCCCATCAGAAGAAAGACAATAGTAAAATTGTCATAAAGACAGAAAAATTATAGGTATAGTTTTAGGCCGAATACGCTCACGTGGTGCTTCTTCGCAAAATCAAAAATTTTAATATCTCTTAAAATTTTCCGGCAAAAAGTATTGTCCGAGCCTGGATATCAAACAAAAAAAGCAGATGATTCCTTACACTTGCAATACAACTTCATATTTTCAATCAACGTTTCAACGAAGGTTTTTGATTATTCGGCAATGATTATCTTCGACTCGCCGCTCTGCTCGGTACATCCCTAAAAAAATATTTGTAAACATATCTCAAAGAAGTACCTTAAAAATTCTGAAAAATGTTATCGATTTTGCTGACTACCAATGGATAATTTTCAATTATTCGTGAGTGTACATCCGCACTGTCGCGGGTGCTGATTCTAATTCAAGAGAAAAGTTTATTTTTCTACTACAAGACGAAAGATTCATTACATAATCTATTCTCAAACTTAATAAAAAGAAAATAAATTATTAATCTTGTATCATAAGTTTGTTTATTAATTTTCTAATATCTCTCTGATGTTATCAAATAATAAATAGAAAATTTACAAAACAAACAACAATGTGCCATTGTTTTATTAGATTTGGCATAAACAATTTCTTCACATTTATCGAAGTCGACGTGCTTCACGTTCAGATTCTAGAAGAACGAGTACATCGTCAACACGGCTAAAAATAAAATTATATTTTAAACAAAGAAAAATAATTTTAAAAAGAAAACTTACACTGGACCCTTAACATTACGAATAATCGATCGTTTTGATGATGATGTATCGATAATTTCGACACGTACTTGTGTACATTGTCCCTGGCTGCCAGTACGACCAAGAATTTTAACAACACGTGCCATAACACCACCAGTTGGGTTTTTATCCATGATAATAATCTGATTTTCCTAATTGATTTCAAATAAACGATGAAATCTAGAAATTTAAAAAAAGAAAAGTTATATATCTGTTTATGCAGATCTTATACAGTTGAAATCTATTCGGCAAAAGAACAAGTTATGTGTCGCCATCTTGAATAGTTTCGTACTTGAACCTTCATATAAATTGTTTTGTTTTTAAAAAATTCATCGATTAACATTTTTAATAACCTACTCTATTTCGAATTTATTAATCTAAAATAAAAATTTTAATAATCTAACCAATAAACGAATTCATTTCATCTATATATTATTATTTGGATTTATTTGGCACAAAGAAAGAAAAAAAAAACAATAAATCTAGTAGTAAAGGAATCCCTATAAATACATAATGCTGACAATATCTTCTTCATCGTTAACACCAATAATTCGTGGACCAATATTTCGTCGTCGACGTTCATCATTATCAGATCTCTATCGTCCACGTACAATTATTATTGAAAAACCAACAACTAATGTATCATTTGGTTTTTCAATTCAAACATATGGTTTTGCTGCATTAAATTCTTTATCAACCGATGAATCAGCATGTTCACTTTTATCTATATCATCAGAAAGTACAACAAGTCGTAAATCATCAACATCAAACTCATTTAGTTCATCATCACAAATAGCACCAATACAATTAGTTACATATGTTGATTATGTACAAGATAAAAGTCCAGCATGGGAAGCAGGTTTACGTCCTGGATCAGTTATTTTATCTGTTAATGATCAAACAGTTGAAAATGATGATCATGAAAAATTAGTTCAACGTATAACACAAACATCAACAACACATTTAAAATTAGTTGTTATACAACAAAATATTAATAAACAAATAGCATTATGTGAACAATTACAACAATTACATAAACAATTACATGAAAAAGAAGAAGAATTAGAAGAATTATGTAAACAAGAAATGAATAGTGAAGAAGATATATCAGTTAAAGGTAAAAACTATTTAAAAAGATTGTAAATACAAAATTCAATATTTCATATTGAATTTTTGGATAACAAAATCTGAAGTCTAGCAAATTAGTTCTCGTCACAGGAACCATGGCAACGAAAAAAAAAGTTGCCCCAACTGCAATTAAAGATTAGAGTTCAATATTCGATGGTTTTAAGCTAATTATTTTATAAATTGCATCAATCAAAACATAATTCAAGAGATATGATCCAAAACAATTGCTTGTCGTCGATAGTAGATCAAAAGCCGAGTACTGAAGAACCTTTTTAGATGTAATACGCATAAATTCTAGAACAGTTTTCTCCGGATCGGGACCAAAAAAAAGCTTAGTTCCACACATCTCTATTCATGTCTAGATCTGTGATGATCATTAGTAAAAATGATATTTAATTGTCTCAATAATATTCGGATATGATTTTTTCTTTCAATCGTTAATAGTTGAATAAAGATATCAGTTAATATTTTCAGGTAATGAAGTTCGAAGCATTCTGAAAAAAAAAAGAATTAGGCAGTGCTGAAGAATGCAATTTTCTTTCTATCTTCTTTATCATAAACATATTATATACGAATCATGTTCTTGTTTGTTTTAATAAATTTAACATACAATTTTTGATAATATTTAGAAGCTGTTTCTCCATTACCACTACTTCAACATTCGACTATTAATTCACTACAACGTACACCCTCATTTTGTCATGATAAAATTCCATTAGATTGGCGTCAAAGTGTAACAAATTTTGCTCATCAACAAAAATTAATAACTCAAACATTACCTGCAATATTAAATTCTACTTCATCAAAATATACAAAAAATCGTCAATTAAATCCTTCACAACATCATCAACGTAGTATGTCATTATCAACAATTGTTTTACATTATTCAAAATCATCATTACGTCGTTATCAGTCACCATTAATAAATCAACAAACTATAAATCGTCGTCGAGCATTTTCATATGAAGAATTATTTTCATTAAATAAAAATACTAATACTATTTCATCTAATCATCAACAAGAAGAGAGTATGATTGCATCTGGTTGTTCATTAGCAATGGATTTATCAAGAAGTTTCAATCAAAAAAATTCTCAATCATCATCATCGTCATCATCATCGTCTTCCTCATCATCAACAACAATAAATATGGATGATAATGAAAATAATCAAAAAGAAAAAATTGATAATAAAATCAAACAATTTAAATGGAAATTAAGAATAAATAAATAACAGTATTTTTATCTTAGTATCGTATTGTTTATTGTAAAATTCATATCTTTTCTTTTTTCTCCTTATTCTGAATACTAAACCAAAAGAATTTTGTGAATAGTTTATTATAGATTTATTTTAAAAGTAAAAATTCTACTGTATTGTTAATAAATATTGCTTTAAAATATTGAGAATGAATTCATAAAAAAAAAAAAAAGTATTTCATTCAAATCTCAACATTAAAGTTAAAGATATTCAATGTAAAGAAGAAACAGCAAAGAAAAATAATTTGTCAATCTCATTATATAGGGACAATAAAAATAAATGTTAAAAAAAGTAATTCAACAAATACTGTTATAGTATATAAATAAAAAGATGATCTAAAAGAAATGACGCAGATTTTTCTTCACTTGGTTGAGATAATTTTTTATATCGATTTCTCTAAATGAGATTTCATCGTATGATGAAAACGAGTACAAAATGTAAAATATTTTTATTATTTTATATACTACATTCAGAATCAAATTGTTACATCAGATTCTGAGATAAATACAAATGGTGTTTTACAATGGAAGTATTTGACTCTCTAACCATCAAACTAACAGAGTTGAGCGAGTCAACTTATGTTTTCGTTTTCTGTTTTGTTTTTGTAACAAACGTCAACAACAAGTTTTTGATAAAATGATATCTTGTTACTAGTTTCTATGCACAAAAACAAAATACGAACAGGCCTATATAAAATAGAATGATAAGAGTACTATAACATTATCAATAAAGTTAAGACAGTCAAATTAACTCTTCTCCTACTTCATACAGTTCCACAAGAGAGTAAAAAAAATGTTTATTAACATATAAATTATTGTCTTATTGCACTTCAAAGATGTTAAAATGCAAATATTAACTAGTGAAAAATTTAAAAGATCATTTTGAAAAAACATGCGTTCAACTGATGATCATCTAGCAGAAATACACATGATTTTTCTAGCAAGATTATTAAGAGATTAAACTGATTTTGATATTGAATTATCAACTCTTGCTCTTTTAACCTATAGAAACTGTAATTAGATACATTGTGTGCGTACACATGTATTTGTATTTGTATTACATTAAATTAAATTAAAATAAAAACAAACGTTTTGGATTTTTGTTTAGGGGGTTGAATATAAATTAAAAATAAAATCATTCGTCGATGTAAGCATACGTAATTTAAGTTTAGAATGATAAACATTTACACCAAGCATTCCCCATGGTCCAGCACATATTGTTAATGGTATTTCTTGTTCACCATCAGTAAGTATATAAAGTTGTGGACTATTACCTGGTGAATAACGATTATTATCAGATAAGATATCTAATAATGCACCAGTAATATATACACGTCCATAATTATCAACATCAAGATGAAATGGCATAAATGTTGAATAATCAGAAATAATTAAAGGTTTTGTTATTGGTAAATTATAGAATGAAGTAAGATCAATTTGATTTTTAATACGATAAGTAAATATTTGATCAGATAATAAATGTCGATCAAGTATAATTAATTGTGAATTATTAACTATCCATATATTATGATTACGAATAATAATACCTAATGGTGATGGTAAATAAATTGAATTTATTTTTTGACCATTATTTTCATATTGTTCAATTGAATTACCATTATCCATCGAGACAAATATAATATTAGATCCATCTGTTGCAAAATAACACCATTGACAACGTTGTTCTAATATAAAATTATTAAGAAGATCATTTGTAGTTATATTTTGTTCTGTTAAACGAATTTGATAAATTTTATTATCTATAGATGATTTCGTAATAATATAAGCAATAGGTATTTGTGTATGTTGATCAACATTAATATGAAAATATTTTCCATGTATTGTTTCTAGTTCATATCCAATTAATATTGAATCAACTATTTTCATATCATATGATGCATGTAATATTACACCTTCACCATTAATCATCATTGGCCAATAAATCAATGATTTTGTTAACCAACCTGTATAACCATTAGGTTCATTGAGAATTTTATGTGAATCAAGTTTAATAGGTTGAATATCGGAAAATAAATCACATAATTTCCTATGAGCTTGTGTTGCATCAATTAAACATGGATATATACGTGAATCTCGACCAGCACATGTATCTAAAACAATTGTTGTCCAATCAAAATTAGTGTAATTACGACCTTGTGATACATGTTCAGCAAACAAAGAACAATTCCTTGTGCTAGATTGATACGATGCTGTTAAACCTATATGGATTTAGATATATATTAGCGTCCAATCTGGGATTCAACATTCGACGGACATTAAGTTAGGTCATTCTTGGATTGACTAGTGTTACAATAGGTCCTATCTAAGATTCGCCACATTATAATTGATCAATTTGAGAATGACCTGAATTAATGTCTGTCCAATGTGAGATTCTAGATTGTTGATGTGAATCTGAAATTGAACGCTAACATATACAAAAGAACAATTGAAATGATTTATTATTTTGAATAACTATGAATATACATACAATGAGAATCAAGACGACATAATTGAATACATTCATCGAGTGAATTAACAATATATGTTTGTTCATAATATTTTGATTGTGATGCTTCGTAAACAACATTGTTAGCAATGGTTATTATTGGTTCTATCTAAATGAAAGAAGAGTTTTTCACAGTAAAATGGCAATAGTCATTTTTTGTTTCATTCTATTCATATATCTATGTTTATAGAAACTAGTTTCTCAAGTCTTAAGAATTTTTGACGTTTAATCAGTTTCTTAAAATAATGGTACTGTTATCGTTGATTTCCAGTTTGATCATTATCTAATTGAATCTACTAATACTTCAAGTGTTCAGTTTTGTTTTCATCAGCAGTAAATATATACAAAATTATTGTGAAAAAAATTATTTAAACAAAAGAAAAATAAAATTCAAAAATTTTCCTTCTTTTAAGACTAAAAAAAATCATATATATGACTTCTTTTTTCAAAAATTAAAAACATAATTATATTTTTAATAAACTTTCATAAAAAAAAACCAAGAAATTTTACTTCATTGAATGCAATACCAGATAATGTAATAAGCATACAATTAAGATTAGGTAAACGTTTTCCAAATGCCATATATTCTTGATACATTGTACATTGTCCTTGACACCAAACAGCCGTACGACATAATGTTGTTACACGACATTGTTTTCCACATTCTTGATAACTAAATGTTGATATAGTATCGATTTTTAATGTTGGATCAGCAGGTATATAAGTTTGACTTGGACGTATGATATCAGCACATGATTGTGCTGATATTAGACAATCAATTTTGTCTGATAACAAGTCATAGAAAAGTAACAGAAACCAAAAACGAAAAAACATGATATTTTCGTTTATGATAAAACAGTAGTATTGTTATACATGAGAAGTAAGAAAAAAAAACAAGATAAAACAAAGAACAGAAAAATATTTAATCAATTGCAAATAAAGACAAATGTTTACATTATATACAGCAATATTATATAAATCTAAATAGTTATTATCTTATATCAATCTATAAACGTATGTGATTCAATACTTCGTATTTCAACAAATTGAAAATGAATAACAATTTATTATTATTATTATTATTATTTGTCATCTACATATTGAAAAAGACGTGAATAAGAAAAAATACAAAAGACTGTTTGTCTTAATTATTACAATAAAAATAAATCGACTGAAAATTGAATATCTTTTTTTCTTCTATTTTAATTGAGAATATACACGATTAATATCTCGTTGAATTTCATTAATCTCAGGATGATTTGAAGGTAATAGTTGACGATGTATTGAAGCTATTTTTTCATAATGTGCTAGAGCTTGATTTAAATTACCAGCTGCTTCATAAGTAAGACCAATATTTTTCAATGCTGTTATCGCATCTGGATGATTATTAGAATAAACTTTTGAGAAAATTTTCCAAGCTAATTTGTAATGTTTTAATACTTGATTCAAATCACCAATACTATTATATATAAGTGCGATATGATTATGTAGTTGAGCTACATCAGCCTCATGAATACTGGAATTTTGTTCGTATATTATTAAAACTTTTTCATAATAATCAATAGCTTCATTATATTTATTTTGCATTTCAAATATACAAGCAATACTTTTATAACATGTTGCAACCTTTGGATGATCTTTACCTAACGCTCGAGTCCATATTTTTAATGCTTCATTATATATTTGAAATGCTTCAGTAAATGCACCTTTCTTAACATAAATATCTGCGATAGTGCCATATGCAGAAGCTATTTCAGGATCTTCAGATCTTAATATCGATTTCTTCATATTAAGTGCTTGTTGATAATATTGAATACTTGAATCATAATCTTTCTTTTCCATTGCCATCGCACCAAATCCTTGATAACAACATATTTTTGAATGTTGATCATTAGGCATTTCTTCTAACAATCGATTATAATACTTTTCAGCTTCATCAAATTTTTTCATCTTTGAAAGTACATAACCAAATGAAAATAGATCTGGTGTATCACCATATTCTTCTCCTTTAGCAATATCTATTCTTGTCTTAATAGTTCGATCTTTATCATTATATGTTTCCATTTGTATAATCATCATATCATTTTCTTGACAAATATCAACTGGACGAAATATTGTTCCAGCCATAAAAAGTATAATATCTGTACCAGTAAAATAATTTAATGAAGTAATATCACTAAATGGTTTCATATCTTCAAGTTGAGAATCAGCATCAATTTGGAATAAAACTCGTTTGAAATCCGGTTTTATATCAGAACTTTGAAACATTTCAATTGCATGTAGACGATTTGGTGTGGTAAAAAAAAAAGTATTAATTGAAATTAATTCACCCATTGAATATTTTAATAATTTTATTTCTTGATTTGACATTAATTGAGGACGAAAAGTACGTAGTGATGATGAATATTTATTTTCTATTAATTGTTGTTGAATATCAGTTATAAAAAAATGAAAATAATATAATAAATCAATATTTATCGATTGAAATGCTTTATTTAACATATTATTAACAAATGATTCTCTTGTTAACCACCATATTGCACGATCAGATGTATAATTTCCTTCAAATTCATAAATATCATTTAATTCCTTTTTATTGTCTTTATATTCTTCTTTACATAATGAAATAAGTTTAGGTTTTGTATTTAATTTTGATTTCATTTGACTTAAACAATCGATTATTAATTGCAAATAAATAAAATTATTATTATTTATAACTACAGATTGTTTTTCTTCAGAACTCTTATAAAAAACTCTTATTGGTAATGATTCATCAATTTTATAATCATTTCGTTTTGTTTGATCAGCTTTTATTCGTATAATTAAGTTATTTAAATCAACAATTACACCTTTTACCTAAAATATTAGAGAGAATAAAAAGAAAATGAAATTTTATATTTTAAATATATAAATTTTACTTTAATGAAATCTTTAGCCCACTTTTCATTTCGTTCCTTGTCAGAACAATAAACATAGATTGAAATCAATTGTGGAAATTCATGAATATGTGGTACTAAGATTTGTCCTAATCGGCCGCTAACAATTAAAACAATTCTTTCTTGTGCATGTGATTGAATAAATTCCAGACATTTTTCACTATCATCAAATGGGATGACATAAGTTAAAGCTTGTCGAAGAACTTTTTTAGTATCAATGTTGTCTTCTGATTTATTTACTAAACTATCAAGCCAAAGAAGAATGAATGTTTCGAGATTTTGACTTGGTTGAGCAACAAGTGTTGTAGCCATTTTAGTTGTTAACACAGAATTAACAAAATATAAAATAAAATGTTGATAGGATTTTTTTTTTAAATTCAAATTGTGTTATATTTCTCAATATTAATCGTATTGAAAGCGTTAAAAGGAAAACACTAACATTATTATAAAACGTAATTATTGTCGAGCAATGAAGCATAAAAATCAAATGAAGTGCGCGCATATACATATGCAAGAACGTATCAAAACATTATTTTTTTTTCCCATTCATATTTAGACTAATGTCATAATATAGAAGAAAATATTTCTCTTTCTTTTATTGTTAATATCATAAAATGAATCATAAATATGACGTTTTGATTTTCTAGGCCTTCTAAACGAGATATAGAAAAATTTTTTTTCTGAAAAAAAAAATTTGTAAAAAATATTATTCAGAAATTTATAAATAATAATGTTGAATTTTTTTTGATAAGTCAAAGTAGTAAGAATAAATAGTATCTTTTCTTGTCAGGATAGATAACGTTGTCCTATTCCTACCTCTGCTTTAGTCTTTTTCTCTTTTTCTTTGGTATTTTTTTATTATTAAGTACTTTCTCATGGTCCTTCTGTTTTTTTTTTATTTATTTATAGTACCCGCTCTATGTTAAGATAATGATGAGTAAACCTCATAAGTTCATATTTTTTTAAAATATCTGTTTCCTATGATAAACGCGTGATTAAAATAATAAATCAAGATGTTTTTATATTTTATTGTATGTATAATATTAGTCATTATTGAAAAATTTTGTTGTTGTATTTGAAAATGATACAAAATGAATTCGCTATAAAATAACTAATATGTACTTAGGTGATCGAAAGTCAGATCCATAGGTAGGCTTCAGCGAGACTAGCAGAAGTCTAAAAAAATGCGTCTGTATTGACATTTGGCGTCGATTTATGACCAAGTTACTAGATTTTTGAGAAATTTTTAGATACTCTTCGGTAGATCGAATAAAGGAGTTTTGATCCGAAAATTCTCCTGTAGATCAATCTAATGGCTCTTCAAATATCCTAAAAGTTTCAGCCAAAAACAATTTTTTGTCATCGAATTATTAAATATTTCAGTGAATTCGCTTTTTGTGCCATATCAATGGTAAAGGGCTATTTTTGGAAATTCGATATCTTGGCTAAAGAACATTTTTTTTTTAGTGAAGCTTTCAGAATGTTCTGAGTTAAGAATCTACTAAATTGGTCATAATTCGGTAACAAGTGTCCATAGGAATGAACTCTTTTAGGCTTTTGCTAGTCTCATTAAGACTTGACTGTAGGAGAGCTAGCATTCAAAATTGAACACGACTGACATGAACACTTGGCATGAGTCTGTACACTCTCAATACTACAGATACGTTTTGTTTGAAATGAAACTCCAGAAATTGGTTGAAATTTGAATATCTATATTCAAAATTGAAAGTTTTCGTCAGTAATTCAAGCAAGTATTTATCATTTTTGAATGTTTTATTCGATGCTATAGTTTGGTTTCTTTGAATAGTTAAAATCGGTTACGCAATCGGCTGAAATTGATCGAATTCTCTATTAAAACTCATAAATTTTGACGAAATCTAAACTTCATTTTCTTAGGATTCGACGAATTCTAATGATAACTTCGGATAGAACACTCAAAATCATGCACAACTATTATTAAAAACTAATGACAGAACAATGAATTCTCAATATAAAAACAAAAGCTATCTTTGAAATCACAGTCTAGGAATTGGTCCATACTTACGAGTGATGTAGACAAGGTTCACTGAGTACACTATCAATATTTTACAAAAATCTTTATTTGTGATTTACTCGTCAGAAAATTGAATTTTTTCATAGATTTTCGATCATAATAAGATCATGATCTTGCCTATATGTCAAAAGTTTACTTCCTATATGATCTCGACAAAAATTTTACTGACAACTTTTGAAAGGTGTCCATTCAAAAAGAGTCTAGTCTTTGATTAATGAATGAATCAAATCAACACTCATCGGATATTATATCAAATAAAGCGATTTGATCGTGATCTTACAGTAAAAAAGCTTTGAAAACAGAGATTGTCATCAGACCAAGGTTGCCCTGGTAAATTATGTACTAAACTTCAAACTGTAGATACTTTCTTTATTTAAAATCTCTAACTTTTTGTATAGTTAGACGGTACGTAGCTGTAAACTATGCATCGTTATGTTTTATTCAATATATCTCTTATTGGAAATTTTTACATTTTGCTATTTGTTCTCGTTTCTTTCCTCTGAATAGACTATATATCAGAGACCATCATCAAGGTAGAGCGTCCTGACGTCTTGGTCTCAGAGCAGCGTGAAATTAGTCCTTTTAACCGTACCCTGTTTGCCCTGAAGGACGGAGAGTAGAACATGGTAAACTATTTTGCTCTGATAATATTCTTTTTGTAAAAAACCATTTGAAATCGTTTACTAAATCCAAACATGAACCTTTCACAACATCTGTCATCTATGTAATTCGACTAGCTAGTGTTGATTTCATGCTGAGATCTATCCCACCAGAACTTATGTATAGGATACTTATTCTAATTCATCATCGTTCAATACAATCTCTTTCGACTTCGAGGAGATTGAATACTTCTTATCAAAGTACAAGAAAGTCAAGCAAATAACAAAAAAAAATGACTCTCGACCTAGTGCTAAACAATGATGAAAGATTTTGAAGAAACTAAATGATGACACTAAGTCACAAAGAGTCATTGTTTTCATTAACGGATATCTAGTTTTTATATGAATATGCCACTGTTGTGATGCAACCATATTAAAAAAGGATAAGACATCGGGCTAACAAGTATTATATCTTCATCACGAATAAATTAAAATGACACTATTTTGACTCGATTGTATCCTGATTTTAAGTCGTTAAAGTTGATCGCTTTTATTTTGAGCGATTTCTTTTGAATTCTTTCTAATTGATGAAAAGAATTTGTCAATTTTTATTCATACAAATTGAATAATGAATTTCAATTGAAAGTAAAATTTGAAAAATCCTAGAAATCAGAAAAAACGAAATATAAGTTTAAAATCGGATTATAATAGATTAAAAACTGCAGTTTCAATCAATTCTTAGCAGGATTTATGATTACTTTTATATATGGATAATATTGTTTTGAAATCATATAAAAATGTATGAACACAGAATATAAACAAGAAAAAAAAATCATAAGGTTAGCAACTCATTCCATAGTCGAATTTAGTTTATATGCCTTGAGAGCGCCCTGCTCCAAGAACATACATAGCAGGACGAAAACAAGTGCCATGTGATGGTCTCTGCTTAAAATTTTCTAGATGTCAATATTTTAAGAATTTATAAGTTTTGACTTTTCCTCAAATTTCATTATCAAATCTCTATTATAATTTTTAAAACCAAAAAATCACCGATCTCAATTCTATTCATTATTCAAAGTAACTAAAGCACATTCATATAGGTAAAACTTTTTGAACTTTCATCAAATTCATTATACCGAATAACAACAAAGTAAGTTATCAAATTTAGTACATTTATATATTCAATCATTAGATCTAGATTTTTTTTAAAATTAAATACAATTTAACTCAATCTATTAACATTGACAAGAATAAAAAATAACAATATACTTAGCAAAAAAAAAAATGTTCAACACAATCCATCTTTAGGTCGAAAATAACATATTTCCAACTATGTGTCTGTTCATTCAATTAAAAAAGAATCACAGTAAAAAAAATCAAAAAAAAACAAAACAAAACAAACAAACTTAAACGATAAAGGAACGAACAAGATTAACCAAAAAAAGAATGTACTTGTACAAAATAATCAATCAATCATTAATTTATCAACGAGGTTGAGTACGCCATTGACCGATAAAATTATTAATTGAACGAGCAATTTCTCGTCCTGAAATAAAAAGGAAAAAGAAAATTTTCTTATTTAAACGAAAATAAAAAACAACAAGAAGAAAACAATACCAATTGGTCTCGGATTGAATGAACTCAAACTGTCTGGTAATAAATTTGTACTGGAATTAGTTGTTGGTGGTCGATTTGGTATCACAGTTCGATAACATAATTGGAATAGATGAAAAACAGCAAATAATTTTTCTTTACGAATTGTTGACGGTATTGAATCACCATTTTCATTTGTTTCAGAAGAATTTAAATCAATATTTTGATTAAATGAAAGTTGATCGGTATTATGATTAAAATTTATTGTTGAATTATCATTTATAGTAACTGAAGATAATGAATTAGAAGCACTCAAATTCTCGAAATCACTTAGTCCGCTAAAATAATCAATCATAATTTAAATTTGAACAAAAAATAGAAAGATATTGTTACAAAAATTTACCTAATAGAATAAATACTGTCGGTTTGATTTGATACAGTGGTTAATTGTGAATTTGAAGAACTATCAAAAAATAAAAGAAAAATAAAATAATAACAATCTCATCAGATAGATTGTTGTTTAGCGTTCTTAATTTATCAAACGACTAATAAAAGCATTTTTAATAGAAAACTACCGACTTTATAGATTTAAATTCTTCTTTTTATAGTTTATTTTCATATGAATTCAATGATTAAGTTCTACCATGAACTGTTGCATAGAACACATAGATATCCTAGAAATTCTATCCTGTGAATAGATTGTTAGAATGTATTAATACATATGTGTAAACTCTCGTTTCTAAGAGTTGATATAAGACTATATCATTTTTACAAATCGATTTTACTATTATTCAATTAAGTATTGCATGTATTCAGACAAGCTCGAAGACCCGAAATTATCTCGTTCATCTTTTTTTGTCCGATCGTCATTTATAGCTTCGAGCGCTCGTTGTCGACAGATAATCTCGTTATTATATTACTTAAGGACAACTGTCAGAGCTTTCTTCATGCATTATAAACGATACAAACAAACTAGACAATTCTACTTGACATATGGATCGAAGAAGGCATAACTTCTTTATTGTACAACAAGAAAAAAGAAAAGAAAATGTCTAATAAACATACTTATTCGATTGTTTATAAACAAATTCATCTGAAACCAAATGAGGAAGCATCATAAAAGCAAAATAGAGTATCTATATAAAAATAAAATAAAATTTATTTATGTTATTTATTCTAATGTATAACTTACTTCTTCACCACGAAGTAATCTTTCTGGTAAACAATGCCTATTTGAAGACAAAGATAAAACTTCATCTCAGATTTAATTAAACAAATAAAAATTCATACCCGAATAAATACCAATCATAAGCTAATGTTAAATAAAGCATTTCTTCAACAGTTAATGACTGATGAATCCATCCATCAGCCCATAATGATAAACGTAAAAGACTTATAAATAATGGTGTACGATCCCAACCTGATATACAATGTATTAGAAGTCCATGATCATCTACAGAAAAAAAAAAATAATCAATACAATATTTTATATTCTTCATTTAAATCCAAAGAAAATACTTGTTTCAAGATGACGAAGAATTAATTGAAAATAATTTTTCGTAAGATCTATTGAACTCCAGGACTATATTAATAAATTAAAGATTAACAATAAAACTAATATAAATTACCTTCCAAACTGACCAATCTGTTTGTACACGAGATGAAAGATGTTCTGGTACTTGAAATGATGAATCATTAAGTGGTAATGACCAATCATAAAACATTAATTCACCATTATATTTTCGAAATGAAAAATCTCGAAAATGTTCACATCCTAATATTAGCAATAAATAAATCATTTTCTTTAGAAGTCGCCTTTTTTTTTTTTGCTTACCTGGATAAGGAAGAATTAATAATTGAAAATCTCGATAACGATTTTCTTTATCTGAATTTTCTGATGATGTGACACTTAAAAGAAAAAAAATTTCAGATATGTTATTATTTTTCCTATTCAAAAATTATCTAATTCTTACTTAACACCAAACATTGTTTTTCTTTTTTCAACCATTAAATTAACTATAGAACTAACATCAAGCATTTTTAATAAATCAATATCAGCTCCACGAAGTTTATCAAATATATTTTGTTGAGGGACATCAACATTTGATGATGATGATGCAGACGCAGCAACAGCAGCAGCACCAACAATTGCAATAGTGGGTGGTCCATCAAGATCATTTGCTACAGCAGTTGGATTTGTTGTTGAATCAATTATTGATGGATTTGTTGTTCGATTGCCTGTATCTAATAAACGATCAACACCAGACCGAGAATATACTTCACCCCAAGAAGCAACTGTTGATGATCGACAAATATACTTAAACAAAATAATAATTATTTAGAATAAAAACAAAAAAATTCTTTTAAAAACAAAAAGAAACTTACTTTTCCATCAAGTAATATAACAGGAACAACAAAACGTGATCGACATCGAGCTATACGAGATCGAACAAAAAACTCACGAATATCGATTGTTGATTGAATTTTTGGTGTTGATATATTTGACCATTTATCTATTATAGGTACAAGAATACGTCGTGGATAATATAAAGATAATTCACCATTAGTATTAGATATTAACTATATAACAAAATATAATTATACGACACATAAAAATTTTAAATAAACCTGATAATCATAATCTTGTCCGAATAGACTAGTTACATGTAATTCAATAGTTGCATTCTTCAAAAACAAAACATTAAAAGTTGTTTCCAAAAGAAAAAAAACTTAAACAAACCGTTGTATGAAGATCTCGCGCATTATATTGACTTTGTGTACCAATACGAAGAAGTGCAATAATATCATCAATGCTTATCGTTGTAGATCGCGTTGATACTGTAGTTCGTTGCATTTAGATAGATACACAAGTAGTATTGCAAAACCATAAACTATCAACGAATGACTATCAGGTGATTATATATCTATATATATAGATAGATACTAACATGAAAAAAATTAGATCGGATTCGATTCTTTCAGAAGCCGTTCAGAAACAATATCCTTGACATTTCAGATGGCGCTCGTTACCTGTCATTAGTTTTCATGAATATTAAATAATTTTTCATAGTGACTAGACAGAAACATCAATCTTATGTTTTTTTGAGGTTTGTTTTTCAGGTCTAAGTAGAATTTTGACACTATAGGGACGTAACATAGTTGGAGCTCTCCGATAAGAGATTTGTAGCAGAATTTATCTGGCTTGATTTTAATCCTTTAGGGGCTCAGCTTCTTCTAACTCGCTTTCCTCATTTACGTCATTAGATTTAGTAGCATAGCCAAGGGTGAACTAGTCTAGGTGCTGTCTCACGAATAGAGGAAAGAAGAATGTAATAATCACCATCATTGATACTGTATTTCATGGATTTTCCCCAAGATTGTATGGAACTGTGCCACCATTCATCGTCTCTTGGTTACGCCACTAACTAGATTGTTCATTTTGATAATGGTTCTAACGAAAAAAAGGTTGAGTTTATTTTTAGATAAAACAATCTTTCATAAGACTCAATTGCCTAAATTAGTTTCTTGTCTTTTTTGTGAAATACAAGAGAATAATTACAATTATACGTATATGTTCTCAACAAAATGTTAAGACGTAGTCGAATACTGCTACAATCGAAATCATTAATAAAATAAATGATAATCAAAATCAAGTCCAGCATTATCTAGAGTATTATTCAACAAATTGTAGTGTTCTCTTAATAAATGAATAGTATTTTCGAATAATGAAATGTAGAAAAGCGAGCATTTTTATTTATTCCAATTTTTTATTGATGAGCCTGTCATAGAATTTCATTTCATCAATTGAACTTTATCGAACAAAATAATAAAATGCAATCACACATAATAAAAAAAGTGTAATCTTGTACTACAATAATTTTTTGTACTGTCCAGGGAAGATTTCTAACTAATCCATGTCATTTTCGCTACTATCATGCATCCATACAGAAGATCTTATTCTTAGAAAAAGACTAAAAGAGTTTGGCGGCTTGTCCACGTAACGCGACACGTCGCTGATCAAGTTTCGAAAAAATTTTTTTTCGAGTTGGACAAATCTGAATGAGTTACTAGATGCAGTTTTTAACGCTGATTACGAATTTGACATTTATTTTGNACAGTGAGTCGGTAACTGTCGTAATCTAACTGAGCCATAAATACTGTTATAGGGAATATATGTATATATGACGGATAAATAAAAACCATTGATCCGTGAAAACATCGATAATAATAATAGATAAATAACTTAATTGACTTGGTGTTTTTGAGGAAAGCTATTAAGCTAGAACTTGAAAACGATGTATTGTGCTTTTTCTGAAAAAAAATCTACGAAAATATGTTTTGAATGGATTTAATGTTATCATCATGTTTTATTTGTGATTAAGTAATACTTGTCAAATGAGACGAAACTTCTGTAGGAATGCTGCCATTATTTTATAGATTTGAATGTCATTCCAGTTTATTTAAGTTTACGAGCAACCAAAGTTCTGATTGTGTACAAAAAATTCGAAAATTTAAGTTTTGATATTGAAATGCTTCAACTAACGAGATGAGTCGATTTCGTGTGTTTAGCTTAGTATTGTAGAGATACTGTAAATTTACGATATTTTATAAATAATATGTTGTGATTGTTTTCAGGAACATCAGAAAATTTATTTTTGAAACGAGAATAGTTTTTTTTATAAATTTTTCAAGTTTTATTGCTGATCTACTCCTAATATACAACGATGATAATAGCATAACTTTCATATCGATCATATAAACCGGCAGATTTGATTCTCGTATTTTAGGATAGGAGTAAAGTTTTCTGATAAACTACTTAATTTACCATACTGTTCACTATGGTAGATAGTGGTTCACTAGAATCTTATTGAGCGAATAGTTATGAATAAAATACCAATTTATGTTAATGACAACTATACTCAACTAATCTTCACTAGCGAACTGATTCCGAATAGAATACTATTTTGGTCATTATGCTTCTGTGAGCTTTAACGACTTCGATAAATAAATTACCTTGAATACAATCTTCAAAAAAAATATGTGATTCGATTCATCAATCAAAGTGGTACAATACACAGGCCGATTCGTTTAACAAAACAAACTATGCTTATACCTGTGTCTAAACTTAGTAATCGTCATAAATTTTGATCGACGAATTCTTTATGTGTAGAAAGATGTACCGATTGAGTTTTGAAATATTGCCATATTATATTTCTAGTAATGATCAAACCAATGAGTCATACAGTGCTACTTCACCATCAATGAGTCATGTCATGGGACCGTAAAAAAAAAATATGGTATGAATAATTAATAGGTAATCACAAGGTTTTTTTCCTCACTATTTTGATCACGTCCTCTTTCTTTCATTGCTGTTTTTTTATATTCACAAGACTGTCCTTCGTAACACGCTCTGTAATACGAAAAATTATATTATGACTTAGCGTTATATTTTAACATGTTTTTTTCTATATGCTTAGAACATCTGATATAATGTACTATAATAATCAACCGAACAATATTTATACTCAGCCGAACAATATTTATACTCAGCCGAACAATATTTATACTCAGCCGAACAATGCTTATACTCAGCCGAACAATGCTTATTATGTATCATCAGGACAATTTGATCAACTACAGGGACAAGTTAATGATGTATGAAAAAACAAAAAAAAACAACAAGACTTTCTATTATTAAATGTTTTTTATTGTTTTATTTTAGGTTACACAAATAATGAGAAATAATATACAATTAGGAATACAACGTGGTGCAAATCTTGATGATCTTCAAATAAAAGCAGGTAAAATTATTTCTGACTGGAAAAACGAAAGTTTTCTTTTTTTGGTGCTTAAATCAATATAGAGGATCTGAATAACTACTCTCAACAATTTGCTTTTACTGCACATGAAGTTCATAAAAAATATTGGTGGCAAAATGTTTATGTAAATATTTTATTAATTTATTTTTCGTTTTTTAATAATGATTTTCTCTTGTTATTTTTTAGATGTGGATTCTTTTGATTGTTGTTATCATTATAATCCTTATTCTCGTAATTGGTAAGAAAAATTGCTTGAGATAATTTATAAGAACATCAATTTTTTATTTTTATTTTTTTGTTTCTAGCCCTTCCTATTCTTGCGTCACAGCATAAAATTTAATTTGACATTAACTTTTCTGAAATCAATCTATATATGTCTTTCATTATAGTTATTTTTTTTTTCTTTCGACCATTGGTGTTGGTCCTGCATTTGTATTTAATGTTTTTCTTTTCTTTGCGTCAATAGTTGAACAAATAATTGAATATCTATTCAATACGATGTTTAATAAATAATTGAATAAATGAAATGTTAGGACTAGTGGAAAAAAAGAAAATTAATTTATAGATATACGATGGATCACAATGAAAGTATTAAAATTTTGTACTTCACTCTTAAAGTAATTTCGTTACTAGATAATATTTATATGTCAATATGGTGCCACAAGTATATATATTTTCTTTGTCAATGATGTTTTTAAAAAATCAATTTCTTATTGATTGAATATTGGTTTCGGACATATCAATCTTTATTTCAAAATTTGACATCTACTATTTTTCATTCTGAAAAAGAAACAATTCAATTGCCATTTAAGTTACTCATATCGACTACAATTATCTCAGATGCATAATTATTCTTCTTATAGCTTTAAAAAAAAATTGTTATTTATCAAAAAGGTAATAAAATCAGATAAATTACTGCAGGTAAAAGCATGAATATTGTTCTCTCGTGCTACGTTTTTTCAAATGAAGACTGATTTAATGCTCCACGTTGTCAAACATTCGGCATAGTAAATAAAGGATAAGTGTTTTATTTCTTATTATCTAACAGATAAAGTTCTTTTCTTTTTAATTGATCATATCATAGACTGATACAATCGCGATCACTAATCAATAAGCAAACATAATTTTTTTTTTCAATAAAGAAAACAGTCATTTGTGTTAGAATTACATATTTCATAAATACAATATTTTTTATGTTATTTTCAAAAAGCTTTGAACATTGAATTTAACAAATTCAAATCGTCCATTGACTACAATTCATTGTATATCACCTACAAGTCCTTAACAATGATAGAGACAAAATGAAAAAGTGTAAGACGAATAGCTTCTTTTTTTTTTTGAGTAACAACAGAAAACCAGAAGTAATTTATAATTAGGATTAGAATGTGAAGAAAAACTTGATAGATTGGAGAAAATAAAGAAGATAAATGATAAAAACATAAGTCAACGTTCGAAATGACTACTTTCGTTTAAATGCAAAAAAAATGGTTTCAATGAATATATTGGACAAAAGAATTTAAAGTATATATTTATTTCGAATTCATTTCGTCTAGTTTTTTTTATAAACAATTTTTTCTTTTATATATGTCGATAATTTCTGTTTATTGTGATCATTAGTGAGACAAAGTATTTCGTTAAATTATTCAAAATCAATATTTTGTAGTTGACTATATTCTTGCTGTCAAAAAAAAATAATAAAACGTATATTTAAATTAATTTACTACATCAAAATGTACTTTATGATTATAATTTTTACGATGTGAAACACTGTATCGTAATCGGTTGCGAATTTTTTTTTACTTTCTCGGTATATAACTCGAATCACTATATTGTGTCACAATGAACTAAATATCGGAGAGTCGTATGTTTTCCGTTCAAACATTGTTACAAAGTCTCATTCGTTTTCTCAATTCGCTCCAGAAAATGATGATTTTGAAGTGACAGTTCTGTTTTTTTTCGAGATAATGAAAACAAATTTCAGCAGCAATAATGATTCAATCGAATGTTGGTATCAATACCTTCATCCTCTATGTGAAAGTTTAATAATCTCATAAATAATGAATCCAGTTTGAGTTTCGAAGTGAATATACAAAATAAATTAGTTTTGAAACTGGATATAAATTACAATAACACAATTGATTACTCATAGAACAATATCATAGACGTTATGCCTTACTTTTAAAACAAATTAATGACTATAGCTTCATGTTGTTTTTCCTTATAAATAATAGAAGAACATGAATACAAAAAAATCTCTTTGTATCCTATGTTAGAATTGATTAATTTTTCGTTAAAAAAAACACAATTCTTAACAATAACAACAACCTTCTACTTATATTTTCATCCGCTTCGTATGATACTGAAATCTCAATTGAGCAGAAAACTCCTACTAAATTAAGAATTTGCCATGGATTTTCGAATAACAATGTGCACTATTTTGTTTTTATGTACAAATCCATTTACGGCAACATAAGGAAAAGGAAAAGAAAACTTCTAAACATCATAAAAAGGAAGTGAAATGTGACATAGGGTACGAAAGTACACCGCAATAAATTTTTTTCCTATTGGTGCGTTTTCTTGTAGCATCAGAGACGAAAATCAATAAAAAAAAAAAGGAGTAAAGCACTTAAGTAAAACGGAAGAAAAAAGCACTTAAACAAAAACAAAAATGAAAAACAAATAGAAACACCTAAAAAAACTTTCCAGCATAACATATAAGTTCAAGTCCTGTTATTTTTTTCATTGATCAAACATTACGTATACCATGGACAAAAATAAAAAGCCGATAACAACAATAACTGCTGCTGCCATGCCATTGGAACATACGAATATGAGGCAACAACAGCCTCCTGCTGCTCGTATAGTTGAGAACTTCATTCTGGTGTGGCTGGATGCCAATATCAATGAAATGAACAACAGCAATTGCATTAATAGCATCAGCAAATGAAGGGAAGTAGTGAACAAAATACATCTATTCAGTAATTTGAATGAATACATTGATTTTATAGCTGATATTTGCAAAGAGAGAATATTAATAATCACTTCTGATGCGTTCGTGCAAAACAATTCCTTTCATCATTCATGACATTCCATGAATCAATAGTATCTATATTTGGAGTGAAAATCAACCTGAGCATTAAGATTGGGCCAATCAATGGTCAAAAATACAAGAAATCTTTACAGATATTGCTCCTATGTGTGATACTCTTAAACAAGCAGTAAAAGAATGTGATCAAAACATGATATCGATTAGTTTTGTGCCAATCGATAGTGGAAGCAGCAAGCCAAATCTTAATCAATTAGATGCGTCTTTTATGTATACTCAAATAATGAAGGACATTTTATTAGCCATTGATTTCAAACAACAGCACATCGATGAATTTAACACCTTCTGTCATCAAATTTTGACCGAGAGTCCCAGAGAACTGCCAAAATCTCGACAAAATCGAACAGGAATATCACAAACATGTTCTGATATGGTGGTATACATACCCACGTTTTCTTTACTCGATACTGAATTGATTGTTACACACGACGGACGTCGATCTCATCGCTAACATGAGATTTTTCATTGGAGATATCTACAATCACATTGTCGAACTTCATGCTCAACAGTTTGCATGATAATCAATTTTGAATTTATTTACTGTTTATTGTTGGCAAGGAATGTCAAAGACTGACTTTGGTCAACTGGTCGACACCAAAGGTGAACTGTTATCATTTAATAATTTTTAATCGACCACTATGCGTCGTCAAATATCTCTCAACTTTGCTCGTAAAACTATGAATTCGTCGGCTTTTATTGGTATTTTATTCATTATGAAAATTGATCCGTCTATCATATCGACACCATTTGCTAACGTCCGTGATGTGAATTGTTATAAAGGAGAAGACGAAATTCTCTTCTTCATGCATTTCACCTTTCGTATTCAATGAATGAAAAAAATCGATGGAAATAATCGTCTTTGGCAAGTCGATTTAATATTGACCAGTGACAATAATCCAGATTTCCATGCACTTACTGAACACATGTGAAAAAATAGCTATGCTCAAAACAGAGGATGGCATCGCTTGGGTGAATTGTTCGTTTAACTGGAACAGTTCAACAGAGTCCAAAAGATATATAATGTTCTTCGTCATCAAACAACGGATGATCGTGAAAAGTCATCAATTTACAATATGCTCAGGGTGATAAAGAATGGTCAAGATAGATATTCAGATCGTATTGCTTATTTTCAATAATCCACTGATATCAAACAGAAGATTCTCTCTCCAATGAATGCGAATTTTGATGCTTCTTACCACGACATAGGATTTAGTTTATGACAACATGGGTGACTAATTTACTCTAATGCACTTTCATCCCATCCAGAAGCACTGGAAATCCACCAGAAAACTCTTTCTTCAAATCATCCGAGTTTGGCTATTTCTTACAACAACATTGGTTCGGTGTACTTCAATAAAGGTGACTGAGGACATGAATCATTCTTTCATAACTAACACAAAAACAGACGAAAAATATTTGTTAATATGCTATGTCAATATCGCACATGCATTCATTTTCTCCTCAATAAAGATCTTCAACATTAATATAACTATTCGTCATTATATACTATTAAGTCATTGATTAACTTTCATGTAATACCTGTATAACAATTTTTACATGTCATTATTTATATATTAATATGATCAGTTTCAATTATTTATTTTCAAGTATCAGTTGATGATTCATTAGTAGCTAAATCACAAATATCTACTTAAGAAATAAAATTAGAAAAAGTAAACGAAGTAGAGTTTCGTCTCCCTACATAGATAACTCAGAATTCGTTCTTCATTAAATTCATTCCCTGTAATGTATGTAATACAAAATTCAGAATAATGTGATCTGAATGAGGTTCTATCAAGATTTTCTTTTTTTATCTTGAATGATTAGCTGAATGATATATAATTCTATTGTCAAGTTCTTTTCGCACCAAGTATAGATTTTTGAATATAGATTTTTAATCATTTTGCATATGACGAATATGTAATGAGTTTTCGTATATTTTAATTGAATGAATAAGACAAGATTATTTTCATGACAGAATGCGAACAATAATATCTAATACGGAATAATATTTATTTAAACAAAAAAAAAAAAATAAATCTTTTATAAAGTTCATTTTATCTTCAAGAAACAGATTAAACAAGCTTTTTTTCTTGTTAATTGTATTTATTCAATGAATTCGATACTAAAAATGTAAAAGACTATCATATACTGAGTTCGATAAAGACTATTATCTGATCATTTTAAAAAATATCATTACATACAATTATTTTCATATTAAGATCACATTCAATTATTAATATTCAATTGTCAAGACAAACATAAAGAAGTCAAATTAATGTTAGTAATGTATTTTGCAATGACTAATTGACAATTTCTTTCTGGCTTCGATCATCTAATTGATCGAAAAGTAACTCGTCCGATTTAAAGTGACAAAATAGAAGTCCTATGGTTATCCTTTGGAGAAAAGCATTTCATATTCATTCATCCAAACAATTATTCATATTTTAGAAAATATCGACAATAGAAGTTTGGCACAACACTTTGTAGTTGATTGAAGGTCGAATGCCATCGAGTTTTCTTATGCTCATATGCTTTTCTAATGAACTAATTAAATGAAAATAAAAGTAATATGATTAGAGCGTAAATTTAATAGACTGATTCTCTTGAGAATAGGACTTTTGTTATTATACATTTTACAAGAACATCATCAGAACTGATACTCGTCGTTTGAGTTTATACTGGGCTGACAAGGATGCCTTAGTAAGACAAGCGACAGTCTAAAAGAATTCATCTCCTTGATCTCTTGGAGCCGTTTGCGATCATTTTACAGAAATTTCGACCTAAATGTAGGTATTTATTGAAAAATCAACTAACAGAATTTCGATATGAAATTTTGCCCACAGATGATAGGTTAGATGATCAATTGAAGATTCTGAAGGTTTCAACCGAAAAGAATGTTCTTTTGTTGAGATAATAGATTCTCAAAAAATACTCGTTTGCCACAAACATGATAACATTATTTTCGGCTGAAGCTTTCATTACTCTATGAGAGTGATTTGACTTATTTATGAGCAAAATTTCAGGCCGAAATTCAATTACTTGATTTTTCAGTAAATACCTAAAATGGATCGAAGATTCAGTAAAACAATCACAAAAACGACTACAACGATTCATGAGAACGAACTCTTAGACTTTTGCTAGTGATGCTTACGCATCCTTGTAAGTTCAAATGAACTCAGACGATGGGTCTCAGTTCAGATAGTTCTCTCGTTAGAGGTTGTTGATAGTAAGTAATTAAAATAGTGTTAATTATTATTTTTTGAGATGTCATAAGATAGACATGTATTCATTATATTTTAATCAAGATTCTCATATTCATAAAAGAACTTATTTGCATTGATGCAAATATGAGAAAAAACGTGAAAGAATCCTTTCATAGAGATTATTAATTTTCCGATACGGCAGCACGCTAACTACTAATTAGAATTTATTCTTTGCATTTTTCTTGCAAACTCGTTTGGATTTCTTTGTCATTTTTTATAATGATTGTTAATCAATGAAGTTGAAAAAAGACTACGTATGGTTTTATTTTTTCAATGAAAATGATGATGATGTGACGACTATTGATCATAACAAAGTGTATATGGCAGATTTTAACTAATAAATTCGTAATAAATAATGAAAAATATTCGCAAAATTTATTTTTCCCATAGAAAATATTGAAGTGTTTCTATAATCATTTAGAGGCACTAAGTTAGAATCTAACTTAAAAAAAGAGAACTTGATTACGACTATGAAAACTCAATCGAAAAAAAAATTAATAAGTTCATTAACAAGTCTAGAAGTAGGTTAAAAAAAACTAAATCAATATTCCTTTCATCATATCTATCGGATAAACATATGAATAAATGAATGATGTAAACAGGCGAGATTTAGAAAAAGTTCAGCTCTCTGCTTCAGGTAGAAGACTTTGAGCTTGAGAAATTTTCACTTACGTATATGACCAGCGGGTCGAGTACCTACAAGTTTTTTTTCTGATTACATCACTAGAGTAAATATCAAGTATTTTAGTACAATATTAACGATAGTTGTCATTATAAATATCTGTTAAATTCTGTGATAAGGTTATTATATTAGAGTTTCATTGCTCTAAGTAATTTTTCTTACTATTAGAGTATCCTCTTAATTATAAAATGCTTCATTAATAGCAAAATGTCCAAATATTCGAATAGTTTTGTATACGATGGCGCCACTTGTCAATCAAATTATTAATCTAAATAATCTGTTCTCATATGAAAAAAAAATAAAATCCGTAAATCTAGTTTTACTTTTTAAATATAATAAATTAATAACAAAATATTTTACAAAATTATAAAAAAGAAATTTTCGAGGATATATTAGCTAAATCTATGGTATAAATGGTTATCGAATGAAAATAAACTGAACGCTAAAGAACAGCAAATACGCAACCAATTTCTTCGTTCATTCATTCATTCTAGAAGAATAAAACAGCTTCCTGCTGATTGATTGACAGGGTTATCCCTCGCTTCTAGCATAATGTATTACATTGCCACATATATATATACATCTGCACAGATAGAAAAGAGATAGTTTGCTCTACTGTCTTCATAAATTGACCTCGGATAGGAACGAAAGAAGACCCTTTAACTAGTGTCATGCTTCTTTTTCTTCAATCGATTGAATAATCATTGACAATATTACAAGGCAGACCAATTATCCTATATACTCTAGTGGTCCTGTTCTTCTTATCATATTCTAACATTTATATACACACATATACATAAATACAAATGGCAACGACAACAAACTCCAATAATCTATTATTGCCTATGGATATTCAGCAAAAATTACAAGAACTTGAACTTGAATTAGCCGAAGGTATGATATTGATACGTTTATCGTTTTAATATTCATTGAAAAATTTTTCTACTTTAGGTGATATAACACAAAAAGGTTTTGAAAAGAAACGTACTAAATTATTAACACCATATCAACAACAATTAAGTAAACAAGCATATTTATTCTCAAATATAAGAAATTATATTTTATTGTTTTGTTATAGATGAAATTCAAATTATGAATAATACGAATAATAATAATAATAATAATGAAAAATCTTCAAATAGACCATCAAAAATTCAATGTCGACGACAAAAACGTGATGGTTATAATCGATATCATTCAGGTAAATGATTTATCTTTAAAAATACTTTTTCTTTTATCAAAAATGAATTATTTAGATGTTCGTCAAGAAGCAGTTAAACAAGCATTAGAACAATACGGAGCTCGTCCTATTCCATCATCAAAACGTATTATTAATTCTCAAACAAAACGTAAAAAATCGAAAAGATTCGTTCGTTTTTATATTTAATTTATCAACTTTTTTTTTTCAGATGAATCTAGTGATGATGAAGATGATGATGGAGAAAGTAGTTCAACATATGCAACAACAACTGATGATCAACAAAATAAAGATTCATCTGTTTCACCTGTTCCTCCTATTCCAATACAAAATCATCATTATCAAAATCCACCATCAGTTGAATTGATTATTAAACGTAATTGAATCAATTTAACAATTTAATCATATTATATTATTATTCTATTTTATTTTTGTTAAGATATTCAAGCACCACCACCACCATCAGCATTTTTATCTGATTTTATTCATCGTAGTCAAGAACCATCATGTAAGTGTTACAGGTTTTTTTTTTTCTTTTTTCATTATCGATTAAATCTCATGAGAATTAATGTTTTTATTTTCATTTAATTCCCATTAGTAACTTAATGAACATAATTGTTTTTTCATGCTTTTCTTTTCTGTTTTTCTTTCATATTATATTTATAATAATAATCATTTTCGTTTTTATCATAGTATCGAATATTGAATGTGATTTAACACGTAGTGCTGGTGCACGTTATCGTGATTCAAATTCCGATTATGTTAATACAAGTCAACAACATTATGTATTATATGGTGATCGAAATACATTGATGGATTCACCGAAATCTATAACAAATTCAATCAATCATCAAAATGAAGGTAGAATAAAAGAAAAGAAAAGAAAAGATTTGATAAATGATAAATCATTTATTTAATTGTTAGATATAGAGAATAATTGATTAAGAATACTTGTTCATTGTCTAGTCATGCATGAATCTTTATCATAAAAGAAGACGAGAACAAAAAAAAATGAAAGAGAAAGAATGTTTATATGTGTTGAATGAATTGATAGTAAAAAATTCCTTTCTTCCTTCTCTCATATATTAACATTGTTCTTTGAAATACATTGAATATGTAGACTCACTTGACATTTCAATTCGTTCCTTCTTCTTCTTTTTTTTTTCTTGTTGAATGTTGTATGTACAAATACGACGCCTTCGCGCTAATCGAACACAGTAAAAAAAAAAAAAAAAAAA